CGGTCAGGAGAGAAAACCATCGCTGAGAGTTTCCATCGCGTCATCTCATCGATCGTGGTGTTTGTCTTCTCGCTGAAGAACTTTTTCGGAGTACTCTGTTATGGTGTGATGACCACAGCTCAGAAGTGCAGGAATTTCGCCTTAAACGCTCATGACTGCCTCCTCCGAAGTTTTCCCATCGGATGTGCCTATATTGTTCTTTTCGTGCCAGAAGTGACCTTCTATGGACTAGCGAGACGCTGAATTAGGGGGATTTCGGGGAAAGTTCGGCTCTACGAATGGAATCGGCGATGGAATTGGGTCGGTGAAGCCATGCTCGTGGGACAAATCTCGCGTGTGGTGAAATACGATGGTCCACCTAGACGCAGACTTTTTCGATTTCGTCCATCAGACCGGTGTCGATTACTAGATTCCGCCTTCTGCTGCTCTTTTAGTGCCTGAACTCCTGAGCTCCGGTGATTACATGATGGGTGGAAAATGAACGAGTTAGGCACTTGCCAGAACATCGGCGGGGTTGGCTTATCTCGACGGTCTTGACCTCGCGGTTCGCGAAGATGGCCGTATGGCGATGGAGCGACGCCTCCGGTTCGAATATTCCATGCAAGTTCATATCACATGATCTGCGGTCGGCAGCGGAAGGGTTATACTCTCCCGGCCTCCCGACTCGGAAGTTGATTTTTCTTTTCCACGATTGGAAGCGCGCGGATCTGGACAATGTGGACTGCGCGAGGTCGTGACTGAGCTGAGTGCCGAGTAATTGCGGTATCGACACCTCAGCCCGAGATGAGCAGAAATCACGATATTTTCAATAGCCGACTGCCCAGCTTCCGATCGATGTCTCGATTCGTTCTGTGCCCGCGCCGGTGTCGTCGTTCTGAGCTTTTGATCATCGTTCTGAGTGAGGGAAAATGGAGCTCACCCGCAATGGTGATTCCGAGGAGAGCGTGAAACAGTGTTTCTCATGAACTGGCTGATGACGGGATATTCTAAATTCGTCGTTGATCTAGCGGTAACTTGAATGAATCCTGACTCCTGACCCAATATGATCTGGACCATACCAGCTCGAGTACGAATTCATCTCGTATGATGAGTCTGGCTCCTACATTACTGAAGCGAAGCGAAGAAGCTCTCGTGTCGAATTTGAGTGGAATGGGTTTACAGGTGGATCCCACAAGGGCTCACTATATCGGGGAATTCAAGCGCTCCACGGTCACCCCGGCTACCCGTACCTCCGAACTTGTGTAAAATATTCTAGAAAAGCGCAAGTTTGGATCTGCGGGATCCGGAGTCATCGACTTCGCTGAGTGCTGCCCCGGAACTTCTTGATGGCGTTGACAACGAGGCATTTCATGGTTCGATTATCGCTGCGTGAGACTCACCTAGGAGCAACCTATGGAGCACGGCGCCTCCGGTCAAGAAGCAATCTACATAGCTCAATAACCGAGCATCGTTTTTGATGAAAATAAAGTACTCAAGAAGTGGCTGTTTCCATGATCGGAGGTGAGAGTATGACCCGCCATAACTCCCATGTTCCCCTTTCTCGATATGTACCCCATCTCGGCTCCGCCTCGTTCGATACAAAGCGTTCATTTTTCATAGGACATTCAGAAACCTGTCTTTTTCGAAGAACTCGAAGACAACATCGATATCGCTCCTCCTTACACTCGTAGAGTTGTTCGGATCGGGTTCATCCGAAACCCCTCAAGATATTCTACCCCTGAGTTTGTGTATACTTCTCCATATCTTTCTCATCGGCGAAAGGAAGAAACGGTTAAGCAAGCGACTCGAGCCTCCCTGCATCTCGAGCCGTGTCATGCGAACTGCGATTCCCGTATGTTTCGCAATAAACGAGTTGGTTGAGCCGAGGTAGTAGGTTGTATAGTTGGTGCGTCAGATTTTCAGCTATACAACCAACTAGCTTTCGCTGGCCAACCCTCCTGACCAGGAGCTCGCAGGGCTCGCGTGAGTACGTCTATTATTATTCCCCCTATGGCGCTAATTCTCAGTTGTTCCAAATAAGAAAACTCAAACGTCCGCTTGAAATGTCTGCTTCGCGGGTTTTCCTCCCCGTCGATGACTACGATGCTCGTATTTGGGAATCACCAAACCACCAGAACTGTTTCTCACCCAATACAGCAAGCGAATGCAAATTACATAAGAGCACAACTAATTATGGGCTCTCCCCCTCCCTGAGATCCTTACTTGTGGAGTGTGCCGGTCAAGTCCCGGGGAAGGATTCTCGGGTGTCGGCGACTCAACCCCAACTAACTTTCCCCTGAGCACTTTCCACTGCGTAAGTTTATGCACTACATGTCATCCTCAGGCTATATCGAGGCTTGGAGAAGAACCTGCCATCGAGATGGAGGAAGCCAAAGTGCTCCCTCTTCCCCACTGTTGTATTATCGCCTGAACCTCCTGATAAGGGCTGTGTTATGATATGGCAATGTCAAGAATCTCGCCCTTTCAGGGATGACGCCAAGAATCCCTACTCAATATCTGCCCGGTGTGAAGTCAGTCTCTCTACACTTGCTGAAGGAGAGATTCGGAGTGTAGGGGGAACCGGTATGCAAGATCGCAGAATATTCTGCATGATATGATTCTAAAATAATATTTGGATGATTGACGGGCTTCCGTCAAAAAAAAGATGAAAATACTCACCCCGCAGAATCGTGAGGGATATTCACTGAGGAAATGGATTTCATCATGAACTGCGACGACAGTTCACCCAGCGCGAGCAAGTTACGGACTTGAAAAACCCGAGGAGAACTCGGGACAAATAGATGCCGAATCTCAGCTTGAAAATGATATCAAAGCAGGAGTCGTCTGGCGGAGAACAGATGCTAAACGCCGTTGTATTAGCATCGGACAGCAAACGCTATGAATGACCCATGGTTGCCCAAAACTTTGCGAGGATTTCTCTCCGGAAATCCTTCTCTTTTTTGCAGCGCAGTCTTCGATGAGCGGACACTCCTCAGCCCATCCTCACATTAGGGTCTCCCCGATCTGGGAGGATTTTTTTCCAGCCAGTGAGAAGCAGCGACACATTCCTCTCTGATTGAAAAACACAATTTTCCAATTAGATACTCGAATTCTTTACACGGCTCCCGGGAGCTTCCCCTCCTTGTGGGCGGGGAACACCTTGTCAATGTGAACTCCTTCTAGAGATTATCGCCGATTCTTTCGCGCGACACGAGCGTCGATTCTCGATTGACCCTCTCCGTCACCAGGATACGATTACACACGTACTGCAGCGGTGTCTCTTACTTTGAGTCACCCTGGATAATTTCGTCCCGACTAGGCCATGGATCAAGAGCGGAAATCTCACATGTAACCAGTGGCGTAGCGAGCCGGAGTGCCGCCCGGGGCGGTGATTTGAAGTTTTCCGTTTTTTCAACGTGCTCGACGAAAATGCCGCCCCCCGCCAGATATTTTTTCCTCGAAAACACTCCGTTTTTTTTGGATGCAGAACCCCGAAATGCCGCCCCTAAAAGCTCCGTAGGAAGTGCCGCCCGAGGCGGTACGCCCCCCCGCCCCCGCCTTACTACGCTACTGTATGTAAGTGAACACGAAGCTCCGTGAAGCTCTATCTGGGCTCGGAGCCTTGCTCTTCAAGGGCATCCTGGGAGCTTCCCGGTGATTCGGATAGTATATCATCCCCCTGCTCGATATAAGTCAAGTTGGCGGGGTGGGATTGGACCTCCTCAAACTCCGGGAGAGCAAGGTAACCGGAGTATGCTCATAGCACCCTTAGTTACTCCAGTTCTCAGTTCCATACCCGTCTATTCTCCGACCATCACAAACCTGTCCCTCTATCAGAGGCTGTCCGTCCCTTTCTTCGGTCCACCAACGAGGTGATTGAATCCGGTTATTCATACCGTTATGCTACATTAAGCAGAAAAAAAAGTATTCTGAACATAGTCAACACTCGCACGGAGGAGCCGATTGAGAAGTGTCTACTCTCTGCGACTCAGTCATTAGAATTCCGACCCTCGAAAGTGCCCGCTTATCGAAAACAGCCGTCTATTTCCTCGATCCTCAGGGATCTGGCCGCTCATCGGAGACTGCCCGATGATTAGAATGTTCTTGGGGGTCTTCCCCGAGCATCATCTATTGTCCGAGCTCGGAGAGTCTCTCAGACACTCATTCGAAGAGATACCCGCTAGAGACTTCCTCCTACAGGATACGCAAGGATTTGTTGTATCGTGAATAATAATAAGAATGATGATGCAGTCAGCGTTCGATTCAGAATGCAATATGAAATTCTTTGATTCAACAGCCATTGTCCCGCTTCCGATCGTCGGCATCGGTAGCGCCATGTTGAACCCTTCCGATTCAGAAAATCGCTCGCGATACCGAACTCATTTTACAACATTATATCGAGCGCACACTGTATTCTGAAGATGATGGAATGATGCCTGGGCCGGAAGAATAGTACGTGTAGTCTCGAAAGGTTTCAAATGCGGGCAAACATCGCCGTATAGCATTCCGAGTCGTTCATGGACATCTCAACCGTCCAGACAAGATTATTATCGTGTTCCGGTTCCTCTCCCATGACTAAAAACGGGTTGCGATTGAGGCCGACACTTTGAATCTAAGTCAATCCCCGCATGTGGGGCGGTGTGATTGTTCCGGGACGGTCCGTCTTTAGATAGCGGCGGCTCATAGACTCGGGCATCGGTCGGGTGAGATGCAACGCTCTCTTGGATCATCAAGACGGAAGGGATTATAGCATAGCTCCACCAAGGAGCGGGGGAGCCCGAAATTTCAGCCTCTAACCATTGGAGCACCGTGGACTCCAGAGTCGACGATCCCTAACAGAGAAATGAGGAGGAATTCAAGGAAATCCATCGAGCCAGTTGGGCAGTTTGGTGTGGCTTCGAAAATGACTCGAGTAGACTCTATCCTTCGGGAGAAATCCGGCAAGCCGTCCGTCTAATCCGACACGCCCTCTTGATATTCTTGAGCCCTCGAGCTTATGGACGCCCCCCAGGGACGGAACGTCTATCTATGAGACTCCAGTCAGTCATTGTGGCTCGAATTCGGCCAAGATGAAGCTGCTGGTGCCCTGCACAGCACTCTTGTGCTTGTTGGTCCCCGCAACAGCCCAGAAAGATCTTGGTGAGTTTTCCTGATCATCCCCGGGAACGATTTGTGTGACAAGCTGAGGAGAGGCGGGAGGTCCAAACAAGCATGCCCTTCCCCCCAAAGAGTTCACGATCAATCCCGAACAGCGATAGAGTCCATTGGTGAATCTGCGTCATCGTCATTCAGACCGAGATCCGACCCAGTACGGCGCGAGAAGATCTCGCTTGCGTCCTTGCGTGGAAATAAATACGGATTGCAAGAGAGATTTGCGTCGACCCCCCTCACTCGCCTTGCAGATATAAAAGCGATCCTCGGCAGAATCAAGCTCGAGCTTCTCGGGGGTACCTTCACGGCACGAGCTGAAGCCACTTACGCCGAACGAGGAGTAGCGAAAGCCACCTACTCAATCGCTGAATATCACGATGGCTCCTCCGGAATGCATTCGCTTGAAGTTAGATGCCCGAAATGCTCGAAGGAGATTTCCAGCGTCAGGAAATTCTACAATCAAAACCTGAAGACCGGACAAGTAGTGAGCGTGAACGCTGAGCGTAAGTGAGACGAGCTCTGGTCTGCCAGACGATGATTGTGCGTTCGATTCCCGATGCAAAGCTCGCGCGGTCTCCGCTCCGCTCTCTGCGCGACAGAAAATCTGACGAACGAGATTAATTACGGACGAAAACATATTTTTGCAGTCGAGTGCCAAGTCCAGAATGTCTCAGATGCCGCAGCAGCGAGAGATCCGTTTGTCTTCAAATCAAGGGACGCCTTGGAACCCGAGTATTTCCTCGGCCCCTCAGCGATAATTGTTGAGATGCCAATGGACGGCAAGGTGAGGTATATGTAGCCGTACATCGACATTCAATCCGTGAGAATTGTTTAAGATTGACAAAAAGGCCGCCTATGAACGTCGGCTGGAGTATCGATCTACGATTTTGTCTGACTTCTGATCGAAAACCTCAGTGGGAAGCAACTCCAGGCGACAACGTTCGCGGAATCCGGACCTACGTCTACTCCAACTTGGACAGCATTGGTGCGGAGGAACGAACTATCTACGTCTCGTTCGCCGGTCAGTTCTAAAGGCCCTCAGAGGAAGGGGGAAGCAAACATCCCCATGATGATGCAGATGGTTTTCTAACGAGAGGGCACCCCTTTTTCCCCATATTCAGTCAACTGGGAGTTGAATAAATTGTCGCGGAGCGATGTGCCCTTCCCGGTGCGGGTGACGATCGAACATAAGGATAATGTGACGTATCTATTCGACTTCTACCAAGTGGAAGATCTTTTGCCTGAAGAAGCTTTCCGTCTAGGAAACAATCTGCAGGTAGGACACCGGGACCTCAAATCGGGAATGAACTATACTGGAAGATTCCTCGGTTTTGACCACAGAATAATAAGAACACAAAATCCGCAGCTACCCTTCGGAACAACTGGATGCAAGCTCCCCGAATCACAGCTCAAACCCGCGGTTCTCGGAACAGCTTTCTCTTTCACTTCCGCAGTCAACGGAGATCTCGGCGGACAGTCGACGAAGGTACCCATCTCGATAAATTATGAAGCTCCCCTATCGGGATCGATAGCGATCTCTCCTCTGATGGAGGTAGAGCCCATGCGACTGATTCTGTGATTTTCTGTACTTCAACAGGAGTACTTCAGTCTGGAGGATCGCCTGTACCGAGCCGACGGAGCTGATGGCCGTACCGTCATTCACGACGATACCCACGGATTGATTTACTCTATCGGAAACGGCTGTGAGGCCAGACCGAATGAGGACTTCAACAAAATCGCACTGTCAAGTGGTTCAACTAACCCCGGAGCGCGAGTCATCCAAGCTTATCAGAGCTTCTCCAAGAAAGTCTATATCGGTGCGTAATCGTTGATAATGTGAGGACGACGATCGCATCATTAGATTACACTTTGCTCGGGCTCTGGAATTAGCAATGATTTCAAGGTCTTATTTTTGATTTGTCGCCGATTTCAACAGGTGAAGGCTTCGTTCGTGGCATACCGGTCGATATCTGGGATGCCGAGGCCGCGGATGGCAATTTCAAGAGGGCTCGCTTCTTCTTCGCCAAATCCTTTCTCGTGATCTCCGCGAACGGCAACACAATGAGTCAGCCTCTGCTGAAAGCGATGATTCTCGACTCTCTCGATCACGACGACGTACTCGATGTAGACATCTATGATTTCGTCTCGAGTACAGGCGACTTAGACTTCCGGAAGAATTTCAACATCGAGGACTGCGTCGAAGCCTCGATGTTCATTGAGATCGTTTACCAAGGTGAGACACCGATTGTGATCCTGGCGAGCAGGTCCTTATGCCAGACCCATCCCTCGAGTGGCTCAGAAGATCTCGTTTCCGCTTTCAGTCCCAGACAATAAGACGTTCAATATCGAGGAGTTCAAGTATTCCAACGCTCCGAACGAGTTGATCGAATCGGCCGAGGAGGCTATCCGAGAGTCCGTCGCGATATCCCCTCTCCAACTACCCTCATTCAAGGTGCCCAGATATTGCGAGGCAGTGGAGTCGAAACGCGGAACGCTTCCCCGGAACCACCCATGATTCTCAATCATTTTTCACAGGCTGAAGTCGTCGACGAGCGCACGGTTAAGGTCTACGCGAAAGTTCTCGCTCCGCCGCCCTACCATAAATCATTCACGATCCGCGAGGAGCCCGTAAAGCATTACAAGGGTCCTTCGAGGAGCTCTTCGAACGCTGAAGATTGCGCTCGAGAGTGTATTGGAAAGAAGTGCCCGACTTTCCTGTTGTGCGGAGAGAATACGTGTCAGCTGATGAACAGCACCTTACCTTCCGGTTGGGGAGACGAGGAGACACTTTCCGAGAAGGATTGCTATGTCTACGACCGTAAGATCTTGTCGTTCTTCGCCGCTCTCGTCGTCGTCTATCTATGCCTGAAATTCCTCCCGGTAGCCAGCAGGAACTGATGTACATACGGACATAGGAGCACTTATCTTCAGATGTCGCCGTTGACGAGGACAGGGTTCGCAAATCGTTGGATCAGATTTCGTACTTCTTGGAGCGGCTCATCATGTTGACTGAGCCAGAATTCAAACCAAAAATCTCAGTGGGCCAAGGCGTATCTGTGGTCCTACAAGCGAACAAGTTCTACGGCCATCTTACGCAATTCAACAGTAAGTCTCTCCCTAGCATCAGTGTTCTTCGTCGCGATCCGCACGTCCGGCAGGCCGAGCCTGTGAAGTAGACCGGCTTTGCGCTGAAAGCTTCAATTGTTCACAGAGCAAGGAACCCTCGGACCGTACATGCGCCAATTTGAAAGTACATCGATAGATGAGACACACCAGTCGTCCTTGGCAATCGGAAACGAAGTTGTCACCTCCGGAGAATGCTACAGGGAGTGCAGGGCAAACAAGGACCTCGCCTGCTCGTCGTTCTCCATCTGCACTGCTTCCAAGAAGTGTGTCCTCAGCAGTCTGAACATCAACGCCGGAACCAACAACCATCCCGATCAGAAAACCGCTATCAAAGGAGGTTCCGCTGACTGTACCGTCTATTCTGTGAATTACTTGAGCGAGTTCGATCGGCTTGACGGCAAGGTCCGCAAGAAGGGCAACTCTGTCGAATCGAAGGCTAGTACCGCTGGCGAGTGCGCCAAAACCTGCCGTCAGGACCGATTGGATGGACTCAAGGAATGCCGGAGCTTCGATTTCTGCTCGAAGAACGGAAAGTGTTACTACTATCCCACTCATTTCAAATGGGTTGGGGAGGACGAGGCCCTGAAGGACGACACTGGTTGCGACCACTACGCTCTGCGTTATTCCGCTAGCTACACAGCATCGAGCAAGGGAAGTTTTCCCGGGAAGCCCTCACGGAAAGTCGAGGGAGTCGACTTCGAGGAATGCGCAAAACGATGTAGCGAGCATTCTAACAACGAATGCCAAACAATCTCTTATTGTGACTCTGACTTGCCGAACAAGCAAAAACAAGCCTGCTACATGTACGCTGAAACGATTGGGAACCTCGGTGCCAGCGATCGGGAGCACAGCTGCACGGTTTACACGAGTGAGTTTAGGCTACCAATTGATACCGGATTGAAGAATAATTTTGTTCTCCTCTGGCGATTCCAGGAACCGCGGCTATGACATATGTCACAAACTTTGATTTGCAGAGGACGAATCTCTCGTGAACGAAATCATCAACCCGAATCGTCAGTTCGACGCGGAAAAAGGGTTCTACATGCTCGGCATGGGAAATGGTAAAGACATCTAAAGTAAAGAAAGAACTGAGAAAGAATGGAAGGTAGAGAATAATTTGGGAGTTCAGCTCAGTCGATCCCTAGAAGCCTAAAGCTAAGTGCCGGATCCCGACTTGCAGGAGCATTCGCTGTCCTTCTCATTGCGATGTTGGTCATCGGTGCCGTTCTGGGAGCAACAGGCTACCTCCAGCGTGACAGGATCCTGGCTCTTATGGGGAGATCAGACTCGAGCAGTCCGTCTCGGGTGGAAACCTCAATCGCATACAGCCGACAAGATGACGATAATAATAGGAGCTCGGTAGCCTAATTTTCAGTGGGAGGAGATCTCCAACCAACGAATGATTGTACATACATTTTTTCGTGCGGAGTATTGCAAGGGAAATTCTGTTTTGGGCGTCCGTTCAAGCCGCGAGTTGGAGGACTGAATAAATGAGGGATCGGACGTGGACTTTTTTCTTTCGCTTAGGAAAGTCTGAGCCTCTAGAGCGACGCCAAGTGCGCGTAGTTTCCGTGGGATCCTCGTCGGATCACAACGCAAAAAGGAAAATGATGGCACCTTTGATGAAAACAGGTAGTCAAACGTTTACTGTGCGGGAACAATTCATACGGTATCAGGGTTTATTTTCTGTACAGAGTTCCGAATAGCGCTTCAGACGCGGCGTTTCACAGTGCTGATGTAGAGAACTGCAAATGAGGCATTTTAGCGTGATATACCTGGATTGACTCGCGACGCGCCATCGTGCCGCTGCATCAACGGACTATATCAGGATAGTTGACCCATGAGTAATCGAATCTTATCTGAGGCTCGATTTACCGTTGTTCCCTCGGATGAAAGCATCTCCATATTTGTTCTTCAATTGGCCGTTCACGTACTCCTCGGTTTGTTCCAAAGCAATGTTCATGTATCCGTCTAAGCACGACAGAACTCCTCGGTAATCCAGCCCGCTGTTCAACTTGACCACAACCGGTCTGCCAACGAGTTGTTTCAAAAAGTCCGACGTTGACGTCTTCCGAGTCATCTCGAGACCGGCTGAAAGAAAGGAAAAATGAACTACCAGAATGAGATCTTATTGGGTTGTTCGACGCCGCCAAGGAGGATGCATCGAAATGTGATTATTCGGATAGGAGGGAGGGAGGAAAAGGGGAAACTTTCCACCTTCCACGACCCGTTCATCCGACTGGAGTCTTCAGTCGCATCTCCGAGCTCTAGGCAATGCTCGCGCGAGCAGGAGCCGAACTCGTATCCTAATAATGCTCACTGTGGATCGAGATTCAAAAGAGCAAACTCTGACACATTCGATGGGCTCCGAGCCGAACCTCGTCGTAGAGTGACGGCGTTTCTTGGGAGCCGTCGAGACTTGCAATGAGTTTTCGATGAAAAGTAAGTCGCATCCTACTGTCTCGAAAAAGACGGCAACGGATAGGGGTACTTCCGTCCCAGGAAAGAGCGCTAAGGTTCAACTCACGGAATCGTTTCGGTCTTTTTCCACTGCTCGCGATTGAAAACCTTAGGCGAGAATGGGACCGGCTCAGAGTTATTTACCAGCTCAGCAGACGACGCGACGCCACAAAACATCAAGCGCGCGAATGGGAGTACCGCCGGACTTCCTCAAGAGAAAACCATAAAGCTCGGATCCTGTATCCTCTCGCGAAATTCGTTTTGACGGGCCTTCACGGAAATGAGTCAGGCAACCACAGATGAAGGGTAGCCAAAGCTCAGTCAAGCTTCCGACTGCCATCGCACGTTCGGAGCACTCTTCGATTGGGTCGCCCTCATTAGTCATCTGCTGATCGCCTTCCCGGGCGCCCTTGAGTGCGATGTCTCCGAAAATAAATTGTTGACCATAGGCGACCTCTCGATCATTCTCAGGGGAGCAGAATGTTCCAGAAGGCGAAGACCGAAAACCCTGCTTCGTGAGCGTCTCCGGAACGTCGCCTTCGAGCGATAATTTGGCTTCATGTAGATGTTCAATGCTCGAAGCGCGGTCCTCGGGTGTTTCAACTATCCCTCGACGGTGTCTACGTCTCATGAACGGGATTGTTGACGTGGGAGACGAAGTCAGCTTTACCGGTCCCCCCTTCCCCGAATGCGTAACGGCGAGGTCGAACAGATGGGGGTTGTTTCCGGTTTCCGTTCGAACATCCCGTGCGCCTACCTGTCGGTTTCCCCTTATGCTCCTGCGGGAGAGCTTCCGAGAGGTCGTACGGAACGGCATCCGTTATGGAGCTCCCAGCAATACAAGTTTCGATTTCAGCCGACGCAGATGGCTTCCTGAATCGTTCCTTTGGAGCGATACTTCACGGGCGATACCGGTGACGTCGAGCCTTCCCCGAGTCCCGAAGCAGAAGTTTCGCTTGAGATGTTTTGAGCTGAGTACTACTCCATGGAGAAATCCGCGATGATTCAGATATCATGCATATTTATTCAGTAAGGTATAAGATCGGGAGTGTATCTCAGGCCGCGATGCATAGGAGGATATCTGTGAATTCGATCGCGAGCCAAGATTCCCGAAGGCGAAATCTGAAGTTGAAGAAAACATCCTCCACGGAGTGACGGAGTGACCAATAATTCGAGCTATCAACGACGCCGACGTCTTGCTTGGGGAGAGAATCAGAACGTGTAAAATCCGATGAATATAGGCCCTAGTTCTCCCACATCGTGGGAAACGGAGAATAAAAGCGCTGGGCTCGTTCCTTCGGCAGAGGGTCATGGTCGAGGAGCACAAGCGTCGTTCCGTCCTGTCGTCTTGAGGTGATGCGTCCTTCGAAACTCGAGCCTTGACCTCGCGCCGCGATTTCTGATAACGAAGGCGTTACCGGAGCTCCTTCATTTACCCGAACGTGCGTTGCGGTCGGGGCGCCACATGCCGCTCTCAGGCCCGCGATACGTCTCTCGGGCACACCTGGGCAGGAACGAATTTACTCGACATGGAGATAGATTCAACAAACGATCGAAACCCTACCCGATTTCTTCGAGATTCCGCAAACTTACTCAGATTCGATTCCATTTTTGATTTGGGGGCCGAGAAACGAAGCCGAGCCGCTTCAGCAGATCGGTCCACGGGTCCTACGACTATTTAGGGTGAGTGTTTTCGATTCGAGAGAGAGTAGGACGTCGCAGGCTCACCGACGTGCACTTGCCGCCAAAGGGGTGAATGAATGAGTGTATGAATCGAACAATGTACAATGAGTTCACTCTATGTTCCGTCTCTCAACAGAGGTATATTCTATTCCTTCCCAGCGATCAGATCAACAAAGGCGCGGAAAGGAAATATAAATGTCAGGGAAAAATATGCTCAAGCTCGAAATGCCTCCTTCCACGATACACTGAGGATTTGAGGGAAGGATTCGTGCAGAGGCTCGGGGTTAGAAGGATCTCGTGCACCCCATGTGGGTTACGGCCCCCGAAACGCGGTTGCTGGGTCCTTCCCCCATTTTTGACGTGAAATGAAATACATTACCGTTCAAGCGGGTACTGGGGGGTTCAAAACATTGATTATTATTATTTGTGATTTATTATTTTTTGGCCACTCTGGACCACTGTGCGACGCAGGACGCCGCTGATCTATGAATACTGCTAGCTGCAGTCCCGTCTGAACCTGAATTTCCAACTGTGTATTTAAGGTGTATTCTGCGACTCCGAGAAGGAAAACATCCCAGCTCAATAAATAAGTCTTTCCCTCGGCATAGCTTTTATTTTAGTTCTCATTCGTACCGGGTAAAATATGACTGGGGGGGGGGAGCTGGAAAATGCTCAAAAACTAAGAGACTCAAAATAATTATCTTAAATTATAGGGCTTATCAATTCTCACACATTGCGCGTACAATGGCCCTCCTAGTCAATCATCAACTTCGACAACAATCGGTAAAATACTCGGGGGCCAGCATTAGGGCGTCATGCATCACACATGGAAATTCACTAACAGGAAGCCCTAAAGTACGTATCATCCGTCTGATAGGGCCAGGTCGTATCTCGCACCCTTATCCGAGGACTTCCACAAGCGCTTCGGAGACCTGGAGCCGTCTTCTTTACTCTCGTCATTTTGCTCGACCCATTCCAAACTTCGAGAATGTTCAAAGTCTTCTCTCGAGACGAAACGCCGGAGACATTGGAGCAGCGAGCCTAAAGCTTCGTTGGACATCTTCGAGAGATTGAGCTCCGCCACGGGGTCTTCCCTCGGGAGCAGCTTGTTGAGTTTCAAACAGACCGCGGTCGCGAAGCTCGCAGTCAACGCTTCTTCATCCAAGAGCGCGTATCGACCATGTCGGAAGAATCTGCTGCCTGGTGCCAATACAACGGACTGCGAAACCAAACGCTGAGCCAAGTCCGGGTTCGAGTAGTGCGGGAATCCGGAGACATCCACATTCGAAAGTAGGACTTCGATGACGGACATAGAGTCCACGAAACGACCGGATAAGTTGCTTTGACAGTCCTCTCCGCCAGAGCTGGACCTATAGTCTCTGGAGCTGAAAGAGACCTCCGAAGATTCGAATGTTTCCGAGTCGCTCTCCTCTGTAAAAGATGAAGCTCCGAAGCTCAACACATGGGAGGGCTCGATCTCGGACTCTTCCGGTGTACCACACTGCTGAATGCATCGCGGACCTGTATGAGGAAAAGGAGGGTGGAAATGATCGGGCGAAATCAAGCGCTGAACTCTTCGTAGGGCTCTCGGATGAGCGAAAGTCTACGAACTGAAATTGGTTTGGTTTCTCGGCAGCGGAACTCACGCTCGTCCCAATGGTCATCGTCGTAGGGCTTAGGAACGCGAACGATATCACTCATCGTTGAACGAATGTATCCACACAGTAGGAATTTGCGCGCAGAATGAAGATCCTCGGAATGGCCGCCCACAGACGCGGTTCGCGCGTTCGGAACATGGATGTCATCCACAAGACGTCGACGTCGCTCGATTCGCATATGTGATCGTGTTTGTAAGCAAAGGAGCGAGGGATTCTGCCTGTTCCGGAAAAAGAAACACGGCAACTTGTCTCTTCGCGTATGCGTTCGATTCGCGGAAACTTCATATTCCCTCGTTTCCGATCCGCTTCTCACCAAAATCGATCTCAAAGTTCAATTTGGGCAGAGACGTTTGGGGAGGGATCATCCGCATCCCGATACGGAAGGAAGTTCGTTTCATGAAGGCAGCGCCGTTCCTCTTACTGAGGTCGTCTTCCCTTTTTGCTCGTGCGGACTCTATCCTCGAGCCAAGAATAGATTGAGCGGGAAGGAACGATCCTCATGACTTCAACGGAATGAGACAGAGCTCGTTTGGAAACAAACTTGGTGACGGGCGGAGTTTATGCGTGAGAGGATCTCATTGTGATGTTTCCCGAGCATTCTCCCGTTTTAATCAGAGATCCCGAGATGTTCGCTCTGTTTAGACCCTTTATCGGTCGGTCGAGGGAGGCTGTGATTCCGTCGAACCTCAAACTTCTAGTGCATCACGTCGCAACGATACTAAGCGGAGCGAGCTCATTCGTGTCCTTGGAGACACCTGCACTAGTGGTACCGACATTAGGTATCTGAGTCCAGCTCCTTTTCCCGAGCGATTTGTTTTTTCCGCGAAGGATTTCTAGAAGCTGGCAAGCGGATCGACCTGAGATTCTCATTGAATGACCGATTCGTGATCGGTGCGCTGGGACGTCATTTCATATTGGTATAAAGTCGAGTCGGTTGCTCTCAGAATCGGCGGGGAGTATACATAGAACCGTGAACTCAGGATTCCGATTCTCTACGGTCCGGCGCGGCGGCCAAAATCGATACGAAGAGCCTCGGTCTCTCTCGATCCCTCGCACGTGGGTCGAGCGAGAGCTGTGTTCTGTTAGCCAGCGTCTTATGCTCCTGGGCTAGCCAGACCTGCACGATGAATCGGGGATCCCGTTTCTATCTTCGTTGACTCTGGCTGATGCTCAATCGGAGTCTCTCGTGAAGTGCGAGACTGCACGGTGTCGCCTGCTCTATGGTCGGAACTCGATTCGCGGCGACGGGACGCGCCCCGGATCAACTCTAGCGTCCTCCTGCACTTCTGGCCGAGGTGGACTTCGCTGGCTTGGAGGACCCGGGAGTACCACACAGAACGAGTGCACCGCTCTCGACCTGAAAAATCATATCGACACCGCGGAGATAGCTACGGTGAATCCCAACTCTGAGCTCCGATCACTCAAGGGAAGCTCTGTATTCAGAGTTCCAACACTTGATCTGCATCGACAGCATATCCTCTCCTATAAGGACCAAACTCGATCGTTCCGCAAGCCATCGACGGAGACTCTCTGACGATCGACACTGTGGAAGCTTCCGCAGAGAATTGGAGCGAATGACTTCCGGGAAAATATTTGAGCTCGCACAAATGCTGCCGATCATGAGCTGACGTAGAGCCCATATTATTTATCGAAAAACATCCCGATGCACTGGGATAACAAGTATTGGGTAATTATTTTCTTGAAGAGCTCCGAATGCTTGATGCAATTCGGGTGATTTTGGGGCTTCTCTCACTTGATCGGAGGTTACCCGCGGACGAGATCGCCGTGCAGCTCGGTTCGCGAGTGGATTGAGCCGTGAGCAGAAACAGAAAACTTGGTTTCACGGGATGATTCCGACTCGATCTCTTTTTCAATGAGATGCTTCGGGGTTCATTATGAAGTTAGAGGGGTCCGCAGGTCTTGGGGGTTCTATGCCCGTCAGAAGAGCCAGAGGGGTGACTCGAATGAAAGCAAGAAAAATAATCGGGGCAGTCCACCCATGTGGAACACTCAGGTATTCTGTGATCCGGGCTAGCAGTACCGCGAAGATGGAAGAATCTTTCTCCCCCATTTCCCCCCTTCCAGCATCCAGGCAGAGAAGTGATCTCCCCAGAATGGAAAGCTGAAGGCTCCGGGAAGAGAAGCGAGCACAATCATGGAACATCCCTATCACTCTCTGTGAGAATATCCGCCACTCTCGCAGTTCGCCAACGGCTGGCTTGCGGTCCTCTCCGAGGGGCAACCATCGTTGGCAATAGTCCTGAGACAAATCTTTACCGGGAAGTCGGCATCGCTCTTCCAGAAGAACGCTGATCTCTTGCTTCCCTTTCGATCTCCTCCTGGAGAGCGCTGGGATATTCGCGGATTTCAGCTCCCAGTCCTTCATCGCACGGCAACAAGAAGAATCTCACGCTGCATCTATGGAAGAGGATTCTTCCTTGAGAGCTCAGGGACGGTCAACGAGTCAGATCATGAACAACGATCGTCCTCCTCAATCCTCGGCGACTCGGTTGATACCTGGGAAAGCAGGACTCGGATGTATATTTCCTAGAGGTCCTCTTGGGGGAGAATTTCCGAGGATATCACTGGGAAGCCGCAACCAATGCTTCTGCCCTCAGGCTGATTCCTCTCAGCAGTTCTTCGGCCCCGGGGGACCGCGATCTTCGTTCCTAGAGCCAACTTTCGTGCTTCGATGCGATTATGGTATCCATGCTCCTCCTCCTCCCAATTTCAGTTATCACCATGGCAGAGCAGTATCGATTCTCCGATCCCCTGATCTTGAATCTTGAGTCTTCCAAGCGATAAGCCGATATCTAGAGCCGCGACAGCTTCGAATGATCCGCATAACATGGAGTCGATTCTGCCCAACTCCATCATATCACACTCATCCGTGCTGATCTAATCGACTCGGGAACTGCCATGTTTATCCGAGGGAACTCGGTTGTATTATACTCCTGGTGAAATCATCATTTCTCGACACGGAGCAAGGGAGGTGATCAAGTTCATGACATGAGTCGGACCCGCCGGCATTCGAGTCCGCAGGATCTGGCGATTGGAGAGCTATAGGGTCCACCGTTTACGAGTTTCGAGGACGATCTTATTTCCAGAGTACGAGAAGTACAACGACATGCTCTGAGATGACCGCATCTCGACGGGCTAATCTTTTGGTCTTGGAAGTGATCGTAAGCTTCCATCTTTGAGCACACCGCGATTCGTCAGGAGGCCGAAAAGAGCCCTGACACGCAGTACGCGGAGTACAGACGCACGTGGACGACATTTGATGCGGCCTCATTCTTATTCGCTCTCAGAGTTTTATTCGATTCGTCTATGGAGCCTCCCGCAATCGATATCAGAGCTCGCACCGTGAATTGGATCATAGAGCTGGGATCCCGAAAAGGGATCCTGGGACCCTGACGGGGTCCCGGCTGCCGTAGGTACCGAAGGTCGGAGGAAATTATTCATGATAGGACCCTCCGGAAAAACATATCCGACATAGCTCGCAAGAATATCGACCAGCCATAGAGCGTCAAAATCCCTCCCTATAACGAGAGTGCTTGCTCATTGGCCGAGTAGAAAAATATTCTTCGTCAGGCAAAACCACCGACTGGTTCCCTTTGGATGACATCCAAATGGGTTCCGAGCACGGTCGAGGACTTCGGAGGGGGTCTCCCGCTGAAAAGAAATCTGGAACCGCTGTCATAGAGCGATTCGGTGTAATACAGCGGAGCTCACCTCACGGAGATCCAGCCCAATAATCGGGTTGCGGCCCAAAAATATGATCCGTCGAAGCGAAGACCGAAACCCTCGTCTCTTGGTCACCCCGTCGTTTGGCTACAATACCCCGAGTAATGCGGGGTGGCTATGGGATTGTTTTCGAGCGTTTAGACGCGGTTGAGGTCGGGGCTTCATTTATCATACTGTGGATTACTAGAAGCTACAGGTTCAACATTGCTCGCACGCTGCATGCATGCTCATCAGACGAGTCGGAGCCGCTCTCCCGCTCGACCGCCTGCTCACTCGGTCGGCAGTTTGGCTCGCTTTCTCTCTCGCGGAAAGTTTGACGGACCAGCGATCGGCGCGCTGCTACCGAGAGTAAGGAAAGTCTCCGTAGCAGATCCGCATGAGATACGCATTCCTTCGGAGTAGACGAGCCGCCAGAAACCACGCGGTCTTCGATCGTGATAACTCTCGGGGTTCCTCTCGTTCTCAGAATCGAAGACATCTATTCTCGCTTCGGAAGCTCAATTCGATGCTAGGATGTTCGCTGTCAATCCGAAACATTAGGTGCAAGCATGCGATGTGATTCAATGAGCAATCAGAGATATCTAATGAAGAAAATGCTTGGAGTCCCCCGATGTGAAGACCGACCTGTATGCTCCTCCGAGATGGCACATCTCGAGAGCGGGACCGACCGAAAGACCTTCGTTTTCGATGGCATCCCTTCGAATCAGACGACAATCGGCGTAGGGCTCATTAAGCACGGCTTTTCCTCCCTTCGGAAGTTGTTCATTATCGGCCGTCAGAATGTAGAAGAGTCGGCAGCTTATTCTGCAGGAAATGGAATGACTGAGCATATCAACCGCGATTTGGATTTCCGCGGGAAAACCCACCGGCAATGGCCGAAAAAGACGTTGAGCACTCCACAATCGAAGCTTCTATCCGATCGGAGCGCGGTGAGTGTCGAGCACGTGGTTCCGCTCCACGAGTCGCCTGCGGGCCCCGCCGAGCTCGATCGGTAGCCTCGATCATCAATGCTGTCTCGGGGGCAATATGTCGGACGTATCTATGACTCATCGGAGAGCTGTTTCCCGAGAGCATCCCTCAAGATTCCGAGACGGAACCGCCGTTTCCCTTGCCAGGGCAAGCGGACGGGAACTCCGCCAAGACTCAAGCTGCTCCGCTATCGCTCCGTTTCCGGATGACTCATTTCTTTTCTTCTTTGTAAAGAATATCAGCGAGCCGTGCTGTCGCTAAATTGGGATAACAATGAAGCTAAAAATAATTCTTTCGATAACTTCGCTCGCGTTTCGTCCCCGATCCGATGCCTACATCCAAATGCTGATTACTACTCGATCATCAGTACTAATAAATGCTCGAATGTAGGGGGACTCGAGAATTGATCCTGTTTTAGCCGAGCTCCGATAAATTCCAGACCGTGGGGGTGACGGGGAATTCGGTCGCTATTACTCATGCTCATGCGATTCTGTATGATGGTCAAGCATCGGTGCAGGACGCTCGCCCGGGACGACGTCGCCCCGCTCAGTCAGGAGGCAATCGGCGGAATGTAGCCGCTGTCAAGGCGGACGTCGCCGTCGTTCTTGTTGCCCAAGCTAGAAGATCGGAAGTCGAAGAATTTACGCTGTCGGTCTGCCGTTAATACTGCGGCCGGCTGATGGCGGTAGCCGTCGTCGCTTCTACTACCACCGAGCTCCCTGGTTAGCTGACGGGCGGCTACGGTGGTGCCGGCGGCCGGCCGCTCGACTGACTGACTGGATGGCGCTTCTTCTTGTTCCGTTCTGGCCTAGAAATCGGCCGCAGCAGCAGCAGCAGCAACAGCAGTCGCCGCCGTCGCTGTGGCGGCGATGCGCGTGCGCGAGTGATGTCAGCGGATGATAGCGGCGAGTCGGCGGGGTCGGCGAGTTGGGGTCCGCTCGCCTTTGCGCCACCCCGGTTCGAGGAGGCGCTGGATTCGAATCGAGCTGTTTAAAAGCTCGCCCCTCGAGAGCTCGATCGCTCAGTCGTCCTCGAGGTTGTGGAGGCTGAGGTCTGACTGCCGCGAGAACAGTGACTGAGAAATTCGGGTGTTGTGCTTGTTCGAGTCGATCGCGATTTCGTGACGCCGAGTTATCAACACGTGTGTGGTAGCAACTGGCGACTTGTGTGACAGCAGTCGGCAGCGGAGTGGTCTCTGATGGTGCTCGTCGGTCCTTGATCATTCATTCTTCGTTGCTCAGGCCTTGCAATCGCCACGCTACCCTCTAAAATTTTGAAAAAAAACCAAAAAAATTGAAAAAAATTGCAAAACCCTGACTCTTTGTGAGTAAGGACCAAAAAAAGGTATTGTGAGGATGAATTCCGGCGGAGGTAACTACACCATGGCGTCTCTGTACGTCGGAGACCTGGATCCAGATGTTACGGAGTCGATGCTGTTCGAGAAGTTCTGCCAAGCTGGGCCCGTGCTCTCCATCAGGGTATGTAGGGACATGATCAGTCGTCGCTCGCTCGGCTATGCCTACGTGAACTTCCATCAACCGGGCGATGCCGAGCGTGCGTTGGATACGATGAATTTCGAGCCGCTCAAGAACCGTCCCATGCGTATCATGTGGAGCCAGCGAGACCCTTCACTCCGTAAGTCCGGCGTCGGCAATGTCTTCATCAAGAACCTGCACAAAGATATCGACAACAAGGCGATCTTCGATACGTTCTCGGCGTTCGGCAACATTCTATCGTGCCGAGTGGCGACCGACGAGCAGGGCAACTCACGCGGCTACGGATTTGTGCATTTCGAGACCGAAGAAGCAGCTAATGAAGCTATCAACAAAGTCAACGGTATGTTGCTGAACGAGAAGAAAGTCTTCGTCGGCAAGTTCGTGCCCCGATCCGAACGAGAGCGCATGATGGGCGACAAGGCCCGCCTCTTCACCAACGTGTACGTGAAGAACTTCGGTGAAGAGCTCGATGACGGGAAGCTCAAAGAGATGTTCGAGGTTTACGGAAAGATCACCTCAGCTCGAGTCATGACCGACCAGACCGGAAAATCGAGAGGCTTCGGCTTTGTTTCATTCGAGAATCCTGACAACGCTGAACAGGCTGTCAAGGAACTTAACGACAAAGAGCTCGGAAACGGCAAGAAAATATATGTCGGTAGAGCTCAGAAGAAAGCCGAGCGCCTCTCGGACCTCAAGAGGAAATTCGAACAACTTAAAATGGAACGTATGACTCGGTACCAAGGGGTGAATCTCTACGTTAAGAACCTCGACGACGTCATCGACGATGAAAGACTACGACGTGAATTCGCGCCATACGGTACGATCACCTCTGCCAAGGTAATGATGGACTCAACAGGAGCCCGTTCGAAAGGATTCGGATTCGTGTGCTTCTCATCTCCCGAAGAGGCCACCAAGGCTGTCACGGAGATGAACGGTCGCATCATAGTACAGAAACCCCTGTACGTTGCCCTGGCTCAGAGGAAGGAGGACCGTCGCGCTCATCTGAGCTCTCAGTTCGTCCAAAGATTCACGGGAGTGCGCGTACCATTCGGCCAAATGCCCTTCAATCATTCCACTCCGACGAGCTTCATTGTGCCGGCCTCAATGCACCCGCGGGCCTTCTTCGCCAGCGGAAACGTTGCCAACAACGTTCGCCCCCAGAGATGGGCGGGAGGACAGCAGATCCGCGTCTCAGGCCAATACGCCATGGCCGGAGGAGCTCCGATGGCCACGGCAGCCGCCGCCAACTTCCAGAGAGCACCGCGTCCCACCATGCAGGGTCAGAACGCCGGGGTTGCGGCCGCTCGCAACGCGACAATGAGTTCAACGCGCCCCATAACTAGCACGATCCACGGCGCCGCCGGCTCTGGGACTCAGAGCAGGAACCGCGTGGGAGTCGCACCCCAACAAGCGCCAAACAGCCGCCCCACATTCAAATTCACTAACAGCGTTCGCAATGCTCAACCGTCTACGCCAGCTGGTGCTGCGCCGATGAACGCCAGCAACGCCGTGCTCGTCCAAGGCCAAGAACCCTTGACCACTCAGATGTTGGCCGAAGCCTGCCCAAGGGATCAAAAGCAGATGCTGGGAGAACGACTATTCCCATTGATCTACGCCATGCATGCAGATCTCGCAGGAAAGATCACAGGTAAGTTCCCCGAACACCCTCGTCGCCCATTCGAATGAAACTAATTCTCTATGCTACTGTGCCCCTCGTTCGAATCTTTCCACTGAACTCAACACTCACTCGCTCTTTTCTCCCGAACAGGAATGTTGCTCGAAATCGACAACTCTGAACTTCTGCACATGCTCGAGCACAGCGAAAGTCTCCGAGCCAAAGTCGAGGAAGCCGTGGCCGTACTCCAGGCCCATCAAGCCAAGGAGGAAATCTCACGAACCCAGAACCCGCCTGATGCGCCCAAGACGATGGCCGAAGTCGTCGCTGCCGGCAAGAAAGACTAAGACGACGCCCGACCCGCCAAGCCCCTCCAGACAAGACCCATCCGACAAGTACAACAGCCTTAAAATGAACAGCAACAGCATTTGGAGGGGCGAAACATCCTTCTCGATACCTTTGAATTTGAGTTGAAACATCACTCTATGAAGTAACGAAGACATCTTACATCTATTTCGCGCTGAAGCGATCCTCGTCGTGCTGAAGTCTCTTCTTCCGACCCCCGAACACCGGGTCCAACGAAAGGTTGAAAGCAAGTTGAGCATCTCAAGCAGCCGAGAGGGAAAGCGTGGTAAATCGCAGAAAATCAGTTCAAACAAGGTGTCATCCTGTTTGTTCTGAACTTTGAGACATAAGCATAAAACAAGGTGAAAACCTGAAGCATTCTCGGAAAAAAAAACACCAAAAAAATCGCAAAACCCCAAGAAAAACTCCGCGTCAACAGTGGTCGAAACGCGGAGCCAAAAAAAACCTTCAAGGAAGACGCAACCTTTATTTCAAGCAACCTGTAAAATGAAGAACGACAACATCAACAATTCAACAAGCGAGTGTTCTGCTCCGGCCCCGTCGCAACTTGAAACGCCGTCGGAGTGCAGACGGAACGAAAGCAGAAAATCAGCCGAGGAATCTCCCGACGATTCCTCGGTTTGCAAGTTACAAATGAGATTCGATCAACACCATCAATCTGAAAAAAAAGAAACAGCCACAGCATCTACATCAACTGTTGAAGCACAATTCGGCCTTCCCACCTCAATCATTATTATGATCATATACCCAACTATGATGATGATAAAACACGAAACTAACTTCTAGTAATTTTTCATTTCTATTCCAATGAGCATCAAGGTACTTTCAAGCATTGCAGACACTGACGAGTTCAGCTAGAATGTGATGTAAGAGAGAGCACAACTCTCCGTGGTTTTTCTATCCTTTAATCCTTTCCTTCAAGACTTGAGCGAACAAGATTGTTCAACTTTTTTCTCTTGGTCGCTTTTATGAAAAATCTTCAAAGATGTCATCTTCTGGAACGAATTTATGACCGGAAATTCGCGCTGACCAATTGAATAAACGAAAAAGATAAGCAACATTCATTGCAAATACGGGAACATAAAAGTGATGCTCCTTTTTCTATGTAGGCGAGATCTCGGGGAAGGCATTGCGTCGAGAGGATAGGAGCAAGTCGAGGCTCCCTGAGGCTCCCCTTTCTATGGTACTGTTTTTGGATCTCCCTGGAGATATATGAGGAAGAGTGTCTTTCTTTCTTGATAAGAAAAACCGACTTCACTCTACACCTAAGGACGAAATCGCGGTACGTGGCATCGACGAACGGTTATGAGCTGGACCCATGAGCAGCTGTGATTCGCTCGAGCTTTGAGCATTCGATCGGTAGGAGCTTCGGGGAGCAACTGCGGCTTTCCGGAAATCTCGCCCCGACTCCACTGCTCTGCTCGACTGATCCCCTCGGATTCCGGGAAGTCACAGTTATTAGAAGTTGATCACTCGAGGCCGGAAACTCATCCGAGCTGTGAGGGAGCCTCGCGGGAGAAATAAGCGATGGGCTACTTCGGGACAAAATACTGCCGAGACCCCGTGTTCCCGATGCGAGGACGCGGCGATCACCCGGAATGAAAGGAGTCTACAGGTCGCAATAGAAGACAAAGCCGCTCGAACAGTTTTTTCCCAATTTATTCATATGCTATGTTTGCAATTGAACATCATCATCCTATATTTCATACCGAAACGCAAATCAGTAAACTCGAGGTTGTTCAAGTGTATCCATCCCAAAGATGTCTCCCTCCGAATGACGCCCAAGGTTCGTTGCTAGCACAATGCTGATTCGAATTCAGATATATGTATATGTATGTTTTACTTTTGTTTCATCCCATGCCTGAGTTCGATCAGTCTCTCTTTCTGTTACCTGAGACTACACACACTCTCAACAATGACAACTCCCTCTGACAGAGCTCCTTCCGGGGACGAGGCTGCGCGGCTGCGATTTGCGATGTCGATTAACACCACTCCCAACTGTTGGATTCGCAGTCTTTCATCCGCGCGAGAGGGATAATTGCAAAATTCCTAGTCTACCTAAAGAAAACGTTTGAAACTTCTGAAAGCCACTAAATTCCAAAGATCACAGTAGTCAATGATGCGGATGAGAACCAGCTGAGTGGGGGAGGCGGGGGACCGTATGTATTGAAATCAGGCTCCCGCTGGTCGACGAACTGACTTGAATCCCGATTGAGGACCAATCCTGGAAACTCTGATTTCTCAGAGCCCAGGAACTCAGACTTACACAACAAGTATGTTTCAATGCTCCGCCGTACGCCGATCGGAGATGGGACTGTCACATCATAGACAGATACACAAAATGAGATGGATAATAATGCCTCTCCTTGTGATAGACTCCGAATCACGGTCAATGTCGTCGACAACGCTATCTAAGCAATAACCAACAAAAGCCGATGATGCCACCGAATACAAGTACAGTAAGGATGCTTTAGGCGATGTGGAGACGAGGCTCTCGCTCCCTTCATCGAATCACGAAAGAGAACCGGGTGTTCTTGGTCAGAAAACTTCACATCCATCCGCCACCGCATACTAAGCATCACATAGAAATCACAGAGGAATCTTCTCCAGTCTCGCTCGCTTGAGTACCGAGCTCTTTATCCGCCGGGGAGATCCTCCACAAGGAGGTTTTTCATTCCCTAGATTGTTCATAAGCGCCACGATAACTCCTTCGGATGATTTGAGACGCCAGTTGCTCTATGCGTACCCGATTCCGATCATTGGCGTCGAAGTCGACGCATTCGGAAAACTTGACCGATGACGCTTCGATGCAGAAGAACGTCCGTGAGACGCGTGATCTTTTCCCGCCGAATTGAGACCACAGTCTTCCATATTCCGAATCCGAATTCCTCGCTGGGTTCTCGCATGAGATACGACGGATGTGGCGACGGGCGGAGATGGTGCTCGGATTTGCTTTCTTCAAAATTCATTCTGTCTCAGGCGATTCAATTGGGTCCCGTTTCATTCAGGCTTGTGATCGGTCCACCTTCATTTGTCTAGTCCCCATCGGTTCCCAGATTATTGACCTATTCAACCTTTCGGCGTTGACGGGTCGAATCATCCTCTCTCAGTGACGAAGAATATTTTCACAACGGGAAGATGATGACATCCCCGGGTTCATTCGATTCTACGGACTATCAGTGACCCATCCCACTCCCGACTACTTCGGTGTGGTACGCTCTCCTCAGGGGAATGTTACCCCTCGAAATTCTCCCGTCATCGCGAAAGTTGTTATTCAACAGCAGATAATTCATACGATCGCAAAGAGTCGTGAGAGGGCGATTCTGATTACCGAATATCGTCTCCAATGTGTAAATATGAAGAGATATATGAACAAGTTGTATATTGGTAACGTTCTGTAGCTCTTCCCAGACTCGCGCAATTGTTTACAAGGGCGTTCTTTTTCCTCCGCAGAGCGGGATCATTCGCTCCTGATCCAATCGGATACACGGAGAAATCGTTCCTTATAAGAAAAATAACCTCATATCACGGCTCTCTGTAGTTTCGCCATTGTGTACACCAATTCATATACATATCCTACAAGACATTCATAAGCAACAAGTCCCCGTTTGACGGGCATCGAACCTGACGGAACCCTGCTATCGTAGTGCTGCAATCTCTCCGGAGTCAACGAGAGGTAAAAAAACCATAGCAAGTCATCGGAACTTCCTGCGACTCAGAGCGAGGAAGACTCCGCGCCAGCCGATTGCTCCAACCGCGACCGAGTTCCAACGGAGCCCGTCGACCGAGCTACAGATTTTGACGCAACAAGTGTTTCCGAGAATATACCGCCAACAACTGCACGTAACTCGCGCAGTGGTCCGACTCTAGAGCTGTAAATTCACGTCGCTTCCACAGAGATCCCGGCGTCCGACGGAAGCGCTCCTCTCGACTAGAATTTGGGCATTTTCTTCATCTGCACTTTTTCCGCGATCAGCTCGTTTTCCCATAGGCGATAAAGTCGTTCACCGATTGACCAGGCCAGGACACGATCCGAGGGGCTTCCCTCAGTCGAATAGGTTGAAGAGATGATTCTCAAAAACTTCGAGAACTACAATGAGAAACAGGGAAGTTGCATCAGAAATGTGCAAAGTCGTTCCTGCGATGGGAAAAATGATTCTCTTAACAAGGACACACGAATCCAATGCGAATAAAGCAGGCTTGCCCACCGTGTTCGCTGGGTCCGGCAGCGGCGAGATCGTACGCTGTATCCATGAACTCGTTCAGATCGAAAACCGACGCTCCCGCGAGCAAGAGTTCTTTGCATGTCTCAGCATGGTCCCCAGACGCTGCGTACATTAACGCGGTACATCCGTCCTGCGAAGAGGATAGAGTTGAGGAGAAGAGGGATGGAGAGAAATCCTCAATTTCGTCGTCTCACTCACTTGTTATCCGTCGAAATCACGAGCTACTTACGCAATCGGCGTGATTTATATCCGCACCGTGGGCGACAAGTTCCTTCACAACGCACGTATGACCTCGGCATGCGGCAAACAGGAGAGCACTTTGGCCCTGGAAACCCTGAGCGTTGACATTGACCCTCTGAAGCAGAAGTTTTCGGACGGAAAGCAGCTGACCATGGAACGCAGCCCACATCAGAGGTGTCAGACCTTCGCTATCGCAGAGCTCGATGCGCGACTCCGCTGAAAAGGCAGAGCGGTCAGGAGATTTGCTTGTTCTCTGCCACACTATGCCTTTTGGGAGGAAGCACCTAGGCGAACTCACCGAAGGGCTCTTTCGGAATATCTCCTTGAGCTACTAGTTGATGGATACATCTCACTGAAAATTTTGAACCGGCGATCTTGAGCATGTCAATTCGAGGGTTCAGAAGAATCATGGCTCTACCCTCGACAGTAAGATGAAACTCACGAATCAAATTCATCGGTGTCTGAGTAGGAACGTTGCCTCTCTGGAGGTTCGTCAGGACGGTGACCGGCTGCAAGCGACCAGACAAGACGTCTAAAGAATAACTCTTCGCTGCACGGAAATCGAAACATCAAGGTCGAGAAATTATCCCAGACCACGCTGGCAACTAAGGGCGTCGACAGAGCTCCCGACCGGGACGGACTCACCTTCAGGAAAGTTGTGATAGCAGCTTTGTCGTTAGCTCCATTGAAAACTCCGTTAGTGCTCTGAACGCCATTGAGTCCCTGCAGATTGTAGACTTCCGGACAAATATGGGCGGTCATAGCCGAAGAAGCCATTAGGTAGCCGGACTCCTCAAAAACAACAACGGTAATAGGAAAAACGCGCTAGGAGCTTCGAGTGCTGCTGCTTCAACCCAACGAGCGCTTCGCTTGAAGTTTTCACCTGCATGGAAGCGAAACTTTCCGCAAAATGAATGGAAAAGAGTACATATCATATGACGGAAGAATTGTGGTTGACGCCTTCGGCTCACCATTTTCGCAGACCGCGGTCACGAGGGTGAACAATCAATTATGATTCGCCATCGTAGTGCCTCGACAGTGCTCCGACCGATACCGATTACGTTCCAATGAGCCCGATGCCCCCAATTTCCTCCCAAATTTCTCCGAAATCCTCCGAGAAACGCCGCACATGCGTCTTCACATCACGGAATATGAGAGCTCGATCCCTATGCTTCTAAGTTCCGGCCTGGAAGAAGAAGATCGCCTGTGATCGACCGTGGAGCTTCAATGATGAATGAATGCGAGATCATTCGGTGTTAGCGAGCGACCAGTCTCGATGACAACTTTCGTAAAATACATTATTCTGGGAGAATGATTCTTCAGGCAATCGTGGGGGACGCACAGAAAAATCGATTAGGATCTCAGCCTCAAGAGTGTCAGTCTACATGCTTCCTCGGTTGACACAAGACTTGCGAACGAAGGGCGACAACGCCACTAAGGACGCGGGCACCAGAAGCTCCGATCGTCGATCGCGTCTTCGTCGATCCTTGTTCTTACAGGATGGCTGGTCCCTCGAGAGACTCTGTATGCCGATTCACGACGCCCAGGACAGAGACGGTCGAACTAGTGAGACAGGGAGCCGGCTCGAGGGATCAGCAGAGTGAACTCACGCATCCGCGGAGAGCTTTCAATAATAATACTGGGATCCAGCGTTTGAGCTCTCCATTTAGCGCATATCCGATCGTTTCCGACCGTAACGGTGACCGCACAACTATCTAGACCACCACGGAGACCGGGCGCGGGGAGCTTCGGATGTATCGATTGTCTACAGCGCACTCTTGCGGTACGAGGAAATAACGTCTTCGGACACGACCGAGGCTGCTATTCCCCAACACGACCCCCGGGGCTGGGATCGAAGTCCGTATAGTCCTTACGAGGAACGAGTCCGAACTTTCGAAAAGAGACATCTCCCCGTCTATCCGTCAACGCCTTTTGCCTTTGGGGGGTTTAGAATCTTCGGAGGCGGTTGATCGGCCGACTATTGCCCTTCTCTGACTGAGAGAAATCAGCGGCTCCCCATAAGAGAGTTCGACGTTCGACAGATGCATGGTAGTTCCAGCTCCGCTCAGGATCGTCGTCGCCTTTATCGCCTGAGAACCAGCTCGCCGACCGAACAGGGCCCTCGACAATAAGACCTGGAGCCTAAGGCGATTGTGGTGATTACTCTTCTCGAATCGCCAGCCTCGATCGAGATCGCACATCATCGTGAATTATCAAGACTGTTTTGGACTACGACGCCGGAATCCTGCCCTCATCGACGCCTCGCAGGTCGTGGGGATATTCCGCGCTCGCTCTGATACAGATGTTTCGCCTTTGCGATTTCCTTCGCTCGACGCGATTCTAAGCGCATTCATCGGAAAATCGCGCAAATCAACGACAATCGAATCCGATAATAATGATCATCGAGCGCGATGGAGCTGGCTACGGGAACTGACCCCGAAGGAGGAGAGTTGTCCCTGCGGAATTAGCGGAACCGGCAACCGACATCTTATGGGATAAGAGACCAAACTCGCATCTGGAAGAGGACAATATCGAACGCCAGGCCATCTGAGCCTTCGAGCTATTTCAGGGATTTCAGTAAATTTTCTGTTCGGCTCGCAATCCGTCGGGAGCGTCGCCACAGTAATTACGAATCCGATCTCATCAGAACAGTCGAGTTCACAATTTCACCTTGGCAGAGAACGTCAACACAGAGACGAAAATCGATTGAGATTGGAAACCACCAGAGACGGTGAAAGCGCCTTCGTTCCGATTCCCTCTTCTCGGGGTCGCTCATATCAATACATACACATCTGGTCCATGGAAAAGGAACCCTGAGTGAAACCATCATGGGGTTTCGATGGAGGCAGATCGAATAGGATGGAACACTAGGCTGAGAATAGTTCCGCTGTTGAAGTACACGCACCCTTGAAATATCATCGTCGTCGGTAAAGAGAGGGACGGCAGCGAGCTCGGGAGAAAGAGAGCGACGGACTGACCGATCCAAGAATCGTAATGACAGCCATGGATGATCACGCATCAATGATACAGCGGGGAACTACAATCGATAGAACACCGAAACCATTGGAACTGAGACTGTGCCTCCGATAATGCTGACTGTCTCGCAACAGAATGCAAGCCTCACTGCAAGTATTCTGCGAGTGGTTTTCGCTGGGAAGGACCTTCGGGACCTTGAAACCCGGCTTCCAGTCGGATTCGCCGTCCAAGTGTGCAATCGATGAATCGCGCTAACCCCAGCTACAGAGCTGAGCCAAGAACAGCTACTGACACCAGCTCGGCCTGCCGTTCGTGCAAGGTCGGAAATCGGAATCACTTACCGACCGATTCAACCGTGCCAGCCATCATCTCCGGCCGTAGACTCTCCAGCTGTTTTGTCCACTGCTCCGCCAAAGTGACGGGCTGTGAGCGCGATCGTCGAGTACGTGGCGACTTGGCAGGGCGGATGGGTTCGCTCGCTCGCTTGGAACGAAAACGTCCGTGGCGCCTCTACCGATGATCCGGCCCTATTGGAGATTCCAGGCTGTCCCCATCCGTCTCCGAAATCCCCACCGGGATTCCAATCCCTAGTCTGAGTTTGTCGGAGGTTTTCCTCACGAGAACAATCGACTCGGCTGATCCGTCGAAAATGCCCTCAGAATATTTTCCAGGGCGTCAACCGACTCGAATGAACTAAAAATTGCCCGCTGAACTAGTATCGGGCAGATCTTCGAGATAGCGCCACAGGGGCTCGGTGTAGTCCGAGCGCGGCAATTCCTCCCTCTGAGAAAAATTTCGTGGAGATTAACGGGACCGCCAAGTAGCCACGGCGCCGTCTCTGGATACCGCCGGCTCAGTAGTTTCGAATCTCTGTCCCTCTCGTCTGCAGTGTGTTGAATTGTATGGCTCTAAACATCATTATCGCAAGCAGCACTCCGCTTTTTCGGAGTTTGCTGTCGCGGAAATAAGTTTCCAGGCAATCGCCGTAGACGTATTCGAAGCGGGCTCCGAACTTCCGGCGTGAGAATTTATGTTCCCATGTGGTTGCACTGTTCGTCTTGATCTCTACGCACGATTCGCGCAGGATGCCATCCATGCTTCTAAACAGCGTTCTCAAAGAGCTCCGCTCCTTGAGCACGGCGCGCGACTTCATAAAATTCAAGACCCTATGGAGCTGCTCAACCGTGACTCCTGCGAAAGATTCCATAAGGTTGGTCAGCTTCCATTCAATTGTCAACAATTGATGAGCGGTAAACGAGGCATGGCTCGCATCGCGTGGAGTTGCGCCCACGCAAGGTTAACTAGAGATCGTAGTGCATTATTTCCGTAATAAGCCGGTTCGCTATAATAAATCATGCTCTCCGTCCTGCCGGCAATGTGGGGGTTACCTCTCCCTTACGGAGTACAAGGATCTCGAGCGTGATGCCGCTGCGGCTGCAGAATCACGGCTGCAGAGAACTGACAACTTGCTTGGCAAAGGTCAAAGTGAAAGATGCCTAATCCCTGGATTCGTCGACTCGATTTAGGTACTTCCGAATCTCGCTCCTAGATCTCCGGACGCTGCGAGAATTCCGCGGAAGTGATTCCTATTCTATTCTGCTCCTTATCCGTTTGGACTCCTATGCGGCACGACGGTATACCGAACTCGGTCGCGAGCTCTGTTTTCTGCGGGGAGATGATTTCCCGGCCAGGAGCAGGCTCCCTCCAGACGCCGGGGAACGAAACACTGACGGTGCACGGAATACTTCCCCGTGTGGATCTGTCAGCATTCATCCGCTCCCCGGCTCTGAGACTCATGCTGTCGAACAGATTCTCTATCGGCTCCGATCCGATAATTTGACATCTTCTTTTATTTCTAGTTTTAGGATGGCGACCCGATTGCGTTGTCTGGGACGATTCTTCTCGAGCCAGGCCAATTCTTATGTGAATAGCAAGCTCCGGAGGGTCAACCAACTGTACACGAAGTATCAGCGCACTGCCTTGAATCAGCTGTTTTCGAAAACCATATTCAATCATATGTTCCGATATAGCATGAGGAAGAGAACGCCGATGCTATTGCTAGGAACCACTGGATTCAGTTTTCGAGAAGAAGGAATTTCAGATGATGAAGTACTCAGGTAACCATTCGGAGTTCTCCCCCTTCTCTCTACTCTTTTTTCACGGGCTCGTGCTCAGAAGGCTCCCGGGACAGCTGATTTACACTAGGCGCATGCACAGGTGTATTGAGGAGTTCGAGATATTGAAACCGCCGACTCCAGCGTCGCCGTCGCGCAGCTCTGCTTCGAAGAGATTGAACATAGAAGACTTCAAGAAGTATCTCTCGGACGAAGGTTATGAACCAGTTGTGGAGAAAGAAAGCTTACACATCTGGCGAAAAAGCGAGGAAGGTCTGGCCAACTATAAATACAAAGGTCTGTCTACGGAGCGTGGATGGAAAGTCTCCCAGCTTTTCTTTGAAATTTCTAAGAGTTATACTCTATGTTTTCTGTCTGGATTGCAGTTATCGGGACGTTCGACGATGTCCCTGCTCGTGCATTCTTCGCCGTGCAGTGTGATACGGAGTACCGCAAAAAATGGGATAAACTCGTCGTGGAAGTGGATGTCGTTCAACAAGAGAGCGAAAGCGACGTGATCTACTGGCATATGCACTACCCGGTGAGTTGTATGACGTAGTCATAGGGCTTTCTCTATCGCCAACAATCGGTCGGGCGGTCGTCGCGGCCACTTGTTGGACTCGATCTCCTACCCAGGCACCGGGTCCTCAGTGAAAGGACTAATTGTAAGAATAGGGAGGTCGTACGATCTATGTATGCGGGCAGCAACTAATATGACCCGAAGCGAAAGGCGACTCCGCCGAGACGGAGTATAATCTTCGTATTTCTCTTTCAGTTCCCCATGAGCTCCCGGGATTACGTCTTCGTTCGCCGAAATTTGGTGGACGATGAAAGCGGCTGCATGGTGGTGGTCTCTCACGCCGTCAAACATCCGGACTGTCCCGCGAGAAAAGGCGTGGTCCGCGTCGACCACTACATGTCCGACATGGTGATCTCCCCGCACAAATCCTTCGATGAGAACGGCTTCGACTATCTCTTGACGTATTACGACGATCCACAATCATCGTTCCCATCGTTCGTTTACGCGAAGATGGCAGCCTCCGGCGTGCATGATTACATCGAGAAACTTCATGAGGCCACTCGTCGCTTTCACGAAGGCGTCAAAGCCTCGTGTGCGACTCAGTCTCTCAGGATGAAAGAAAACGCAGTCAAGCACCCGAGTCCCGTTCAATTAGAACACAATTATGCATAATTACCCAATGGAGACTGATCGCGATAATTATTGAACATGACTGTTGCTACGTCCGAAAACGATACCGATAGCCTTCGACGGTGCCTGCTTCTGGCGCTCGTTGGAGGTGAGCTGCCAGAAAACAGCCTCAGCTCCTCGTGAAGGACCGAAGACAAACCCGGTTTCGGTAGAACAATAAGCCCGTGTACATTGTAAATAAGGAATATTCGATAATTGTATGCGTGTCTGGAGAAATGCGTGTTTTGTTTATATGTTTTGAAGCTGTGTACGATAGGGATAGAATTAAACGGAAGCGTTGACTTCGACAATCGGCTTTCGTCTCATTTAGGCTCCAGGTAGAGGGGAATATTCGTTTCCCAGGTCATCGGATGCTCATCTGAACCTCCGTGGTACACTCTCGCCTTTTATATGAGGTAACTGCTCTCGCGGTCGCTACGCTTGGTAGACGATGACAGTTCTATTTTGATTGCGCACAGCGACATCAGACTCTGAGACGGAAATAGACCGTAGCTGCTCACCGCTCACTGTAGACCGGCACGTGTGGCGCTCGTGATGGCTGATGGCATAGAGTGAAACTTGAAGCGAGCAAGAATACCTGAATGAAGGTGTCCAGAGAATGGTTGTCCTGAAACGCTCTGGAGAACGACCAAGAGTTCCGGTCAAGCGGAGTGACTCGCAAAAAGTTATCGGCCGCTGCTGGCGAGTTCTCCTTTCGTGCAGTAAACAGGAGGGAACCCCCACAGGCCCGGAACGCAATTCAGGTCGACTTCAGCGAATCAAATTTCCCTCCCCCAACAGGGGGAGCATCCGGTCATCGTTACCACTCGAGTCCCCTCCGTCAAAAGTCAGAATTGTTGGATCGACATATTCGTCTTGCTACGCGATGAATGCCATTGATAAACATGCTTTTTTAGCCGGCAATTCGCGGCATCCTCAGGCTCCCGTGGACTTCCTGTGGGGAAACACCCCGCGAAGCAACGGAAGGTCGCGGTGACGGTCACAGACCGCGACTAAAGTTGAGCCCTGATCAACACCATTGACTGCATTATCTCCCGATAGCGCTTCAAATCAGAAGGATCAGCCGAACTGGCGTTCGGAACATAACGACCGGGATCCCGCCAACACGCGGACAGTTCTGAGTGAAAGCGACTTGTTTTCGGGGATCGAGGAAAATGTCCGCGGGAACATGTCATCCCGAGCTCTGCGCATGATGGCCAAGGGCCAGCGCATGGAGATGTGCCGAAGCGGGACCATCCCATTTAAGAACCGCATGGTCCTCCCGCTTAGTCCCGGTCTGGGCCAATTCTCACGAATCCTCTTCTACAACTAGACTTCTCCAATAAACGTCCGATTCGACTCCCTCCCTCGCCCCTTGCTCTCCTTTGGCGCCTCTGAGGATGCCGCTGCGGCGCAGTAATCACACGTGTCGCGATTGCGGTCGCCAACGGTTTCTTCGCGACCCTGAACGGCGGCGCGCGACGGAGCGCGACTCGAAGCCAAGTTGGATGGTCGAGCTTCCGGCTCTCGCCAAATCATTCAGTGTCTGTGGTCGTCGTATATGTAGAATCGAGTCCGTGAGCGAGATCAATGGCAGTAAAGTTCGCGCGTCCAAGGCTATCCCGAGGCATCTTTGGGAAGCATCGGAAGGCAAGTTCTGATCAGCCACCCTGCGACCAGCTTGTGATATTCCAGGCGTCTGCGATGAGGTTCTCCTCTGCGCGATCGATTGACCGTCGCCGGAACCACTATGCTTGCCGCAGTCCCCCAGGCGAGGCTTCTCGTCTCTGAGCTCTCGATCTCTTCCTTAAGGAAAAGCGTACTTCGTCCGACTTCGATTGCTCTGACGGAACTCTCACCGAATTCCGCAGCTTTCGAGCCATCAGCTTTCTCTCGACCGCTTCTCTTCCCTAGCGACAGCTGAATATACTGAGTATTCGGGGGAGAACTTCTCCAGAGTTACCTTGGTGACTTGGGAGGATGAGCTTGGCGCGAACGCTTCGTTCAGAACCGAAATAGAATCCGACGTAAACAGGGTGCATCTATCTGAGCGCTTCCACTATGTTCGGCGATTGGCTCTCTCCGAGGAAGCATTATTGAAGGGCATTCGGAACCGAGCAAAGTTTCCCTAATTCCTACCTATCATATAATCGCTCCACTGGTACGATCTTTCGCGGTCACGGGACCAGGCGCGTGTTCAGGATTTTCGTTGGGGAGGGGGGGGGCTAGATGACTGAGGAAAACCCTTGCTGGTCACGTGTCGGAGGGGACGAATCGACACCCTTGGCCTTTCCGATTCGATCAGTTTCCCCGAACTTAAGCGGTGTCCGAACAACTTTTGAGTTTGTTCGGTCTCTTCCGTTCCATCTCCGCCTCGTGTAGCATGAAGGTGATGAGAGTGAGGGTTCCCCACGTTAGTTGAGATTCGTTCCAATCGGAGATCTGCTTTCTGGAGTGATTCTGAACGATCAGGTGTCGTTTCCAGGATCATAAATGAGCCCTGAGTCATACCATCATCAATTATTTTGTGCAAGACGTAAATGATCTTGTCTTACACCAGACCTACACGGGAATTGGATCGCCACTGGTTGTAGACGTATGTTTCAACCTTGCTCGTACTCTCAAAGCATCGATGTCAGCATTCAGGAGCCCATATGAGGAATAGATGTGGACTACACGGGAGAGATCAGACTATCGATTGATATTTGCGCCGTCATCTGTCATCTCGAAGTTATGGACTTGCGTCTTCGAAAGAGGTATGCTCCCCGATCTCTATTATCTCATCTCAGATGGTCCCTCTTCGACGCTCCTCGTTGGATCTCTCTTCCCCTTACACTCGTCTGTCGCCATGGAGCGTATCAAGAGGTACCGAGGGTCGCCGAGCAGTCTTCTATCAGTAAGTCGGCAGGGCTTGACGCGTTTACTAGACGAGTCCTCGCTGTGCTTGAAATCAGGAGTATGTGACGGGATGATGTGCAGATTCCTGCTCAGGGAGACGTCGTGAATCATCCCGATTCGACTGGGGAATGAGCCGCTCGCGTAAAAGCGTGATAAACGTTCCGAGGTCTCTGAAGAATGTTCACAGATAAGCAGATTCAGTCGAGGAACGCTTCTATAATACATTCTCAGCTAGCGCCCCGATAACAGGATCCCTCCACCTTCCCCTGCGCGACCCTATGGATATATGGCATAGTCCAGGCGGGATCCATCGGATCTAACTAACGTATCGTCTTCCGTTCCAGAGAGGAGGATTCGGGCCTTCATCATCATTCTTGATTTCCTCGTGTTGAACCAATAAAAAATGTGATATGCGTCGTCTTAACTTTCCCTTGACGATACGGACTTCTTTCGGGCGCTCCGGTCAAATAATTTTCAAGAGACAGTTTTCCAGCTGTCCGATTTCTCCTGATCGGCAGCGGTCTGGAGTGACATCTCACAGATTGTCTGACTGACTCCTGCATCGCATCTTCTGGAATCATGAACATTCTAACAAGTATAGCCCTTGCAGTTCTCGGACCCCTTCCCTTCTCCTTGCGTCACCTGTTGCTCCGCAGCGATAGCTCCGCGCAGCTCCATCAGTTCCATCCCTCGTTCACTCGAGCGTGGCTGAAACTCGGGGCGTTGTTCGACCCCGATTGGATCGTGGAAATTCCAGCTCCGACCGTGACGCAGGACAGGAAGATGTACGCGATAAGAGCGGTCTCTGAAAAGTCACCCAACGTGTCGGAATGCATACGACTCGCGTCCGCTATTGTATTCGTCCTGTGTCGTAGTGATGCCCCCCTAGAAATTCTGAACGATCAAGCTCCCACGGGACAGCGGTCCTTGCGCCAGAGAACCCTTCCGAGCATCCCCAAAGTCGGGAGCAATTTCGCTCGTCAACTCTCGTGGTTGAGCTCGCGGTCGGAGAGCTCGCCCAATCGCAATATCGTCATAAAAGCTCCGTCCGCAGTCGTGGCCTCGATAGACTCCGGCGGTCGTTACGCCCCATCCTGCTTTCTTTGCCCGCACTATAAGCCCAACCGGAATTTCTCGCCGAGCAGTAAGCCTTATATGGGCAAAAGCCCCGGGGACGCGGTGAAAATACTCGCGGGAAAACACTTTGCTCTCCACCGGAAAGTGGATTGCCCGATCACGGAGTCATTTAAAATGTCGATAGGCATGTGCTTCGCGCTCGATACCCAACCAGATTGGTGCCTCGGTGTTTTTCTGCGGATGGTACAGCTCTCGATTCTGACCAGCGTATCGAACGTGACGACGTACAGTTTGCGCCCGGGCAACTGTGCCATGGCAGACATGGTGACCGAAAGCCTTCTGACCGCAACAGGACAGACAGCGGAGACTTTCTGGGAAACGGATCGAGCGACGAAAATGAAGGTCCGTCGACGACAGCTCGAAGCGCGAGCCATTGAGGATAGCAGCGACGATGGGACATCGCCGGCGATCAACCGGGACCCCGAGCCAGGCTATCGACGTGGAGGGACCGTGGAGTCAGCTGCGCTGAGAGTGAGTGGAATGTGGGCCTGAAGGACATATCAGCTTGTCACGGATTGCGACTTCCTAAGCGAGTGGTTCCCCACCGGGGTTCCATGGAGCCCTTGAGCTCCATCGACGATTTCGCGGGGTTCCACGCCTGTGGAACCCCGGGGCTCCATCATACGTTCCGGGTTCCACGGCTTAAATGGGGAGTGGGGACAGGGGGGGGGGGTCATTGAAAAAAAAAGATTGGGAGCCACTGCTCTAAGCCTCCGCTTCATGTTTTCCAGATCCGAAGCTGGCTTAATGTGACTTCACCGGCTCGGCGACGGATCAGGAAGAGACACGGGGAAAAGCCTATCAAAAGACGTCGTAAGAGGCATGACTACGATTGACCGAAATCCAGAGGCACACCCCAGAAATTTCGATTTCGTCGATTCGCTCCTGGGCCTTTCATATATCATGTCGGACTCGTACAGTCAATTCCTAGCGAAAACTTTTGTCTCGCTTTGAACCAGCTTTTCATCCTTTCGAGCGCGTCCCCACCGCTCCTGCAAAATATTCCTCCGACGTATCTTCTTCGGCTAGATGCCGCGTATTTGTGTGTTCCGACTCTTCTCCGTGGAAGAACAGGTCGAAATCAAAACAATATATCGCTCACGAATCAATAAAATCTGAGCATCGAAGGGCCGCTCCGCACTGGGATTCATTCTTCGCGTGACTCGGAGGATACGGAATGAGAAGCACGTGCGACACAATCTAGCCTACGAGGACGGTTGCACTGGATCAGTGAACGTCTTTGAAGCTGTGGTAAACATCCTCGAGGGACATGCTGCCATCTTGGCGAGGAGTATCACGCCCGCAGCTCATTATTTGAGCCATCAATGGTAGGGGATGGAGCCTTTTTCGAGCTCAGGCTCGCTGGGTCACATCAGGGGCTGTGGAAATTCCCATAACTGGCCCTTCTCCCAGAGAACTCAGCGGTCCGCCAAGTCCGGATGACTCGCTCGATCGAGGACAGAGAATTGAGCTCCTCTTCACCTGCCGTGAAAAACTCGCGGAATAGCAGCAGAAACCTGCGGAGGGTTTCAACATGGTGCTCGACGAGACTTGGCATCTTGTCAAGCCAATTTCAATCTTGTCAATTCCACACTCCGGATCCGACACCGCTCCTCTGAGGCGGGGACCCCACACCTTTCCAGGCTTGAGTGAGCTCGCTCTGGTGCAATGCTCCTTTCCGAGAAAATATTTCGATATAGGTACGGGGCTCGTGTGCTCGGATTTCGGGAACTGATAGCCTCGATAACAAAAACGATATTCGGGAAAGTCCGTGGTGGACGTTTGGAAGCGACTTGATGAACGTCGTCTCGAAGGAGCGACCGCTCAAGAGCGGCCAGATACTTTGTGGTCGAGCATCGTCGATCGAACATTTCGTGATATTGAAGCTCGGAATGCCCCGATTTCCGAAGTACCGACCGGCACGACATAGCTCAAAGGAAGTGCTGCGAGCAAAGGAGAGAGCAGTGGAAGAGGTCGGAATAATTTTTTCCTTGCGCCCGTTTATCCGAATCCGCCCACAGGCGCCTTTCACCTGTCACAGTAAGCTCCTTCTGGCTAATAGATCCGTCGGGAGCCGAGTCCCCACTGATTTTCCTCCCCCACGGTAGATATCCGCGACACATCCCCCTCAGCCATAATTTTGATCATGTCTCCGGTGCGGGATGCGTTTCGCATGTCCCGCGAGATGTAAACATCAGCTTCGGCAAGTCTTTGGTGAATACCGCTCCGGAAGCAACGTCGACCCATTCCATATCTTCCGGGTATTTCTCGAGCATCGGAATCGTCTTGTAGTAAAGATGGATGAAATTCACGTCACTGAACCAGGGGTGGTTCTTTACATCTTTAGCTCCATCTTTCATCGCGCCGAGTCTCTCAGTCACTTTCACTTTCTGCAATCCAACCAAGAGGTCGGTCAAATGCTCACCAGCAGGCTTCGGGTACCGGAGATGGGATAGATCAGCTTCGTGAGCAGATTTGCCGAACTCTATTCGCACAATGTGTTCAGGCGAAGGCAACAGGTCGTTGATCAGCGATCCCAGATTCCACCAGTCCGTGAAATGAGCCGAAACCAATAACGCTTTAACTTTTTCCGGCGCAAACCTTTTCTTCTTGCCTTGCATTCTGAAGACCGGTTTCGGTGCCGCGAGTGCTTCACCAAGACCGAAATCCAATATTTTCACGTAACCGTCGGCGAACAGACCGACGTTATTAGATTTCAGATCTTGGTGCGCGACTTGACAGTGCTGCATATACTCCAACGCCAGGACGAGCTGCGCGGATATGAGCTTCAAGAGCTCTTCGGACCCCGAGGCGCGTATCACCTTCCTATGCTGTGATAGATCCCCCCACGACGCGAGTTCATAAGCGATGTAGTATATGTCATCCTTCTGGAAAGCGTAAAGCGCTTCCACGATGAAAGGCGACTTCAGGGCGTATGTGATCTTCCTTTCCTTCACAGCCCATTTCAATTTTTGGTGCTTGAGAGCACATATTGTTCCGTCCTTGTATCGAGCTAGATAGACTGCTCCGAAGGATCCCGCACCCAGGGTCGAGCCATATTCAAAATCACTCAGAGCCGCCCTCGGACACGAGTCGGCAACGTATCTCTTCTGGAATCGGTCTCCAGCCTGGCTGAGACTAAGCTCGTAAGTGGACTCTCCATGCGTCGAAAGTGCCGAGTCGATTGTCTTCGTCAGATCATCGATTATCTCCTGGCAGGATTTTGCTGAATAGTGCTGTGAGTCATCAGGCGCTTGGCTCATCGTTATTCAGGGGAAGCGAATATCCGGACCCCATGCTCTGTATTCTTGATCGATAGTGAGGAGGGACAGTCCCAAGAGGGCTGCTGGTACGCCTCGTCCTGTTGTTGAAATGGACCCTTCCGTTTTCCTTGATTCTGCGTCGAGTTCGATCGGACATCTGACATCTCGGAGAATGGCTTACCGAGAATTTTTTCGGAAGGCCCGATACCAGACCTGTTTTGGGAGTTTGGGAACATGGGTCCACAATCGCGTCGCTCCCTTACGCTTCAACATAACGAACGAGAAGTTTTGGAGGGGCCGTAGCCCCCTCCCCCCCGCTTCTGGGTACGCTACTGATCTCGGACCTGATCGGGGAATTAGCCTCAAGCGCCTGCATCAACTCGACGAGCCCTAGGCCTTTCATTCGTTGGCAATCTTCGTGCATACAATCGGGACAAGAAATACAACCGATCGGGGGGAATCAAGATACCATTCGAATGCGCATGATCAGAAGTCGCATGAGCGCTCGATAAATTTCCAACGAGACCAACGCTAATCTACACGATTATCCCCCCGAGTTGATTTCCTCCGGAACAGGAATCCTCCCTCTTCGCAGCAATGACGAGATCCACCTGACTTCAAAGGTGATAATCGTCCCGCCTCGGAAGGCGGTGACCCGTTCGAATTCCTTATTCGAATAACCCACGGCTTCGTTGGAACGGAGAGCGAAAATTCGCATCTTAATGACTGAGCCTCCCGAATCCCCTCTATGGCGAAGTGCTTGAAGCCAGTTTCCATAGGCCTAGATGAGCTGCTGGCCGAAAACTAAGCTTTTAACGTAGTTCTTCTGCGTGGATTCTTCTCGTGGTCAGGAAGCAGTATCTGTGAACCCGCCGTTGGGGAGATTGAAGGGAGCGAGCTGCTACAGCTGCGATACCCATGTCGACATTCAAGACGGCGTGGTTCGCGTGAATCGCGCCTGAGAATCGGAAATTCACTTTCGACTGAGAGTTCAACACTCACAATCCAGCGCGAAAGTAGAGCGTTTGTCACGGTACGCAACGATGACTACTGCTCCGGGAGCGAACCGCCTAATCGCAAGCGATACAGGGTTCGAACAGGGTTCGGGAAGTTCGAACAGAGAGTTCATGTGTCTTGCGAAGAGTCCGTGTTCGATCAAATTCGACAGGATACGTCATTCGCTCTCCACTCAGACTGGGATGGGGAGTTGGCTCATTGAAAAAAGTTCCGCGGGCTCCGGCACAGAGCCGAGGCTTGAGGTCCTGGGTCGCGCTTTTCACGTTTCTTTGGAACGGAGGAGAGGAGCGACGGAAAACGACAAATTATCACTCAACTTTCGAGCCGAGAAAAAGCCAGATCGCAGACGGACTCATGAGGGTCTTTTTGAGAATCTCTACTACAAAGAGGCAAAACATTCGTATCTTCGGTTCTTTCGTATTATTTCCAAACCGACGCTGCGGCGCGGCGCAGAGGGCGATTAGGATATGCATGCTCACGAGTAGCGATAGGGATCTCCAATAATTTGGATTCGGATGGTAGGACCTTCTCTTCTATCGAAGCACCACCATCGCTGATGACGATACTGGAAAGATCCGAAAGCACTGAAGGAGAATCAGCACCCAAGTGAAGGATCGAGTAGGGGGATAATGGAGGATCCTCATTAACCACAGCGATGAACATCAACCGCGTATTGGGCGTCCGTCAAGGACGGACGGTCTTGTCAAGATTCAGTATGTTCCTACGGCCGAGATGATAGCCGACGTTGTAACGAAAAGATTAGCCGCAAAGAAGTTGAAGCAATGCCGGGACACTAGGCATATGATATATGAGATGACAACATGCGCACGGTCTTCGGTGTCGAGCCATCTATGGCAGAGAGCTAGCAAGCCGGACTTAACTCTAATTAGTTAGTCTGAATAGATCACTGGGTCGACTTGTCTTCCACGATCATAATCTAACACAAGCCACCACAGGACCGAATGACGGGGGTTCACGGGGTCCTCAGACCCAATGATGAGTGCCCATAAATTGAAGTCGACGGTGCGCAGAAGTTTGAGAACGGCGGGATTATATCCTTCGATGTGTTGTGCGATTCGGGTAATATCCGTCGAAAGAGAGATATTCGCCATTCTCCATCCGAAAACGACGGCAACGAGCACTCCGGGATCGGTGGGGGTTCACGATCCATAGGGTTTTCTCGGATTCTATCGATAAATAAAATGAGAGGTGGGTCGGAAAGTCCTTCGATTGAGATCACTACTAGGGACCATCCATCCTCGCTCTCTGCGGCGCAGCGGTACTTTGGGAAAAAATGCGAAAGGCCCAAAGACTCGCATGTTTTCCCTCTCATCAGCAAAAATCATCGTCATCATCATGATTCTGCTCGAGTCTGAACCGGTGATTATTAGTCGTCGTTATCCGTCGGGCGTTCCTCTCGTTCCTCAGGAACGTATGTTGAACATAGCGTACCTGCCGATCGCTAAGAGCTCTGTAGATAAAATCGCATGACTGCCGTAGACGGGCAGCAGCGGTGTGCATCCCCACGCGCACACACACACACATAGAGGGAGAGATCCACAAGACACTGTTTGTGAAATACGCGTGAAGACTACGATCCACGACGCCGCAATCGAAAGTTCTCGAGAAGTTCCTCCGCGCTATCTCAAGACAGTTAGCTCTCCGGGAACACCGATTCGTGCTGCAGGGATGAGTGAGAAACTCTGTTATAATAAGGGCTGCGGCCTTAAATTCAACGAGCAAGATGATTCGGAAGGTGAGCTCAGTGCTTTCTTCGACATTTCAAAACTGTCACAACAACCCCTCATTGGTGACTTTTCCGGCGCTTGGTGGCGAGGAGCTCTTCCCATGATCGACGGGCATCCCGTCCTTGCTTTCGAAATATTGGCCCTGACTAGAGACTGATCTCGGGCTCGTAGCCCGTATATGGAACCGGGGCGGCTTCGGGAATATTCTAGCGCACTCTCGTCGTCGGAAGCTCTGCCTTCGTAGATTTTGATTGATCGGAAATAGTTGAGCTAAGGTTTGCTGAGCTTCAGCAGAGCCTCCCGCTTATTTCTGCAGCTGATCTCGCAGAAATTCCCCACCGCGCCCGGGGGTGGAAATATTACCGAACCTTTTGAGCGAAGCATAGCGACGGATTCGAGATGGGAACGAATATGTAACCTGGAGTTCTCGTCAGGGGCCTGCCAACATCATCCCGGAGCGCCAGTTTTCCATGACGCGTACAAGGGATGGTCGTGCTGTAACAAAAAAACCACAGATTTCACAGAATTTCTCAATATCAAGGTGAGAAACTGAGGTCGTATACAGGGGATGCGCATCGCGATATAAGCTCTGAAGAGATATTTCCTCTGGGAATAATAATCATCGATTGAATCTCTTCTCACAGGGTTGCACGAAGGGTCGACATAATCCAATCAAGCCTGTTGAGCCCCCCAAGCCCAAAGTTGATGATTCAGATCTTCCGTTGCCTGTGAGTGACTCTATTCGGGGTCCTATCGATGGAGTACTTTTTCTTCACCGTATCGTTTCTCCATCGTCTTCCTGGGACTCCCTGATGTTGTTCGATGAAGCGAAAATGATAGGAATAAAATGAGTCGTCGACTTGGCTGCGAACCCACATTAATGCGTTCCAGGAGCCGGCAGCGTCTAAGCCGAAGACGAGTTTGACCAGACCTCCGGTCACGCAGAAAATGGTCCGTTTGCCTCAAACCGTTGGAGCGTCTCTGACGCCCTTGCTCGAGAAGCTGAGAGACGTCGCAGACATCAAGAAAGACGACCAGGAGAAGACGAATGGAGTCCCATACGGTACGCGAGTTGACGTGCGTTTTCAGGATCGAGAGTGCCGGTTCGGATCAGGCATCCCGTTCTCCATCTTCTATCAACATATATTCATCGAAGTTTTCTGCTTGCGTAGGAACCCCCTGTAAGAACTCGGCTTGCAAAGCGACATACTGTGGCGAACAGACGAACGAGGAGACGTGTAACTACCATGAAGGCTTCCCAGTCTTCCACGAGGGGATGAAGTATTGGAGTTGCTGCCAGAGGAAAACTTCGGATTTCAACTCCTTCCTGGAGCAGGAAGGATGCGCCAGCGGGAGTCACTGCTGGGTTAAGAAGGTGAGGATTTTCCTCGAGCCTCGGAGCCAAGAGGAGCGCTCTTGCTCGTCGAGAGCCATGACTAAATCGCTCTCATCTACCTTCGTTTGATCATCCTCAGGAAACCAAAGACAGCGCGGTGGCTTGTCGTTACGACTGGCACCAGACGGGGAGTCAGGTTATCATTTCTGTGTTCGCCAAAGCTTCCCTACCGGACAAATCGTTCGTTCATGCGAATCCAGTCAAATGCAAAATTCACATAGTTTTCGGGGAGAACCAATCGATTTTCGACACAGAGATCGTCCTCGGAGGGGTGAGTTTTCCCGGAAGAATTCCATGCCGGATCCGTGACATATCGAGTCGTGATGCTGGGAGATATTCGTGTCAGAAGAATCCAGGTTGCGATTGGCTGACGGGGACTTTTCGCAGATTATCGACGTCGCGGCTTCCTCGGTTGAGCATTTGGGTGCTAAGGTCGAGATCAAATTGAAAAAAGCGGAGCCGGTCTCATGGAAGAATTTGGCCTTCGTCGGACCGGCAGGAGATACAGCATCTCGCGTGACCGAAGATCTTGACAAAGTGGATTTAGACGATGTAGAAGTTCTTGTAAATCACGAGGCGGTGGAAGATGCGAAGAGAAAGTTTTTCAAACAGGACGATCGTGGATAGAGTTTCACTCATTATCTTAATAAAATTGAGCTCCACGTTTTCGCGAATGGAATGTTCTCTATCATTCACATCGGCCAGGACTCGACTTACTATTACTCGGTCAGGCTCGGGCGATCAGCTAGCACGAGAAGTCTCGGCCATGATCACCTGATTGAGCTACCTCGTTGATCTCCCGAAAATCGTCGCGCCTGCGGCAATCTCTCCTCGAAGATCAGCAGGCGCGCTCCATAATATTCCTTTCTGTCGTCATATGAGTTCGCGCGGGCGCAGGGGTTCCATGACGAATTTCAAATTTGGCGCCTTGAGCGGCAGAAGATTGCAGAGCTGTTTATGTAAACAAGCCGCACGTGCACCTTCTCCCGCAGCCCATCCGGCGGAATTCATATAGAGATATTTACTCGTTACTCAGTGGGGTGTTCTCGTCAATCTCATTGCTGAGGTAAGGAACTTTGAACGATGTTCGCACCTTCGCTTACGAAAGGTCCCCCTTTCCGCCCAGCCCTCCCTCTTCCCAAATCGATCAAGCGCTCGCGGAAGCGGACTTCGACGGAACGTTCCATAGCGCGCAGCGGCAGCGAACACATGTGTTGTCTCTGAGTATCATTTCTAGGGAAATGAACGTGTAGCAGGACGCAAAATTTGACGCATTCGGAGACCTAAGTGGTCGGGATTCTATTCTTCAGAGAGCCTCCCTGAAGGAAGTGTTCTGCAAAAGTCGCGGAATAATGAAGACTTTCTGTCATCGGCTGACTAAACCACCGGGCTCGCTTTACGTCAAAGCTGAAGATAGTTACCTCCTGTTGACGTTCATATTGAAAAAAGGCTCGGCATCCGCTGTCAGCCCGATACTTTCAATGGAAGTCGATCTCGACCAGCTTCCGAAAGCGAAACAGCTGCTGGAGCCCTGCGGTGATCTCGAAGTCATCATCCAGAAGAGGAAACTGACGTTGCTGTGCGGTGGCGAGGACCTTATCAAGAATAAGAGCGCGGAACCTGTGGAGGATGCGTTCAAGTTCTTGACGCAGATCGCGGATGCTTTCTGCGAGTTAAGTGTGACGCATGCCGAAACCGTTCGTAAACGTCGTAACGAAAAGGACGTCGAGGCCGAAGTCGTGGAGTGTCTTAAGAAAATCGATGATCGACGTCAAGAAGAATTCACCAAGTTCATTTTATTACTGAATGAGAAGAAGAGAAAAATACGCGAGCTCCAGAAGAAACTCGGTCTCAGAGATGATGACCCAGAAGATATAGAGGACGACATAGGCGTCGGAGTTTCCGATGGTGATCCTTCACAGGCAAAGAAGGCCAGGGTGTCCGAAGAGCTCCTCGCTCTGGAAGCACCTTCCACGAGCCGATCCGGGATTCGGGAGGCCATAGACGAAGAGGTGGACGACGAGGACATGTTTAGTGACGATGCCCACAGTGAGAGAGCTCAGAGCGGAGCTGAAGAGATCGACGAAGACGACTCCCCTCATCCGCTGACATCAGAGAGAGAGGTAGAGGTGGAAATCGAGCGGGAGGAAAAGAAGAAAGAGGACACCGAGATCAGAGGAGAGGAAATCCAGAGAGCAGGAAGATTCCCCGAGGCTGAAAGAGAGAAGATCAGAAGAGTCGAAGAAGAGGAGCTGTCCCCACCTGACAGCGAAGTTTCCGAAGCCGATTCCCCCAGCACCACGGGCACTTCGCGACGGCCGTCTGGGAGGGGACCACCGAAGAAAAATGCGCTCGACATGCTCGATGACTTGCTATGAATTCCGTTCCCCTCGAACATTGACTGAACCCTGTCGAACCCTGAGCCAAACTCTCTATTCCCCGTTTTCTGATTCGGGAGAGCTCAGAGTCCCAATTTGACTGGGACGCGAAATTTCAGCAAAACAATAAAATACCACCTCACGTGTGATACCACTATGCCTCCCTCTCATTAAGTTCGTGTGATCGAGAACTGATGTGAAATCGCAACGAACAAAACTCAACGTTCTTATATTCGTTCTAGCGATTGTCTCTGAGCGGCCATGGCGCTGACGAGCTTGGCTGGTCAGCTCCGGAAACTACAGACTCCCCAGACCCAGATCCTTCAGCAAGGAGTTGAGAGAGGCTCGCTACTTTTCGAAGCGAAAGATGCGGCGACTTTGGACAGGGACACTATTTTCGCCATCGGATGTTCCGGTCTCGAGGAGCTGTCGAAGGTCAACACGACTTTCTCGAAATTCGCGAAGTCCCTCTTCCATGAGACTTCGAAAGATCTCCAGAGAGCGGTAAGTGGATGTCACAAGACCGCGAGTTTTGATGTCAACACGCTTTTATGCATACATACGCTTCTGCAAAATTCCATGCTGACAAAGTCGGCGGGGAATAGCTGTTTGAGATTCTTAGATGCAAAATTGGATCTCGGCACTAAATTGTCACCATTCTCTCCGGCAGGTCCAAACGAAGGAGCAAAACGAGCAGCTGGACACCACTCTGAACGAGTTCCTCCACAGAGTTTCCCCTTACCTGCTGCTCCGTCCAGCGCACAAAACTCTCGAATGGCTCATCTATCGCTTCCGAGTTCATGAATACAACACAGCGGCTTTCATGCAGATGGCTCTGCCATTCCACGAGTCCAATATATTCGCTCGGCTGATCCAACTGGTGGATTTCAACGACGAGACGACTTGCTGGCACTTCTTGAGCGAAACGAAGCGGCACGGGACTGTTCTCACGAAAAAGGCTCTGATTGCACAGTGTGTGAAGAACCCTGGTCTGTTCCGGTTCGTGTGCGATATCCTGCCATCGATGCGGAAAGTCAATCACGGCAGTTCACTGAGAACAGCGATCAATTTGACGACAGGAGTCGTCACCGGGCTTCTCGAGCTGCATACTAGCCGAATCGACAACAAATTGGTATCGGCAATTGTCGCTCACTTGGCCGACAGCCTGGTCCTGGCAAAACAGGACGCGAACTCGGAATGGATCAGCGCCAATCTGATGGTGATCGGTCAGCTGGTGCGCAAGGAATCCGCACTCAAAACCGACATACTCCAACTGTTACTGATCACAATGGCTAAGGTTCTGACGGCTGAAACCCTGAGAGCGGGCATCCTCGCCCTCCTGGTGACCTATCGGTATCAGGTTTCGTTGGACTCTCTGCCGCAAAAAGTCGTCAAGGCTCTTGTGGTCTTCGAAGACCTCCCGAATCAACTGTTGGCCTGGGTCAAGCACGGGGAATGCGAAAACAGATTCATTCCGCTCTTCGTGCGCGGTCTGTACGTCCACATTCTCACTGAGGTGAGCCCCGAGAAGGTCGTCGGGCTCCTCTTACCCTACCACTCTCTGCATGGCGAAAAGGCTGAATTGCGCGCGATATTCACCGAAAACTTCATGTCAGCATACATTTCCCTGCGCTCCAAAGGCCTAGAGTGCGCAGAAACCGCGAAGAAGATCCTCAGAATATTACAGCAACGTCTCGGAGATGAACTTGATCGGGAAATCGAACGGGGACTCCAAGGACCCGACAAGGAGTTCGTCAGTGATCTCCTGAACACGTGCAGTCTCGGTGTACGACACCTCACTATCGGGAACGAAGGTGAGACCATCTTCCTGGCGCTCATGAGCAAACAGGCACACCTCCGTTCGGCCGCGATCAACGAAGTCATGAAGCACTCCTCGACCGCGGCACCGGATGAATTCATCAAGAAATCAGTTCGTAGCGTTCTGGCGACAGAATCGGATTTCACCGTACTCGAGAGCTTGATGAAATCCTTGACAGCAGAGAACATTGTCAAGTTCATGACGGCCGACGAAGCGGTCGATCTTTCGCTCGATCGAATCTGCGTTTTCCGGAAGAAGAAATGGCTCGAAAGCAACTTACAAATCGTACGAATCGTTTGCGACGGCTTGCACAATGACGCGTCGCTGGCGAATTTATTGAAGTTCGTTGTCACGCTGGCCGTGATGTTCAAGAGCTCTGACGTCAAGATTCTGGAAGCGTTGCTCAAATGCAATCTCGCCAGGAGTCGCACGCAGTTCAAGCATTTACTCAAGTGCAAAGTCGACGAGCAAATGGATACGACCGAGCTGAGCGATTCGGTGTTCAACGCGTTGGCAAGAGGCTTCAAAGGGACGAACGTGGAGGAGCACTTCCAAGTTCTCTTCAGCAATCTACCTGACGCTTCCAGCGCCAGAACTCGTTTCGGCTCTCTGAAGTTCATTGCAAATCTCGTACAGCAGTCGAAGCCGCTGTCTGTGGGGGCTCTGAACACGAGCCTCGACGCTCTGCAAGGATTACTCGACCTCGGACTGGAGGAACACGAGGACGGTATCGATGCCGTCGCTAATGGACTTCTGCCCATAAGCAGCGTGACGGAAGTCGTTTGCGCCTTGTTACAAAATTTCACTCCTGTCAAGGAGCTCGAAAAAGTCCCCGCATGGCACAGGAAAATCGACGCTCGAAGCAGCGAGGTCGCCTTTCTCCAGCGAGTGTTCTCGATCGCTGTTCGCAGATTCAAAGTCGAGCAGAGCTTCAAAGTCTGTCTGAGCTGTATGTTCCAAAAATGTCTCCCGACCCCCAATCCTGCTGCAATTTCCTGTCAGGGATGCTGCTGACCCACTTGACCGAGTCGCAATCCGAGGAGGATCTGCACTTGCAAGCTCACGCGCTCTGCTTGATGTCGGTGTTCATTGGTGCGGTAGACAAATCGGCCTCGGATTCGATCGCTCTATCCGTCGTCGCTGTTCTCCTCTCGCCCGTGAGACGCATCCGGAGACTCGGATTGAACGTCTTGGAAAAAGCCAATTCCGACTCATTTGCGACCTACCTTGTGAGCCACGTGAACAATTTGTCCGACGTCGACGGCATTCTCGCGAGTGTCGCGACATTTCACGCTAAGCACGAGAACGCTTTCCTCAATCGAGCTCTGGACGATGAGGATCTCTCATCCGTTGTAAAGCTCGGAATCCTCCAGCTCGTACGAAAGGCAACTTCGAACGCTACTGTCGAGGCCGCTGGACGGGTTTTGGCACAGTACGTCGCTTCGCCGGCCGTCACGATCGATCCGAATAATAAAGAGATCATAAGACTTAGTCTGGAGAAAATTCACATGTCCTCGGCGAAGAAGCTCAACGCCAAGCTGCGTGACGTTCTCTTCGGCGTTCTGAAGAGCGAAAACGATACGCTCTCGCTACTCGGACTCGAAGCCCTCGATGAAGCCAAACTGCTGGCGAAAATGAGCGACGAGGACCTCAAAGAGGTTTTGAATCATTTGCTCGTTTCGATTCTCGACGCACAGACTGACATCCAGCGCAGAGCTGCAGAAAACGCCCTGATGGCTCTGATCCGCCAGAAGGCGAACTTGCTCGAATCCGAGTTATCGAAAGCTACCACGGAGGCTACCGACAGCATCGAGTCCGTCCGCGAGGTGAAAAGAATGCGACTCAGCACGAAGGAGAAGGCTCCAACCAATACCGATCCTCTGCAAAGCGTTACGTGGAAGCGTGTTGTGATCATTCTCGAGACCCTGCACGGGGTCGAGCTGCCCTCGGACGCAACAGACATCGTGAAAATCCTGTACGAGGTGCTCCGTCGCGCCCTCGAAATCACAGACAGTGTCAGCGTGGAGTACGTCAAGCAGTGCGTCATGTCGTGTCTCCAGGTCCACGGGACCTCGGACGCGATGCTCCGGCTCCACCAACATCAGATAAGTTTGTTGGTGAAGGCGCTCCGCTTGAGCCAGAGCTCACAGACGCAACATGCTATCCTCAACATGCTCAATCACATGGCGCGGCTTTTCCCAGAAGAGGTTGGTACCCTTGCGAAATTCCGAAATTACGCATCGGCGATTGAGCTCCGGGTCGACAGTTCAGAACTCACTCATGGTTTCGTTCTCAGGTCCTGCAGAATATGACCAGCGTCTTCACCTTCATGGGGACCTCGCTGCTGCGCCAGGAAGACGAATATTCCTTCCAGGTCGTTCTCCAGACAATCAATTCCGTGATACCGATTCTTCTAGAAGCCGCGAACAACAAGTCCAATAAGAATGTCGTATCGAAGGTCACGAGGGTTTTTATCGACTCGTGGGCCGACATACCAGAGCACAGGAGATACCCGATCTTCAAGTACGTACCCACCTCGGTCTGTCTGACTGAGCTTCTTGACCGTTCTTCTCGATCATTCCAGTTTCCATTCAGTCGGCTGCTTGTCCGTGGATCGAACTCTCACTCATATTCATTGCATTGCTATCTGCCACAGGAAGCTCGTGGAGACCCTCGGACCCGCAGACTATGCTTGGCTGCTGGTAGCTCAGTCCGTGGATCAGTTGCTGGAGAAAGACGAAGATCTGGAAGAATCCGAGTTCATGGATTTCATGATGGGACTCCTCGGGGACTTCACGATCCACACGATATTGAGCAGCTGTCAGCATCTGCTACATTTCGCGTCGCGGGTACCCAACCGGAAGAGAGACGCCAACCAATCCAACGTAGACAAGGAGATCGTAAACCCGACGAAATGCGACGACAAACGTCTCGCCGAATTCAAAATTCAGTGCGCCGTGTTCGTCGAGCACCTGTTGTCGGGAACGAATTTCCTCACTCTGGCCGCGGAAGTCGAGGAAAACGATTCCGAACAGGTCGAGCAAGTCTACGAAGCTCTCCTGTCGACCAGTCTCGAGTCCATCCACAAACTGAACGCCGCGATCCAACAGCGGGAGGCCGACGACCTCCTCGATCACTGGAATACGAACCTGAATTTGCTGCACGACTGCGTCGATCGGATCAACGGGGTCCTCAAACCGAACGCTTTGGTGGCGGTTGTGGAACGGCTCCTCGACGAGGAACTCCCCTCGATCCGACGGAACGCGATGGATATGCTGAACAACAAACTTATCTCCGAAACTTTCTTCAACGATTGCGATCAGATCAATCGACTCGTTTCGCCCCTTTGCGATCAGGTCCTACTGGAAGAAAACAATCAAGAAGAGCTCAATCAACAAACCGCTCTTGTCTCGCTCAAACTAATTTGTCGAAAGGCCAGCAGCTCCGACGATGACATCAACAAGCTATTCACCATTGTAGAGAAGGGTTTCAAGAAATACGAGACATTGTCCGACGTCATTCTCGGAGGGACCTTGCTGCTGTTCGCCGAGCTGTGTCATTCCTACTCGACGAGGACGCTCAATCATTTCGCGAAGCTCATGAAAAGTTTCTTGACGATTTCGGCGAAGTGCGAGAAATCCGAAGCCATCGTTCTGGGTCTCGTCGTCTCCTACAACCGACTCGTGGAGAGCCTCACAGGCTTCCTGTCCCCGTACCTGCCCAAACTCATATGTCACATCTGTCGACTCTGCGCAGAGCAGAACGGCAAACTCTCATTCGGATCGTCTTTGAGCGAGCAGCTCCGCACTATCTGCGCGCATCTCGGCGAGCAAATTCCTTTGCGGGTTCTGCTGCCCGCGATCGATGATTGCTTGGCGAAATATCCAGTGGTGGCCGAACATTCTCTTTACCTCAGCAACATCCTGCGAATATTCCGAGCCGCCATCGAGAGCAGTGACCAAAAAGCTTTCGAGCAGCAACGCGATACCGTCAACAGTCTGGTCCTGAAACTCCTGCAGTACCGTGAAGAAGCATTCACGGCCGGCACGGACGCCGAGGAGCTGACCGCAGCCGAAGTCTACATCGTGGATTGCGTGACGGCACTGTCCCTCAAGTTGTCGGCCACCACGTTCCGTCCCTTCCTGTCGAAGTTACACGTCTGGGCTACGATGTCTGAAGACGCCCTTGACGGTCGTTCTCACAGAACTGCGACGTTCTACCATCTTTTCTACAAGCTGTCCGAAACGCTGCAAGGACTATTCATTCAGTTCGCTGGGCAATTCGTACAGCACGCGTCGGACACTTTGCTGAAGAACAGGAGAGCCGTCGAGCTGAAGAATATTCATCTGGAATGCACGGGATGGATACTAGCTGCTCTTTCAAATTGTTTCCAATTCGGTGGCAAGTCGTTCGCCACTCGTGAAGTGTACACGACACTGGTCGAGCCTCTCGTGGGTGAGATCGAGAATGTCGCCGAAAATTCGGACGGCGGCTACGAACGTCGGGTGTTGACGAGGATCTGCCCAGCAGTAGCAAACCTCGCCCTCGCATGTCCCGAGACGGAGTGTAAAGATTTGCACAACAAAGTTCTATTCAAAACAAGGAATTCCTCTTCGAAAATTCGACTGGCGGCTCTGCAGAGCTTCGCCGCGATTGTACGCCGCCTCGGCGACGACTACATGCGGCTGCTGCCCGAAAGCGTTCCATTCCTGGCCGAGCTGATGGAGGACGAATGCGCCGAGGTCGAGAAACTCACTCAGGAGATCGTTCAAGAAATGGAACAACTGCTCGGGGAACCTCTGATGAAATACTTCTGAGTGCTCCCGCCCGGCGCGAAGCGTCTTCTGTACTGGTGACCGTCCCGAGCTGCCAACTCCGTGACGATGGAATAAACACACATTTTCCGGCATGAAATGATTTTAATTCTATTGGGAGATTCCGCAGCTAGATCACAAATCACAATTTAAATAATTTGTCGGAATCTCTTGGACTTCGGTGAACCAGATTGATACTTTGGATACATTCATTATTTCAGCGCAAATGCTTCAATTTCGCTTAGCTCGAGCCACATTATGCGGCGTCTCTTATATGCATGTAGTCGATTTTTAGGAAGCGGATGATTTGTCTTCGAAGGGTAAGGAACTCAATTGATGACACAAATTCAGAGCTCCTCTTCACGCTTCCGCCCTAAACCATGTCGTCTTTGTTCCATTTCGGTAGCATGAAATAGATTGATGTAGTAATCTCATATACTTTGTGGAACTCGCCTGCCTTGATCAGTCCCTGAATGGTTTTCACATTGCCCAAGTAATCACCTGCAATTAAGAATCACTTGTACTCCACCGCTTCTGCACGAATTCTTCCGACTGGTCTGCATACAAGTTAATGAGACGAGACACTCCGCGCGAGCAGTCATCTCACCGTAGAGGTAGAGCTGAGGCATCGATGTAGACGGCAGAAATCTCTTGATACCATTTAAAATCTTCTCGTCGGTGGTTACGTCAAAATATTTGTATTTGATATCGGCCCTCTGTAATATCTCCACCATTTGCCGACTTCCACCACATTTTGGGTAATCTGGGGTCCCCTTGAGGAAAACCATCACTCTCGATGATTCTACGAGTTTCTTCAGACGAGCTTCGAGCGAGTCCTCAGATTCTGAGGAATCGATCGGGACCTGCAATACGAAGCTCACAAAGTCCGAATCTTTGTAGACGGGTCTCCGATGATAGGGCCTATCAGGGCTCGATACGGTCGCAACTCACCGCGTGTGGCCTCTCTCCCAGGCGAATGGCCTCCATTCTCTGCTCAAGTTTGTAGATCTTATTCAGCAATGTTCTTGGGTCAGCTCCCGTGATTGTCTGTACGAAGTGAGCCCCCCAAGTGAGTATGAAGGCTGGCACTTTCTGAATGCTCCAGATTGCTGCGATGCGCCTCGTTTCCTCGCTCGAGACATCGATCTGTAGACGATGAACCCAATCCATCACTGAAGCCGGAGAGTCGAATCGGGACAATTCTCATGTTCCTCGGTCGAATACAATTACCTTGAAGAACCTGACTCTCGGGTGATCTCTGATAATTTCCCTGATAACATCATCCATCTGAGCGCATTCCGGCGACCCGGGTAAACTGAAGAAGTGAACAACGAGCAAGTTGCTGAAAAATCATGATTACCCTGTTATAGTCGTTCACTGAAGGCCGATTGCTGATTTAAGAATCAATCACTTCCGGAAAAATCGAATCGTCTCCTCGTCGAGGAGCCACGATCGATTGATCGCGCACTTTGTTCGGTTCGCTGAAGCTACGTTGAAATCCGACAAGGAAGTCACGGGGAGCATCTCGGCATTTCCACCCGTTAGAGGCCCCTGGTATCTTGAGATAGGGTTCTGCATTCTGTCCGGGAAAGTGAGTGGATTCCACTTTTTTCCGCAGCAGGGACTTGTCCACTCCAAGGGGCTATGAGGTTCCCGCTCTCATGTGGCTCACAGGGGGACTTCCCGCTACACCGCCGAACAACAGTACGACGGAAGCCATCTTTGCGAAATTTGAAGCGTCTGCAAGCGCGCGTCTCGCTCCGACTCAGGATTCCGGATGCTCTAGGCGACGAGCAAGAGGTTTCAGTCCAAGGAATCGAGCTCTCCTGGTGTGGAGCGTTTCCCGCACGCGGAAGCTCCATGGCCGTTATCGGCAAGCGAATTGGCTTTGTGCTCCAAACGAATTCGACTCGACATGGTTTCGAGCTTGAACTGAGAGTAAGACCTCGGCTTCCGGTTATTTCCCCGAGAATGGGTTTGACAGCTTCCGAGCTACCGTCCCGGCTTCGCTGATAGAGCTCGGCTGCAAGGCGATCTTCGGCGTCGCTCCTCGAGCCAGTAGCCAGTACCTTCGAGGAAGCACCAGTCCGGATGTTTTGAACGCATACTTTATTCGCGTATGAGGGAGGGGCAAAACTCTGTTTCGCAAAGAGTATACAAGGCTCTGAGGAGGCGCGCCAACATTCCAGACCCTCGCCTCAGCAGAACCAGGGTTCAGGCTTCCATTCCCAGACGAAGACGATGGTCACGCGCCTGTGCACGACAACCCGACCGTTCGGGGAGACAGTTCCTTCCTCGAAAGGAAGAGACGTCGTCGTCATGACTCATCGCAGCAGATCTACCGATCGGAGGGCTTCTGCTATCCTATCAAAGAAAACGCAATCCTATAGCATCTGGGTTACGTATGAATTTATTCCAAATTATCCATAAATTCAATAACGCGATGATTCCGAAATCGTTCCCTGTGCTGGGAATATTTTCTGTCACTCCAACGCGGTACTTGATGTGTCCACGCGAGCTACCTAGGCATATGAATGAGCTGTCCTTGTGAGTAAGCGCTGGATGATGGATCGTTTCCTCGTCAATAAATAATTCAAAACAAAATCACATTAATACTGACCGTCCTGGAAAGACAATTTCTGACGACATGTGACCGATTGTATTCCATCGATACTTCCAGAAACCACCGGTTCGCCATGTTCGTCACAGGTTCTCATCCGTAAAATGATGATGATCCGGGAATAGGAGCTGCGTTGTGCGAGCATCCGGAGCTAGGACTTTATGATTCGATTGCCATCCTCCGCCGGCAACAGAGTCGATCGACTAATCGTTTCCTGGACGTTGTTTCCGATGATCAGGCTCGTTTCCGGAGACGAGGAAGAGCCGATCTCTCAATTTTCGCTGAGATCGCTGCGCCACTCTCGTCCACCTCTTCTTGAATTGAATCCCAGGACTGCGGTGATTCGATGCTCCGACGCGGTCCGAATCTATCTATGGATGAAAAGCCAACGGCGTGGATCATCGTCTCCTATCATCATTACCCGCTCAACGAGGATCAAGAACGAATGATGATGAAGGCGATTACAAAATCGACTGCTCACCGGCTCTCTCGGATCGACAGTCTTGCTACAACAATAAAATCCCTCTACTTTGTTTTTACTTCGAACGGCCCTAGCATAAGATATTCATGACTAGATATCCCCCCGATTCAACTCGAAGGCGACCCCGGTGCGTTGAAGGCTGTCAGCAGTTTCTTGTTTCCCCGCTGCGTCAGGCCCTCGAATCTTTTGAAAGTATAGTTGATGAAAACCCAGTCTTTGTAGTTCTGACCTCCTGGAGCCGCCGCCGATGCCGCCGCTGCGGCGGAGCTCTCGTCTTTAGGAGCACAGGGTATTTTCAAATCCACGTCAGGAAACTCGTCGAAATTTGAGGTGTCATCGATGCTCTTCACCTGCGGATAATCTCCTCGTGAGTTCCAACACAACCAGTCATCGTACTGATCCCAACTAAGCGGCCTCTCAGCAGAGCTCGCTCTCCGTTTGCTCTTGAATTTATCCATCCCGATGAGTGAATCGACCGGAAAATTATACCTGGATCGGAATCGCCGCCGGTCGGTCCCGGATGTGCTCCCAGTCAACGCCTCGGAAAAATCCTTGCTCCTTGATGTCGGCAAACGTCCCTAATCGGACAGCCGCGTCATTACACAATGCCGTGATGATTCCGTGAGCGTCTTCTGAGATCGGGACTTCTGCGGGGAAAACCAGGGTTTCCCTCCAATTCATCACCTGGAACAATGGATCGAGCTCTATAATCCTTCTTTCCGCAGCCCCCGATATTATGTATTTCTCGGAATTCCTATCGAGTATGATCGTTTCGAAGGAGTGGAAGAACTCCCAGTGTTACCTTCCGGTAGGTCTCTTGTGGGGTTTCGGAACAGAAGGGAGGATATCCGATGAGCATTTCGTACATGATCACACCTAAGCTCCACCAATCGCAAGCGGCGGTGTAACCCGTTTGCATGAAGACCTCCGGCGCGATATAGTCCGGGGTGCCCACGGTCGAATACGCTAATTGGCGTCGATTCTTCTTCCAACTCTCTGCTCTCCTTTTCGAGTCCATGAAGTCAGAGGGCTTAGCCTGAGATAGATCTCTATAGAAGTCCGTGCGATGGGATTTTTTCAAGCCGGTGCACAAGCCGAAGTCCGAAAGCTTGATATGACCTCGCGCGTCGAGCAGAAGGTTGTCGGGTTTTATATCACGATGTATGAAGCCAAGTCGGTGAATACTGTGAATAGCTAGCGCGGTCTCGGCCATGTAGAACTGTGTCGCTTCCTCAGATAGGGTGTCTTTCTTCATGAGAAGAGTCATCATGTCACCGCCCGGAAGGAACTCCATGATCAGATAGAGGTTTATAGCATCCTGGAAGCTGTAGTACATCTTCACAACCCATTGATGGTCTGCCTCGACCAAGATGTCGCGCTCTGCACGAACGTGCGCAATCTGCTCCTTCTCCAGCATATCAGCCTTCCGCAGAATTTTCATAGCGTACACATGACCTGTGTCTTTCTTCTGCACCAAACGCACTTCTCCGAAGGCGCCCTTGCCAATAACTTTGAGCGGATCGAAGTCATCGACACCCAGACGAGATCGCTTTAGTCGTAGGAATTCGGTTTCTTTCACAGAGTGTTGAGCACGGATCTCGCGTTTCTGGTCCTCCGTGAGACCTTCCTCAGCCATGGACTCTTCGAGTCTTTCATGTCTGGTCCTGCGCTCGATATGTTGACTCACTAAATTCGAATAGTAATTCTCCAGATGAACTTTAGCTTTCGTTGCTTTGTCGAGAGTGTGCCCGGAAAATATCGGATGATTGGGGTCGAATGGAGGCCCCGTTGAGGAAGGACTTGCCATCACCGGAAAATTCCAACAAATCCGAGCGACGTCCAAGAGCAGTGCTCAGCTGGGGATGACACACTCGAACAGGCATGCAATTTTTTGGTACGGAGGTTTTGAGGCCCGGCCGTGCTAGCGATACGACAGGAAGGGTATCATCGACATACGTTCCCGAGGTCAGGAAGGAACGGACGACGAGAAACGACAAATAATCATGTAGAGATGCAAGAGTAGAGTAAACTTGAATCGTAGACGGACTCGACGACGACGTCGTCTACCCTCTAAACAATACATGATGATGATGGCGATGATCCCAGCTGGGGAAAGGTAAACATGGGAATTCAGAATTCATTCCTACTTGAAGCTGTGGCGCTGAAAGCGATCCGGCTTTCTCCCCGGTACCTCCCGGAATCTTACACTAAGTGATTATTAGTGACCATCGGTGATCATTCAATTGCATTGATTATTAATTTTGATTCGATTCAAATACATGAGCATCAATAATCGACATTAATTGAAATCAATCATCATAAAGTCCTGATTCTCCATCAGGAAAAAGTTTCTTATGGATGTCTGGCATCTGGTCTCATCCGATATCCCGCCGCTTCTGTTTCCTTGGGCTCGAAGCGGGCTTTGCTCCCAGGTCTCCTCCAGAGGTCAGAAACTTGATGCGCGGCGAGAGCAGGGACCCCTGAGTCACAGCACTTCCATTCTCTAAATCATTAGGAAGATAGTAGGAATAATTACAGGTCATTGTTGCTTCGCCCCACGCCCCACTAAGAAGAATTCGAATTCAGTTCGAAAATGTAGTTTCGAGGAAGTGCTCAGAAATTCTCGAAAACCTCCCCGTCGAAGCGAGATATGTATCGCACAACTCGGAAGAATTCGGTGGATCTCTCCAGAGGCTTCATGCGGGCGAGTTCAATAGGGAACTAGCCCAATGACTGGACGTTGGATATTCTCAAGTGATCATATCCCAGAAATCCCCCTCAGTCGTGGTTGGATGATCCTGCGTTGAGAATTCCTCCATAGACGTCGTTTGAAATTCTTCCGCAGTCGTCATCGGCATCCGGCCTCTCGGACTGAGGAAATCTGTAGAATTCCTCCTCAGATCCATATCGGCTGCTTGGCGACTCATTTATGTACTATAGACTATCGACACGCTAAGCTTGTCCCGTCAACTGAGAGCGGTATGATTTCTATTGCGGAATCAAAATTCTGTGGAGGGGCCGATGTTTCAGGCAGGAACCCGTAACGGGTTCCTGGTTATAACCCGAAATACACTCCGGAGAGGAACTCGATTCCCCAAAACGACTCAGACGACATTTTCGAATGATTCAAAGCCTTATCGCGAGAAATCACGGCAAAATAGGCAGTACGATAGATGACGGCCGGAAAGGAGCCCTCCCAGTCCATCACGACTTCGCTGCGGACCTTATCGCCATTACGAAACTTAGCAACCCTGAGCCGCAATCCATGGGACACCTTCTGTGAGAGCGCCTCGGTCGGCAAACAATGCGTTCAGTCTGTTTGGAGTGGCGCGGCCAGAATTCCGGCCGTCATTTCGAATTCTACTCTGTGGCCCTGATTCCGCGCCAGCCGCCAGCATGAACCCCGGTTCTGGAACCGCCAGTGCTCGGAAGAACGCCGAAAAGAAGGCTCGAACGTTTGACCTAACCGCAATTTTCGAGCAAGCGAAACAAACCGCCCGTGAAGTCTGCCGTCAACCGGAGAAAGACCCAGAGGAAGGTAGGAGAATAATTCCTCACTCGCTTCCATTCAGACTCGGTCATGATGTGGAGCCGATATCGCGAATTCATGCCTTTGGTACGAGCCTCACGGGGTCAGTCCCGAAAGATTGTCATTGTGACAAAACTTCATCATTTTCGATGGAACTCCCGGAATGTCCTTGTGGGAAGCTGTGGCTGCACAAGGTTTCTAAATCCGAATCACGCGCTCACAATCTTGGAGTGGGTTCTCGACTCTGATACCGTCGATCGAGAATAAAGTGCTTCCGACGAGTGAGGCAATTCCTATGTTCAAGTTGCTGACAAGAGGAAATCGTCTTACAGATCCGCCGGACCCAGGGGATGTCGTCGCAGCTGGACCTTCGAAGATTGGTGCTGTGGACGGCGGCGAAGACGACGTTATCGGCCCCCTACCCCCGTCTCGAGCGACCGAAGACAAATCAGATAGCGACTCCGACAAGGAGGACTCGAGCATGCCCTCGAGTATGTCCATTCAAATGAACAATGGAGTCAAGCCAATCTCGGCTCTCGCGATCGACGCCAACGGGGCGCGAGTTGTGACCGGAGGATATGACTACGAAGTAGCCTTTTGGGACTTCGCGGGCATGGACTCATCGTTCAGGGTGAGTTTCATGGTGTCGGGATTTTTCGAATCGAATTTCTGATCGAATCGATTGCGAGTAACCGACCGTCTCTTCCACGTAGCCATTCCGCACTATGCGTCCGTGTGAGAGCCATCAAATAAGAGACCTCGCCTTCAACGCGACCGGGGAACATATTCTGGTCGTCTCAGGGAACGCGCAAGCCAAGGTCCTGGATCGAGACGGGCTCCTAGTTCTCGAGTGCCCTAAAGGTGAGCCATGCTTGCCGGATAGCTTCTCGAACTCTCAATAGTCGGTGCCGTTCCGACTCAGAAACTTATTTCCGATCTGATCGCTCAGGTGATATGTACATAACGGATACGGCGAAGACGAAGGGTCACATTGCAATGTTGAACGCCGGCTGCTGGCACCCTCGCGAAAGAACGGAATTCATGACGTGTTCCAATGACGGTTCCGTGCGATTATGGGACTCGAGCGCTGGGACAAAGCACAAAGCCATCATGAAGCCCAAGCAGCAAGGAGGCCTGCGAGCGATACCGACAGCTTGCTGCTACAGCCAAGACGGGAACTGGGTAAGCCGGGAGGGACTGAGCGGAAAAGACGGGAGATCTGTGAATTGAGCTTCTCAGAACCCGAGTGGAATAGGCTGAATTGCAGTTTCCATTCAGTCGTGAAATCCCTTGTCTCTCTTCTCTGCAGTGCGCGGTCGGATGTAACGATGGATCGATCCAAATATGGGACCATCGGCGGAATTTCGTCAACACCGCGCAAGTGACGAGAGACGGTCATGCCAAAAGCTCGGACATCTCGAGCTTGAAATTTTCGTATCGTGGTCATCAGATCCTCAGTCGAGGCCTTGATGACCGAATGATACTCTACGATGCCAGGAACATCAAAAAACCGTTGAAGGTGTTCTCAGATCTCACGAATATGTACTCGATGACCGATGCCATTTTCAGTCCGAACGACAAGTTGATTCTGACAGGGACATCCCTACGGAAAGGTAGAGAGAGAGAGAAGAGAACTTGTCGGAGATTTCATCGAGGATACCCGGAAATATCTCTAACCTGTTTTTTTTCATGACAGGAGACACCGAGGCGGAAATTAAAGTTTTCAATGCCGAGACTTTCAAAGAGACGGAATCGCACGTCGAGAATGCTTCGGTGATTCGTTTAGCATGGCATACCAAAATAAATCAAGTCCTTCTCACGCGGAGTGACGGGGCTACGAAGGTTTTCTACGACGAGACGTCGCGTAACGGTGCCCTCCTATGCGTGGGCAAAACAAAGGTCCGTTGACTTTGACGATCCCTGTAGGATTGCGGTGAAAATCAAATCCCGAGCTGGGTTTTCCCGGTTCGATCAGCGAATGAAATTTCATTTTCCATTCACAGATCAAGAAGAAGCACATGGAAACAGTGACATCCACACAGATCATAACGCCACATGTGCTTCCAATGTATCGTCCCGACAAGACCCGTCTCATGCGGAAGCAACAAGAAATCGACCGCAAAGATCCGATAAAGTCTCGGAAACCCGATATGCCGGTCACGGGTCCCGGTGCCGGAGGCAAGATAGCTTCTGGAGGTAACACTCACACCTCATTTATCGTTCGGCAGCTCGGAATGAGAGAGAAAACAGATGACAATGAAGATCCTCGTGAAGCTTTGCTGAAATACGCTAAAGCGGCCGAAGAAGACCCGTACTGGGTTAGTCCGGCGTATAAGAAAAACCAGCCAAAGCCTATTTTCCAAGCTGTCGAAGCAGAAGAGGAACCGCCTTCGAAAAAATCGAAACCTGTTTGATTGTGTTAGGTGTACAATCCAGAGGCTCTTCGTTCCTGTGCCATGATGTAAATTCAAATGTACATAGCATGCGTTCAGACTACACTACAATGACTGACAATGAGACGAGGAATGAAAAGGGCTCAGGCTGCAAAACAAAGAATTCTGTCCTCTTCTTTAATTCTCCCTCAAAAAACCTTAGTTGATCTCGTCGCCCAACAAAGCGAGTTGCTGTAGAAACTGCTTAGCGTTCGTCAACTCCGTGCAGCCGTATATGACGTTCCTTGGAATGGACTTGGTCCGCATACACTCCACCAGATTTTGGTATTCGATGTAGTTGCCTGCGGGAAGAAGATCGACTCTTGTTTCTCCATCGACGATTAATAGAAATTCACGAGATTCGCACAAACGATTTATCTCACCTCCTCCGACCACGAACACAATCGCGTCATTGAACGGAGTTTGCGTCCGACTCGGGCCGAATTCCGGTGATGTACCACGGAGGAGTTTCGGATCGAAGTAGCGGAAGTCGTCAGTTTCGGGCCCAGATTTCAAATCCATCAGCGACTCGACGATCTATTCGTAGTCAGAAGGAGTTCATCAGCGATAACTTCTAGCTTTCTCTCGCGCAGACTCTGCGCGTTCGGGAACTTGGCACCCCTCGAGGAGGGAAATCCCCTCGCTCTGATCGAGCCCGATACTCACCCTGGTTGCAGGAAGCTTGTGTTTTTTGACGACGAGGTTCTTCACTCCCTCCATGACAAACTGACTGCCTTGCGACATCAACTTCGAGAACATCCCTACCGTCCTCGTCCCCGATCCCGCATAGGCTTGCTGAGCTTGCACTTGCATTTGGCTGAAGTCTTTCCACCGCTTTAGATACTTGACAGCTTTTAGATCGCAACCGTTTTTCTCGAGCAAGATCTCATACTCTTTCAGTTCCTCGGGAGTGAGATGATTACAAATGTAGTTTATGAGGAACAAGCGCAGTTTGTCGGTTTCGGTCCCGGCTTCAGGATCGACGAGCGTTTCCTGAATACTTTTCTCAAGGGTCTGTCTCCCGAGAATTTTCTCCTCGAGCTCGAAATAAGTGTCCAACTTGCGAGCTTTGATCTCGTCGAGGATCGATGTAGCTATCGTCGTATGCTGATCTATGAGACGCTTCTTCTCCAGAAGTTCAGGCAGAGAGCTCACCGCGTTCGTGAGCTTGGCCGTATTGTCGCTGAGCAGGCCGACAGCTTCGTCTGCGTTGTCTCCGCTGATTCCCATTTGCGACTTCAGGCGCTTTACGTCCTCTTCCGATGCGCGGTATTTTTCCAACTCCTCCTGTACGGCCTCCGCCACCATGGGGAAGGGACTGCCCTTGTGCTGTTGCCAAAACTTATCGTTCACGTTCAAGTCGTAAGTTCTGCTCTTGGTGGGGCGCTTGCTCCCGGTTAGCAAGTCCGGCGCTCCGATCGCTTCCTCCAAAGTGACCCGATTGAGTTTGTAGTCAAGTACATCATGAGTCAACGCCTGATACGTCCACGTGTGATGGAGCGGTGTCGCGAGATCCATGTTTCGGTCAAGGATGACCAGCAGCGGTCGTTGGAACGAAAACTGTCCCGGAGGCACGTCCAGAAACAGCGAGTTCCGAGTATCGCGCAAATTATCCTTGAGCTTTTTATCGAGTTTCTCGGCGACCATCGAAGCTGCGTTACCCGTCGGTGCTCTGATTATTGGAACCGTTCCCAAAGTCGCGAAAACAGAGAACAAACAGTCAACGATCGAGTTTATGATGGAATCCATCTCAGCTTCGGTCACAGATCCTCGGTTCATGGCGTAGTAACTGACTGCTTCTCTGCCGTGCTGCTTCAATAGGAACATGTCGTTGTCCACTGTGATGAAGTTGAGGTGCTGATCGAACACCTTGCGGATGCTCGTGACGCAATTTGCGTTTATCGCCGCGGATGCCAAATCTTCGAGATACTGTCTGGATAGAGGGGAGATGAAGTTCAGGTAAATTTCGTCGTAGCACTCGTTGCGGAGGTCTTGTGCTATGCGACTGATGTTTTCTTGGGTGGGCGAAACGAAATACACCGCAGGAACCTGGAACGACAGCTTGACTTACACGCGGTACCATCTCACGTCGGTCGAAGAGTTTCCGTCATCCAGCTTTCCGTGAGATTTTCCCACAAGGAGGATTTCCCACAAACCTCAGGTATGGGGTCCCGGTCTGAGTGAATCATGAGATGGAGCGTCACGCCGAGATCTCGGAGTTCGCGAACAGAAAGCAGAGGCGATATGATGTCCTGACCGGCTCTGTCGTAAATCAGCACCTTCAACCAGGATGGAGGATTATACTTGTGTGACATATTCCCAGAGCCTACAGGAGACAGGACAGGATCCCCGGTAGCTCGTCGATGCGGGTGGATCGTTCATAATGAATTTGGAATGACCTTATTCCGAATGAAGAAATACACATATACTGACTTTCCAGACAGGCTCGTTGGCTCTGCTCTTGACGGCCGCGTTCAAATTCAGCATGTGTTTCAAGGCAGCGATCTGCCTCTCCCGGATGTTCAGAGCCATCTGTAGACATAGAAACTGTCTCCTTAATTTAGGGGTTGCTCGTATCTTGAATTTTGTGACTCTCAGACGTCTCACTCAAACCGAACTCAATCGATTTTAAAACTATCTTGGACGCAGACACAAATGAAGAGCTCCACACGGGATGTATCTCGTGCCATTATAATAGTATTATAATCGATCCCTCACCTTAGGGCCTTGTCTGAATCACTTGAGCGAATTTAGAGCGATGTCATCCCTTCTCTCCCGAGCCCGGAGCACCAGCTGCCGAATTCCGAATCTACCACGAAAGAAATAGCATCGTCACGAGAGGAGGCTTTTGCATACATACGAACTGAGGAGGCTTCCCGCCATTGATGGAATTCCTCAAAACTTACCGAAACGAGCTACAATCGCGCTGATCAAAGGGTTCGGAACCTGGCCCTACATAGGCTGACGAAGACACATCAACAGCATGTGACGTTGGACCTAAACTTCATTCCGACTTTTAGTGGAGAGTGCGGAATCCGCCGGAACTGCAGGCGTTCCGAATCGGGGGCTCGCGGGAATCCACCTCTCCTGACTCCCTCACGGGGAGGGGATTTTTGTGTTTAATTTTCGGAGGAAGTATGAAGAGTACGGCGTAGGATTGAGGAGGGTCTGGGACACTGCTCGATGCCCGAGACCCGATAAAACACGGAGCGTCCAGTGTCGCTATGTCGGTACCCTCTCCAGCTTTCCCCGAGCCGCAGCTGATTCACGACATTTTTCCCTCAAAGATTACGATTTGGAAAATGTGAGTTCGGCTTGGCAAAGTCGGAGCCTGTCGCTTCAGTGTATAGGCTAGGAGAGGAGCATGTGTCCCGATCTTTTAATATTCAATCGGGGGTGCGGGGGTAGCCCGCTTCGTGGCAACGTAGAATGACGTGGATGATTCGCAAGTTCGCAATGTTTTTCGGGCACCACAACTATTCTTCGCGATATAATCGAGTCCATCCGGAATCAAGTCTTCCGAATAATGAGCGGGAGGCAAAGCTTGCGGATATTTGTGATTTTCTGATCGTGAGATCCGCGCAGGTCATCGCGGCTCTGGAAGTTTTCGTCCCCCTGTCTTTTTCGCGCCCGTCAGGATCGCACGACAAATTCGACTGCATGAGATCTATTTGTTCAAGGGAGGATATGCGGGTGTGGATCAGCTTCACTAAGAGCAAGGCCAGTTTCAGCGCCGGAGGAAAATTAGGACTCTAGGACCCACGTAAATTCTGGATCTCCAAGAAGAATTAGGGAATCTCGAAAAGTGTCACTCCGCGGTTCAGGATCGTCTCACACACATGCTCACGACGATCTCAGAGCTCCTCATCCGCCTTAGAGTCGCGCTGTAACGAGTGGCGAGCAAGAGTCTGTTCGGAAGCACCCGGACGATGGGGAAAGCCCATGATCGCTCTCACTCTCTGCTTATTCGGCGGTAGACGCCTCGCTCATTCTGTTGTGACAGAACGTCCTGACCTCAGCTCGGTTTCCTCCGCACTACGCGTCATGGTGCTCCGTTTCTGTGAGTAGGTTTTTGACGTATCGAACACTTAGGTGGTGAAATTACTCGTTCAAATCCCGAAGCGCGCGAACTGCGTGCTGGTCCGATATGAGCTCTCGCTCCTCGGTGGCGCTCGCAGTCGCTAAGCTCTTGGTGGAGAGCTTCGAATAATCGGACATGTCTCGATCCTTCAGATTCAGACGCTCACAGTTGGGAGTATTCGCTGAGTTTCTGGAATTCGCACGCTATTCATCCGATGAACGATTATCCTGGACGGGCATTCGACTTCTCTGAAAAGCTTAATATTCCCTGTTTTTCCAGTGTCGGGCAGTGCCGCCATGGACATCAACGAACTCCTGTTGGCCTGTCGCCGGGGTGATCTTGAGAAAGTTCGTTATCTTGTTGAGAAGAAAGAAGTTCCCCTGTGCATCCGAGATAAATGGGACTCCACACCGTTATACTACGCGTGTTACTGCGGTCATAAGGAAATTGTGCAATATCTTTTAGCCAACGGCGCGAAATGTGAAGCCAACACATTCGATGGCGAACGCTGCATATACGGAGCTCTGACCGACGAGATACGCAACCTGCTACGCAGTTTCAAAGTGGTCACCTCTCGGATCATGAGGAGGCACACCTACGACGAATTCCTCCGTAAAATGTACGAGACGGTTGAATTCACGGATGTGCTTGTTACTACCCGAGATGGTAAATCTCGCCGTTGCCACAAATGTATCTTGGCAGCGCGATCGGAGTATTTCAGAAAGGTATTCTCCCAAGATCCGAATTTGCGAGAGGTAAGGTTAGATTTCCAATCTTCGGAGTTGTTCGAAAGCCTCAAAGAATACATGTATACGGGAACGATGAGGATGTTACTCGAGGAAGACAAAGTGTTAGAGGTCCAGAAAATGGCGGAACAGTTCCTCTTGACGAGTTTCATCGACAAGCTCCTCGATGAACTGGATAAATACGAATGTGAAAGATCTCGTTACATTAAGCAAGTGCACCATATCATCATCGAGCCGGAATTAGACAGCGCCGAACTAAGTGAATCGTTCGGGAAGTTGGCAGATGAATATCTCCGCAAGGATCTCATAGAACTGCCCTTCGGGTCCACGAAGGCACGCTCGATCATGTACGCCGACGTATGCTTTCAAGTCGAGGGCACACGCTTCTTCGCGCATCGGCTTTTCTACTGCCAACGATCGGAATACTTCTCGGCGCATCTCCGAGATCACTTTAGAGAAGCTGCCACTGTCAACGGCGATATCCCCCTGATCAGCTTGAGCGATATTACGGCTGACGTTTTCTCGTGTATCCACGAGTTCATCTACAAGGACTATACCGAAAACTTGACGGCAACTAACGTATTTGATGTGCTCTTCGCTGCCGATATGTTTCTCCTGAATGGACTGAAACGTTATTGCGGCAATTATGTCGGCGAGAGAATAGACACCGATAACGCGGTCTCACTGCTGAAGAATGCGCGCATGTTCGAACTAGCCCGTCTGGAAGATCAATGCGTCGCCTTCATTTCTAACCGTCTCGAACACTTCGTCGATGACGTCGAGTTCCATGAGCTAGTGATCGAGGACGCGAAACAGGTCAAGGAGCGCCAAGAGACGGATTCGATCGCAATAATTGACGATATTCGATATCATATCAGCGCTAACGTGCAGACATTTGCGGAAATCGAGGATGCCAACGAAAAACTTTTCCTCATCGACCAATTCCTATTTCGATTGAATCTTGAAGCTTGAGACTCAGGGACATCGGCAGACGCAGGGAAAAGGAGCGCGTACCTCGCGAGTCTATATCAAAGAGTGCTGCCGGGAGAACCTGGCTGCTCTTACTTTATACCTCATCGCAAGCACGCCTCCATGTTTTGAGTCATTTTCCAATACGACGCACCCGGCCCACTTATCCACTATTGGCCGCCATAGTGTTGGCGGGGGACCCCTTTCACGGAAGCTGAGTCGAAACCTTGAGCAAAGGGCCGCTCCTTACTCTGACGTCGATTCCATATCTTTGCAGATCTAATGAGGAGCTTTGTGTCATTAAGTTTTCCCTTGTTAGTCCAGCGGCTACAGCCTATGTTTATGAATGTGATATTTACGCGGGAGCTAGGGACCTAGGCTAGTTTTTTGAGGGTATCCGATATCTGGGACTGTTTAAGTGGGGCAGAACCGGACGAAGATATTAATACGGCGTTGAGATAACTCGAGCCTTGAAAACAGGCTGAATAAATAAGGGTGAAGTTAAAAAATCCAGATGCATATTTATGGCTACACCGGTCAACGAAATTCCAGTCGCCTCAGGGAACTCTGTGCAATACTTCCTTGCAAATACACTGGGCCATCAAAAAACTTGAGCGAAGTAAGTCAGAAACATTTTCGTATGAACTCATGGCTGGGATTGATAGATTAGTCATCACAGTCACTCATGCCCGGGTCGTTTTTGTGTATGTTATGAACATTCATCACGGTTGCCTTCGGTCGGGACGTTGGAGCCGGCGCCGTATGAGGAACAGAAGCTCTCCGTTCCGACTCCTGCGGCCGCCACCCAACATGCTCCGCATCTGGGTGCGTGGTCTGAGGTACACCAGCTCTCCGTTCCGTGACCTGCGGTTGCCGCCCTACATGCTCCGCGTCTGGGACAGCTCTCCTGCTCGAGGTAAGAGTTCTTGCTCTCGAGTCGACTCCGTCGGGTCCGACGGCTGGGCGCTGTACTGTTTCAGAACGATACTTGGTCGGATCGAAGGCGTTCACCTGGCTCCGGAGGACGATGGGTCTCGACAGCTGGAAACGATGTGCAGTGTTCATGAGAGACCATATTTAGGTGGCTGCACCAAGAAACGAGCTTCATGTCTAAGAATGGAACATCGCTCCCAAGGTGATGCGATGCTGCCATGAATGGAATCGGAAATGGGCTGGCCGATGACTGCGCCCCTCGACAGTAATTTGTCGAGAATTTCTGGCCCTGCTCAGTTTTGAGCCTCATCAATATTCGTTGGGAGATGAAACAGTTGTGTTCAAAGCTCAGTACGGCTCTTCTCAGACTCCATCCGTGCTATAAACTTGTTCATGACTGATCGAGAGACAAATACTGGAGCCCACCTTCGATGCGTTGAGACGACCAGAATCATGCGGACGGTCCTGAGAAAGAGAATATAGTCGCTAGCTGGCCTCTGGATAATATTTCGGTGTGAAATCACAGCTCATACAACCGATGATTCCAGCTCCCTCGTTCTTGGTGTGTGAAGAAGAGAACTCACGAAGTATTTCAATATTTCTCTTTGCGGCAGGTGTCGAGGATCGGGAACTGTAGTTCCATATATCTCATAGGGGAATTCACTTAACATTCCGTAACTGAGAGGAAACCGAGCGTGATCAGACCACTATAGCGGCTTTTGGTCCTTCCTTCTTTGTGTACAAATACAGGCGACAATACCGAAGTGTCGTCGAGAATCGAGAAGAAGACACTGTCGCCCTTTCCCAACGCAGATGGTAAACACGGAGCCCCGTGTAGAGATTGGAGATACCTGAGTCTCCAAGTGTAATAAGGTGCCATATCTGTCATCTGCTTGTCAATATCCCTACAGGTAGCGACCATCGGTTTCCGACTCGACCTAAGAGCTATTCCTCAGGATCAGGGAAAAACGAACAATGAGCGATGAGCGCCCGCTCACCGTCCGTCTGCGGGTAGCCAATGAATAGTGGAGAGGGGGTTCGCATGAGGACTATGACAGTCAAAAGAGAGCGCGGCCGTATGCTCAAGACTCAAGATAGCGTTTTGTTGTGCGTATGCTAAGTCTATGGGGTACAAGAAGTACGCAGCGTGAAATTCCTCAAAGATGGAATCATTCGACAAGGATGCTAGTTATCATTGCCGGGAGTTTGTCGGTCGGTTCTCGAACCTTAAGGCCCTAGCCAGACTTCCGAAGTCAATCGCACCCCTCGGAACAAGAAGCATCGTGCGGAGTGCTTCGCTTCGGAGAACGAAATGCTTCCGAGCGGAAGACGTGAGTTGTGCCATTTCCCCATCTATGTAGAATAGTGCACATTGCAAGAGATTCAGTCAGAAAAAACTCGAAAAATTATAGATGATTCGGCACCAAAGATGACGAATTCTCCATGGGAATCAGTTTTCTCTGATATCCAAGGGCACAATTCCGAGGAGTGCCTCGATTAACTCAGGGAGTCGGGATCGGGAGGCTCATAGGTCCGAGAATCGCTTCGAGTTGATGACAAATTTCCGTAAATGATCACTAGCATCATTATCCACACTCTCCCATCGAATGATCCCATCTTTGTGGAATTTCACCCTGCGTGCTCAGGTACACCTCCCCGATGGACTCGGCATAAAAAAATTGTACGCTATCTTGAGCATTCCCATAAGCGCTCAAAAGTGAGCCGCATAAAGCGAATTCCGTGATTGCCTTTCTTCGAACCGGCATCATTGGACTACCTCCTCGGGAGGAGGTGGCCCATGCAAAGTGGAGAGGAGGTTCGCATGTAAATAATAACAGTCAAGTGAGGATAGCGCGGCCGGTTCTCTGTATTTGTTATCCACGATCCACGGGTCGACGATTTTTCTCTCCCACTAAGCACGTGTATAGTGGAGAGCATCGGATAATTGCCCAATGCATGATTCAACTGGGGAAGCTCTCCATTGAAAGTGAGTTCAGTCATATCTAGAGCCGGTGATTGCGAGCATTTTCAATTTTTTCCAGTGATTATCAATCGTTGGTTAATATTCTCTTTCCTTCTTTCTCAATCCGTTTTCTCGTTGGGAAAAAAGTGAGAAGGATTGAACAAGAGATTGAAGAAGAGATATTGATCAATGATTGATGATTAATGGAAAAGTGATAAGTGCTCAGAAGCACGCGCTTTACTTGCATCCAATTGGTGGAGAGTTCTCTGTTGGTCAGAAAGGCGTTCCGCATCCTCAAAATCTACCCCTGAGAGACATCTCCTCCCTTATTCGGGATTTGTGTAGAGCTTAACTTCTAGGTCAAGACACCCGGAGAAGATCAGTCCGATCCCGCAATGAGTGGCACGAAGCGACCTTGGGGTTCATCCAGTGACAGTGTCGAGGACTCAGATCGCTCAACGAAGCAAAGTAGGAGCATCGAAAACGAAATGGAGAGGATCAGTTTGCCGGTGTCGATCGATCTCGAAACATTTGTTTCATCGCGAAAGGTTTTTACAACTTGAATCCTAAGAGAGGATATGAGTGAGCCTGTTGATAAATGATCGAATGGTCCGGCGCGGAGCATGAATTCCGAATGGCTCTCCTCACGACTAGATCGATCTTGATTCCAGGACGAGTTGGCGAATCTCGCCAATGTGGTCAAAGTTAAGATGCGGAAACTAGTCAGTCAACAACTGCCCCGTCACTTACGCAGGAGGACAGTTAGTCACAACAGAAAACGATTGCCCAAACGTTTACAGGTGAGTTTGGAAAAAGTGGCATTCCTCCCTGATAGGTACCTCGAGTATGTGCCGAACGAGTAGTCTCCGGCTGAGGCTCCTTGCCTCGGGATTGACGATAATCTGTTCTCCAGCCTCGCTTCAACGCCGGAGGCGCTAAAGAAACGAAGCGACCATCGAGGTCACATCGTCGGCGGCCGAGGAATCTTCAGGAAGACTATGCGAGAAGATCAAGAGAGAACCGCTGGTTGGAAACGCACATCTGGCATGCGAAAAGATTTCGCATGGTGAACAAATTCGGTTTCCGGATCCCAGAGAGCAGTTTCGATAAGAGTTTGCGGGCTTGCTACAGGTGAATCTTTCTCTTATCATGCTTCGGAGTAGATTCGCTGCGAGAGGGCATTGGAAATGAATTGAATTTCTGCAGACTGCTTCACTGATTCCGGGCTCCTTTCAGGGGCTCTGCCAAATATTGTCTCCTGAACGACGTCTCCTACGAATGTTGCATTCAGTTGCGTGGACGCGAAGAAAATATTTGCTCCCTCCTGGACATCCACACCCCGAAGGACGTGGGGCTACGAGTTGGCTCGAGAAAGTACATTGAGGGCGAATATGAGGGGAATATCTGGTTCTACGAAGCAGGTAATCGGAAGAATTCCAGAACCCTTTGGGAATCTCCGTCTCGGTTCCGTCGTGGCTTCCGCAATATATATGCATATATATTGATATATTGCGACCAAGACTGAAGTACGGAAGACGGAGTATATATATAGCCGTCGATCCATAACTAACGCTTCCTCCCCGAACGAGCTTAGGTTCATATCCCTATGGTGCCATCGGTGAAATAAGCTTCATGTGGAGGCCGAAATCCAGTGCTTCTACTGAGCGAACGCTTTGGCTTTGGTGTCATCCCACGATGCGAGAAGCCATACTCGCATCTTTTGAAAAAGCTCTGGAGGGCTGTGATGACTCTGGGAACCCGACCTCGGAGTCGCTGTGTGAGTAGAGTGAAACTCGAAACACCACCCAGCGTTGGCGGAGGAGGACCCGACGAATCTTTCTGCTCGCTCGTGGTTTGCTCCATGCTCATCGAATCGGGGTTTGCTGTTCCAGCATCCACGGTCGTCGTAGAAGATCTTAGAGGGGAGTTGAATCGCTTTCGACTCACCGGGCCCCTGGCTGTGAGAACACTCTGTGAGTCATTGACTCAGGACGAGACGGGGCTGGACGTAGGCCTGAAGCTGAACGCAACGTACTTTAACAAATTCTGGGACCTGCTCAAAAAAAACTCTTTATCTGCATCCTCTCTTGTACGAGTGAGTAACCAAATCACGCCCTGCATAAACCATTCATATGAGCTGAATCAAAACTCCGCCTTAAGGGGATGTAAGGCAAAGGATCTGCGACACTCGACCTCATTCCAGGACGGTCAAATCGTCGGCAACCTCGTCTTGGACCCGCGGTTGCACATGCCCACGAAGCGTCTCGTTCCCACCGTCGTTGGAGCTTCCGAAGATCAAGGAATTTCGCAGAAAGAATCTATCCCAGTAGAAAGTGAGATTTGGGAAGGCGAGACGCGACTTCGGGTCAAAGAGCAGATGCTGACCCAGGATGAAATTAACAAGTTCCGCCAGGAGAATCTCGTGCCGGGTAAGTCGCTCGGATGGTGTCCCGGGCTCACCAGGAGCCTTTCCGAGGCATGCACAGACACAGCTAGCTCGATTCATTGGGATGAAGTCGTGCGGACCAGATCCTGCTCTAACCTACCGCATTGTCCCCAGGCACACCATTGGACCTCAAGGAGAAAGAGAGTCGCATTCCGATAATTGTGATTTTCCGTTCTGGATCCCGTGAAAATCTGGGCTATGGTCGGGGCTGCGACGTCATAATCCCGCCTGGTTGGGGTCGGCAATTTTTCATCGCGTTCAACTACCGAGGGGCTAGGGCCGCTGGACTCCGCGATATGAATGCGGTGACCAGATACTGCAATCGATTCGTATTCCCCGACGATGCACCCGATAGTGTCATCGCTAAAGCTTATTTGGCAAATGAGACGGAAGCGCTCCGCGACAAACATTTCACCTATCCGCCGAACAAACGACCTCCGTTCATGAGGTTGGGCGTTTTCAAACCGTACGAAATGCCTTTCGGTCATCTCGTTTTTTGTTATGAGTCGATTTGGGAATACGGAGCAACGCCCACAGGCAAATTCTATGTTCTCCGAGATCGAAACAAACTGTCGGCGCTGTCGAAAGTCACTAAAGCTAACAGATTCGATGTGGCTGCCTTCGAAAAATGTATCGCAGGCGAGAATGTGGACGCCGTCTTGGTACCGGTGAAGTTAGTCTCTGTGAGCAAAGGAGTTCCACAGAGATTTTCGCGAATCTACGTCGTGCCGGATTCCTTGGTCGAATATGAAGTTTTGGTCGACGAGCTGAAGCATTCCCCTCCTGTTATCGAAAGTCGGTGCGAAAGAGAATGTTACGATGAATGGAATAGGAATATGGACGCCATGGGGGGAAATCAGTTCCCAATCATCGGGTTCGTCACGTCCGGCGATAGGAACTTGACCGGGAAGAAAGCCACGGCTTTGGGATATGTTTCGTTGCAGGGTTTGCTCAAAGTGATGACCAATCCCGACAAGCGGGGGACTTTCGCTTTCCGGAACCAGGACGTGTTTGGCTACCACAGAGCGACGTTGGAGATATTATCTTAGCCTATGTATTGTTGAGCTGAGAGCAAATAAATATAATGAGTCTCTTTCGAGTTTCTTGAAAATCTGTGGTCTAGTTGACTCGGGTACAGTGGGCAGGCTAGGTACATTCAACGGTCAAATCTCTCAATGCAGTCCGTCGCTACTGATGCGGTCGCGTTTCAAATATCCGATGCCCACCGACGAGCTCCACAGCGGACTGGCCGAGACATAGCCGAGAAGTAGGGCGTAGCTCCAGACGACGTTTCGACTGGCTCCCTCATAAGTAGCTATTCCTTTTGTTGGTCTTGGGTAGAGAGTGCCGGGAGTATGCTCTCCCACTCGTCATAACATCACTGGCCTGAGACTGAGGGCTCCTCGGAGCTGATCATCTCGGAAACTCCGATGGGTACCTGATGCCCCTGCTCAGGACAGAGCATTGCTGGGGTGAGCACCTAGAGTGAACAGGATCCGCTGTCAAACCTCAGGGGCGTGCCCGAAACCTGATTGCGTCAGCTCCTCTCCGGATTGAATGCTTCACCTTCTGTTGCAGGAACTCATCGGCGGAGTCCACGGCCTATTCGGTGAGTTTCTCGACGCAGCCCACATTTTGGGACGGAATTGAGACCCTTCCTCCGGAAAGAGTCAATCCCGGAAGTTCCCTCGACTGGCGGCACTGTCAAAGGCGGGAGGCAGAAAGACTCGTATACAAGTCAGATAATCAATCAGGCTCTTGGCAGAAACAAAGGGCTCCCTTCAGAGAACATACTCAGACTCAAAATCCCTAATGAAAGACTGTCCGGGGGATTACAAATGACAAAGATGTTCTTGAAAAATAACTGCAGCAACGATCCCGCCGATGCAAGGAAACGTCAAGCAGGGCTTCGTCTCCAAGCAAGCTGGTCGAGGGACTCGAAAGCCGCGAATGGCTCCTATGCCCTTCATCCTTGGAGGAGGCTCCCCCGCTGCGCGTCGCCGACAGAGACGTTTGCTAATCTCCAAAATGGCTCCGTTTCTCTCTGCCTTCGAGGCAGGACATTTACGCTGTGACGGACTTCGTCTCTAACAAACAATACGAATGCTGATATACATATGTATTGAGGGCTCGAATGTCGAGTTGTAGCGCAAGTCAGAGAGTGAGGAAACAGAGAGCATCCTCGATGTCGAACGATCTGGTAGTGTAGAGGGGTGAGTGAGGACGGAGATTTGTCGCGGCGAAAATGGACCAGAATCGCGAAATATCGCGATACTAAATCGTTGCTCGAATCGCGAACGGATCCGCGTTGAGCTCAGACAAGCTTTTTCCCGAGGTTCGGAGATTTTTCACTTGCCAAGAGATGTTTCACGCGTCATGTATTGCCACAGTTGAACGGTGTTCCTTATCAGACTACTCCGTGCTTATTATAACATGTCAGCAGACTTCCATTCGGTCATCTTCAGACTTCGCTGACGTGATAGGCCCTGCTCGACGCAGACGGGATAGATTCGATTTGAAATAGGATCGGATCCACACTCCAGCAGACGGATTCCGGAGATTCGAGCCGGTGTGCCAGAGATCTCCGATCTCGGAAAGATCATCGAGGAGCGCTCATGAAGAGTGAGTAATGGCCGAACTGTATCAACTCACCTCATTTCCTCGGCGAATGGAAATCGCGGTTGTCGCGGGACAATGCTCCTGGTTAAAATATAAGACCTCACCCGGAGATTAGCCCCACCCCGAAATTGGAATATCTTCTGTATATGAGGACAAGAGACAAGAGTGTATTTAATATGCTTCGTCGCAGCCGATTTGTTCGGTGGGAGGGTGCCTCTCTCACTGCTCAATCATCGGAGGGTTTCGATAAACGCACTCCTTGCGGATTCTGGACTAGATCTCCTGTGGTCTTGAAGGCAGCTGTCGTCTCTCGGAAAATTGTGCCCCTCGCTGCTCCCCGTCGAAGACAGCTTGTAGGCGAGAATCAAGAACCCATTATTTAAGTAATACTCTCGTTTTCCGATCAAGGCTTTGTTCGATCCGCTCTAATGATGTCTCACATCAGGTGACTCGGCTCCCGGATTTCGAGTTTCTCATGGAGGTTCTCGTGCTGGGGTTTCCTTCGAGCATATCACCGCCGTGCCTGCCAAAGAGGTGCGGGCCCTGGGAGCTTTCGTGAACTTCAGATTTATACAATCGAATCTGCCATACGGGGTGGTCGGAGAAACGGGGAGATCCCCGACCGTGCTTGCGACGCCGACGGTTGGGCTGAGTCTCGCGTCATTCGATCGTCATCAGCTCTCGTTAGACCCAGTGGCATTTCTGGTCGAACGGGTATCTCTACGTCTGAGGGGCCGAGAGATTCGGGTGAGTGCAGACTGCACGGCGCTGCCCTCACCACTCGGAGTTTGTGTCCCTCACAGCGTTCCGGTCCAAAATGAAGGGACCCACAGCGGCCTTCACTCGTCCAGGACCCACCGGTAACCGGTTGTTGCCGTCCCGTTGCATCTGTTCTCGGAATGGTAAGCTGCATATACAGCGCTTCGGCTCTCGTAGACACAGGTGGAACTCCCCAATATTGAATGTTGGAAAGATTCCAACCGATTTTTCGACGCTCACTGGGAGTTTCCGATTTCCCGCTACCAGTCAGATCAGAAGAATTCAGATTGGATTAGAATCGGATTTCGTGGTCGGCATTGCGATTGAATCGCCCCATGGAAAGCTCGAAGCGAGATGACCACGACTGACTCGATCGATCTGAATCAATTGTCACCAACCCCCATTCGAGAACCTCACTAATGGACGTCGAGGACCTTGCCCATAATCTGTCAAGCCGTGTCGGACGATGCCGCTACATTTCCATGATTCCCGGCCAGGACGGCTTAGCGGGGAGCCAGAAGCGGTTCAGGAGATCAAATCACGATTGCGAAAGGTACCTGGGGAGACCAGAGCCTTTCCGCATTCTCCGCCGGTCTGATTACGACTTTGATCTGAAAATCAAGAGCTCTGTACCGGGCGCTTTCAGCATCGATGGGAGAAAGGCGGCGTATCAGAGTATATACATCAATGGCTAGAGAAGGTGAATATCGTTTCGGGAATACTGAGCGTTGCAATCAGCGGGGACAGTCGGCAAATAGATGGCGCGCATGCCCCTTCAGGAGCCCACCAATCAAACAGATGGCAGTGGATCGTAGACTTATGAGCCGCTGTGCTGATCATACGGTCATCGCACGGAAAACGGGGCTGCGATGTCTCATCAGAAGGATGCCGATTGAGTCGATGTCGCCTGTCACGGTCCTCGATGGTGCCAAGCCATCGCTGTATTCTCGGTGTCGTCCCAGAATGTTTGAGGCCCAGTCTGACGACAGCACCGTGACAGTTGGCTCACCGGGTCGAGATTCGAATCCTCGCTCGCGCAACTTCGATTTCTCGCCTCGAGCGCCCGACCCTGTTGATTAAGAGGGACAGGAGTTATTCGACCTCTTTCTGCGAGAAAAAATGTAAGCTTCCCGCCGGATCATCATCAGGCTCCAAACTAGAAGGAACTCACAAGCTCCGCTCTGGGATGAGCCCACCGGAATCGTGAGCATCAATACACGCCTCAGTGGGGAACGGAGTTCTGCTTGGCGAACCGGCGTCGGATGAATGTCTCTATTGCGAGTCTCCCTCAACCACATGCTTTGGATGGATTGTTCTAGAGCTGATTTGAAATCGTTCAGGCATTCGAGCTTGCAACCAAACTCAAGCAGACCCGCATCCGACCGGTCCTCCCCGACCGATAATGTTTCGTTCCGCATTCGGAGACGTTCGCGCGGCTCAGAAACCGCAAGAGTCGCAGAGGACGTACCCACGCGTCGCCACGCGATGCTCTGAAATGTCAAGTGTCTCCCGGCTTCCGAAGGCTTCAATGGAGAACTCTAAGCTGGATACGCCCCTGATTTATGGAAAAAGCCGATTCGTACGGTATTCGCCCGATTCTCTGGCAGCTTGGGATCCCTCGATCCAAAAATTCCTTGTCAAATCTTAGAGGGCATCCGGTCACTCGGATCTTGGAGTCATCGTAGGACGACTCCCCAGACATCCTAAACCTGGAGATCTTGACTGTACAACTCGTCCGGGCTGTTCTCTAATCCGATGCTGTCTCTCAGAGTTTCTTTCTCATACTTTACAAATGGTCAGGCTCGCTATCAGGCGGCTGAACTCGATCTTCCCTTGGTGTTCCTGATCCCGATGGAACTCTGCAGGAAGCCAACAATCATTGGATGAAGCGGCCGGACAAACGTCTTACGAGCTTTCGTTCCGCGACCGCCTTCGGCACGGCTCCAGCCGATGCTCTTGGAACGAGCTTTCGCTCCTCGTTACTTCTGGCTTCCGACTCAGCCAGCGAGGAGCCGGAGCGTAGCGTAGTCGTACTTCTTGGAGCAGAGCAGCCATGCACGGCAATGACACATCCCAGAACAATTCAAGTCATTTTGGTCAAGGCTACGGAAATAGACCGCTCCCCTAGCCCTGATCCCAATCCGAGCTCGAGTTGACCGCGATCAGAAGTTTATCACTGAGCTTAGGACTAATTTTTAGAAGACTCAGTTTCCCCGAGTTCTTGCGGCCTGGGTCGATGGCTCTAGGGGGTGGACGATAAAATATGTTGAAGGTGAGCAAAGGTCGCAACGGCTGCCGAGAGCTTCGTCGGCTCAAATTCGCCCCATGCGTATGTGACTTTCGAAAGTGCCTCCGAGTGATGCTCCTTCTCAGCACAGCTAGAGTAGGGAAGCGCACGGAGGGGAGCTCACCGATCTCTCTGGCGCTGGCGTGACGCTGGCCAGGACAATAAACACCGGAACAAACAGATATCCTTGCGAGCGTCCCCTACTGATGCCGGCGTGAGGGATCGTCGTTTGCCCCGTCTCCATAAATCTTAACTTCCGACGAGCTGCCAATCCATCAGGCGCGATTGATCCGGACCCAGTTAGCGTTGCGCTCGCTGCTCCGATATCACGAACCATCAGCCGCAGTCTCACGCTCGAGATTGATGAATTGATCGGCCGATCGATAGGATAGTTGGCGTCAGGCTCATGGTTCTACTTAAGTTGCAAACATCCATTCAGATCGCGAGAGAGTTCCTCCCACAGATTACGGTAAGCCATCAATTCCGCTTTGGTTCTCGACACCATTCGAAGCACCAATTCACGTTTAGAAACATCGTGTCGGCGGGCGGGACGAACACTGTGTACGACTGCCTCTCGAAGCCTCATCAATTCGTCGTACTTGACGCATAGGAGCGCGGTCGGGACGAGCTGGCGCTCCCTTGATCGGCAGCTCGATGTTTCTCCAGAGAAATTCACGAATTTCGAGCGTTGGATTCTTCAGTCAGTTGTTCCGTAAACAACTTTTCGACCCCACCTGAATTGTCAACGGAAAACGAGTGACAGAAAGCGCCGTGAGAGACGGCCTCATGGACTGTGGCGCCGTCTGGCGGGGCAAGGCCCTCGTCAGCTCTCCGCGCGGGAGACGACTGACAGTTAGCAGCGAGTCGTTCGGGACGGACGGCGATTTGGCGAGCGCTACCGTATTTCGTCCACCGGGCTTGGATACCGTGGCCGGTCCGCAGCTGTGTGTCCTCAAGTTATCGTGTGTCCGTTCAGACGGCAGCGGAGCGATGAGCGTCCGTTGCGCTGATGCATCTGCTTGAACGTGAATCACATCCCATCGCGGAGCCTCCAGATTGGTCTTCCGCGTCTCAAAACTTCAGGAGCACCGAGCGCAAGAACGTCGGTAACTGCGGCGTTGACCGGATCCCGTGACGACTTCTCAAAACATCGGCCGTATTCTCGGTCTCGAGGTAATAGCCGCCACGCGGATTATCCGGGAGCTTCGCACTCCCCAAAATAACACATTCCCATCTGTGATTCTTCTCATCCATGACCATTCGATCCCAACAAGTAAGCGGACCCACCTAACAGCGTCCCGGGTGTCTGACGAGAGGGTCGTCCACGGGGGACGACTCGCCTTTGAGTGAGAGGATTTCAGCGAACTCATACATATATTCGCGAGGTCCCGGTTTATGAATAACGGGCTCCCCCGGCCTGATCCGTCCTCTATAGACCTCAAGTCTCTAGCGACAACAAATGCGAGACGAATTCGGACCCTCGTCGCGGGGCGGAGACTCTCGACCGCTTCATCGGGCCCGAGAGAGAATTATCATTTGAGCGGCAGCGGATTCCGGATAACACTGACACTGATCCAATGGGGGAAGCTTGCCGAGAGACAGCTTTTGCTTCTTATCTCGGATGGTGCCGAAATCGGAGCCTATATTGAGTGAATATTTATTTATTCACCAATGCCAAGTGACGATACCGGTCAGAACAGAGCCGAAAGACGATCGGAAGGCGGGCTGAGCATCCCCGGACACCACCTATCTGTCGGGTCGTTCTCTCTCTCGCTTCCTGAACTCCTCGATGTATCGCAAGCTCTCCGATCAATCTGATAGGGCTTCAAATCATTCCATATCTTCGGCAGAGACAGCCCGCGACCTCCTGCGTTTGGGCGATCGCTCATGCCGTCGATCCGGATGAGGAAGCGTGCTTTCTGTCTCGTAAACTGAACGACTCCTCTCAAGGAGTGTTGAGCCCAGGCCTGTCTGTTGTCACAAAAATGTGGTCACGCTTGTCATTTTATGGCGGGGATGAACCCGACAAGTACAGTGCAGGGCGTCGATCGATACACTCCCAATGATTTATGTTTGGAGAGGATCCTGTGATTCGATGATGGAGGGGACGTCGCGTCGTTCTCTTCTGAGAGAAGAGGCATTATCTTCGAAAGGGCTTCCCCTTGCTCGGGCGAGCTCGACCGAAAGGCTGATTTTACGCAAGTCATAAGCTGTCCGAGCCGAATCTGTGGGTCGCCGGCAAATGCGAGAGAATCAGGCGAGAAGAGCTCAATTCGAAATGGCTCGTGTCTGTTGTCCTTCAACATTTGTGGGAAGCGAGCCCATGAACCTCTGGCAGAGTTCGGCAGGTGCAGTGAAGGATGCCGAGCTCGTGGATTCGTGGCATCGTCACGCCGCTCATAATTCCTCCCACAGAGGTCGAGAAAAAGTTTCCGTATGTAGAAGAGTAAAGACACGTCGAATTTCAGTTACCCAGTCCCAAAAACCGAACACAGTGCATAAGGGTCATCTTTGCAAATTCGGCCCGTTGTTAACAAAGTTCGTTTCCGACGACACGCGATTCGTGGTTTTCGAGAGTACAGTGCCGCGGTGTCTTCACGCGAGGAAGTCTGGCCGAAGCGATCCGCTCGGTGCTGATTGAGCTATCGATCCGCTATCGAGTCCATACTCACGTTGCTGAAAAAAGATGTTCGCTCTGAGGATATTGTTAAAGTCAAAAGAGCATTTATGGCTGCATGTCACCTCAAAGATTTAACCTGACGGACTAATCCGTCATCGAGGCTTACATTGAGTAAACCACGGACGATCTAGAGACGCATAGATCTCAGATCTCTCGGCCATCCCGGCTGGATTCGTGATGTTTTGTTCTTATCCGAGCCTGGAGTTCAAGCTCGAGTCGTTCGAAAGCGCTGACCGCGTGCTTCTCGCAGGATTCTACTTCTCGTTCTTACGAAGCCTGTCAGAGCACTCTCCCGAAAAATACAATCGTTAGGGTCTGTCTGAAGTGCACCGGAACAAGTGAACTCAGTTGGTTACCGCGCTCCGTTCGTACATCCGTACATTCTGCGCGAATTCAGATCGCATGAAGACGATTTTGTCACCAGCTGGGAAGGCAAGCGAACGAATACTGCGGGAAACATGTTTTCTCGATTTCGTTTGAAGCGGAAGGCAGTAGGCGATGCTTCTAATCTCTAGTGGCATGCATCGAGCTTATCGGCATTTCGACTAATGCATCCTAATGCTCCTACCAAGAGTTGTCCAAGAGGAATCTACATATTCCCACGTGTTCGTAAACAATTGAAATGGTCGAAAGCGTAAGAACTCGTCAGTATTCAACGTTGCTCGATTATCAGCTATGTTTTGGAGCAAAGCTCGCTAGTCTAGAATCACGCGGGGATTTCTGGACACTTTCGCGAACTTTTATAACTGCGGCTCGTTTAGAGATTACGGACCGTCCTGAGCGTTGGAGGCGACAATCGCGAGCGGAGCCTCGATTTCACCAATTTTTTTTCAATATTCTACGCGCGATCCCTGCGCGACCGCTGGCATTCTTTTCCATCGCTGATCCGGGGCCGGGGAATGGGGAAATTCGGGCGCGGGATGGTACATACGACGTGATTTTCTACTAACCGGAGGAAGCGATTCGTTCCGGCATCTCGAGCCGACTTCTCATCGTTGCTGAGATCAGCGCTATGTTTGATCGCAGATATATTCCCGTCTTTATGAGCTGCTCCGACTGAATTGTGCTCTTCATTGGCGCATCATTGAAAGAGATTCTATGACAGAGTACTTCTCGCTATGACTCGTCGTGATTCGCAATCCGATCCTCGCCGTTCTGGTCTGAAACCGTGTGCTATGATTGTGTCTCTGAGACTTTTCCACGGACCCCGGACCCTCGACACGATCCTACTGGAGTCAAAACCTATAACTAGAGACCGCCTCCTGGAATACTCCTTACAATGATTGTCATATCGGTTCATAAATTGATATATCAATATGCATCGTTGATCAACAGGCGATCGGACTGGCTGAATGAATGTCCCGTGACCGATTCTTATCCTGAGAAGGACGGCATACTTCAGGTGCAATCCTTCTCCCTCGCCCAGAGCTGACGTTGCCGTATTACTTTTCTTCTGTCCCATCCGGATTTTCACTCGGATCTAGAGGCTCCGTGAATGTATGAGCGTTATTCTGGGAGGCGCCACTCCTTAAAACGACCGGATGACGTAAAACAATGCCGTATGAAATCCGCGAGGCTGATTTAGATCAGTGCGACCGTCTCCCGGTGCGGCCGCCGTCTCGAGTGATGCAGGTCGTCGGCGATGGCGTCGAGACTCACGGAGCCGTCCCTGGGATGCCAACTCCACCAGTCTGGCTCCTCCTGAATGGAAGCCAGAACGCTGAAGTTTCTCGGGTGGCAGCGGATGACCGTCATAATGGTTCTCGTTCGTCGCACTGATGGCTTCAGTGAATCGTTTCGCTTTCAAGACGGCTTCTTCTCGCAACGACGACAATGTGTTCACGCATTTTTTCGTGACCAAGAAAGTCAGAGCACTGCGGAGTGTCCGTCGCGCGGGAGGTACCGATCTGAGTCGAAATAAGATGACGATCAGCTCGGCCGACCTGAGTCCGGTCCCGGTTTATCAGGATAGGACCCATCTCAATATACATACGCATGAAATGGCTGCCAGTGAAGACAGAAACTACGGATCCCGATCCCAGAGATCGGAGCATCGGCCGTCAGAACATCGGACACCGGTGATCCAATCGGGTCTCTGGTTCGGGATTATTCTGATAATCTAAGCCTAATCAGGCCTAAATTCTCAAATTCCTGAAGAGTCTCCTTTCGTTCCTCGCGTTCGTTGACGCTGGCGCTGTCGCATAGCGAAACCTCCTCTGCATTCTGAAGAATTTGCGAAGTTTCCTTGCATTACTCCTCGTCCTCTTTTGCGCAATTCGGACTCATCACTCCCCAATCGGACATCGGATCCGATCGAGGCATATGTTCGGCCCATGGAGAAATACTCATGCAACCAAGAAACCGTCTCGCTGAATTAATGGATTTCTCTCATGCTCGACAAACGAGGGCCCACGCAATGATGATCCTCTCATTGTTCCCTCAAGATTTTGGATCGAGAGACCTGCTATCGAGACGATCAGCTCGAATTAAATTTTATTACTTCCTGGCCCGGCTTCCGACGCGACGAAACGATAGCGACAGACACGGGATGCCGATGCCATGAAAGTCCCGAGACCAAACGCTGCTCCACCTTGCCATACTCTGGAATGGTTCACTGCCGGCGACGAATATCCACGTTTCCCGTTTGTTCACGCTTGGCGATCTTCGACATTGAACTCTTGAGATATGTCAATGGCATCCCGAGAACAGCTAAACGTCCAGATAAAGTGCATACTTAGGCTATCGCTCGGACATTTTCGACGCCGTCGACGTCGAGCTCGGTCGGCGCTGCTACAAAGTTGGCCGCTCGAACCGTCATGATGAGTTCACCTTACGTACCGATCTTCTTGTCGTTCAATACTGCACAGATATGGGATCCAGCGTTTTTCAGGCGCTCTCATCCGCATTGTGCCGCGTGGCGGGTCCTGGCCGTTGACGGGCAGAAAACGCGCGGAACAGCTCCGAGACGAGCATCCGTACCCAATAACAAGGTGATATCACCACCTTTTGGGTCGATTCCTCGCGTCAATGTACTCCAAATTGTTTGGCGTGTCCAAATCGGTGCCCCTGCGAATCGTTTCTCCTCAGAAGAGGACTGATTCTCTAAGAATGGTGTTCCGAGCCTTTTGGACCATCTTGTGGAGGTCACTCAGTTCTTCGATAAATCTGCACGCCTCTCTAGCTGCTGCTGTCGACGACGACAACAACGACTTATCCACTCAGACTGCTAGTTGATGTGTCAGACGAGTGGAAAGGCGATCTAAAAACGACGGCGAATACATTCGCGAGTGGAGAGCCGATTTCTGGCAGGACGGGAATATCTTCTTGTAATTCTAATCGTGTTCGATGTTCGGTGATCCTTCCCTGATCGATGCGTTCACTATACCGAAAACATTATTTCAATCCCATCGAATTTCGCCTAGCAATGCTCTCGGAAAATTGTATGAGGCGGAATAAGGCAAGAATGACACTATGCAAATCGCGCGACCACCAACTTGCTTGCAATCACGAGAGTGTCCGGAGCCATCTGTAACATCGGAAAAGATTTTCTGAGTCATCGTCATAAATAATAGCGCGCTGAGCGATTTATCAACCCCGAATGTTCCGAGGAGCGCACGAGCAGCACCGTGGATGTGATTCCCAAGTACGTATGTATGACTTTCGTAAGGCAATGACGCGGCCTGGATGATCTCGAGCACACTGGGCAACCACTTGATATGCTCGAGAAAAATTTCTCCTCCCTCATTCACGATGGTATGACTAACGCCAGACTTCGGCTGGAACGCGCTCGATAACGAGCGTTTCTCAGAATGTGGACTCCCGTCCTTAAAATCCGCGTGGTCCTGCCAGGCGTTCCACTTCATTTTGTGCCACAGTCGGCTTCGGCTGAGTGTTGAGCGTCAGTGAGGAGTGAAAGCTGTTTTTTTGGAGTCTCGGTTCTCCTAAGGGGTGAGTTCTGGAGAATACGTCTATTCAGGCACATGAGAGCCTCGGGAGAATACCGTGAATATTCCGATACAAGTCCGGGCTCCTGTAATTTGAAGGTTCCCTGCTGAGGGGCTTTTATTGAAGACGGGCAACTCTCAGAGGGGGTCTCGTACTGAGATGCGAAAGATGTTTCATGTACAAGCTTGAATTGTGTAGATGCAAGGGAATCGACTCCCACCGATCAGGCCGCTCCTCTCTGTATTTCCGTCTGGAGCGCTGATGGCCCTCACGGCTTCCTCGATTGTCTGCGGCTTGGAGAGAATACTTGCCGATCGAGTGTGAAGTCTGTGGTCGGGATATATTCTATCTTAAAGGGCTAGGCAGAGGCGGGTTCTATCGGAATCAATACATGCTGATCCGACAACGCAAATACAAGATAGCTTGCAAACCTCTTTCTTGTTCGGCACAGAATCACGAGCGGCTCGGGAATGGCGCTCGAAACGCGTCCCTCGGTGATGGGATATCTTGGGTCAGATCCATAGCGTAATACTATACGCCAGCTCGCCTCGTCTCGCTCAGGTCACGAGTTTAACGACAAACACAAGTCGCTTTGACAGCTGACGAAAGAGATCCCCCTCTTCTGAGAGTTCTCTCTGTGACGAGCGGCGGGAATATCAGCATCGCTCCTCTCCAGAAGCCTCCCATCGAGCTTCGATCCCTGTCATTTTTTTCGTTCCACGAATGTCATGATGCGGATGCCTCACGGAATCCTAGTTCATCGGATCCTCTCCGATATCGGACATACCGGAATACGTCTGTATAGAACAGCTGATCGTCAATGTTATGGGGGCTGGATTTTTTTAAGGATCCTTGAACTTACGATCACATACTTGTTCATCGGCTTCTGGTAGCGCCATGTCACGTCGGTCCCTGGACGCTCTTGGACGCGCTGGCGTATGAGCAACACCTGACAGCAGTCTTCAGAATGAAGTCATAACTTCACGAATCGGCTCCCGTGGCATGATCCGACAACAAACACGATTCGTCAGACGAGGTTTATTTGACAAGCGGGCTTCTGTGGTCGCTAAAAACGGCATGCCTCACTCAAAGTCAAATGCATCGGAGATTCGCGTCGCAATATTCGGATCGTATGTTCGAGGCTGCTTTCCGAATCAGAATCAGCCATGCCGACTGCTCTCGAAAAACTCTACGTAACTCCGACAAGATAACTCTCTAATAACCTCCAGTATTATTCTCCGAATCTGCACTCATCATTCTTCGCGGTTCGTCCGCGGAAAGTCTCCAGGGACTAAAGAGCGATATAGGCGAAACCCCGACGCACTCGATTCCCAACTATCAATCGATCTCTCAAGAGTCTCGCTTGCTTGTGGTTTTCTGTGAAAAAGAGAAAATACTCGTTTGCTTACAAAATAATGGGTCGTTTGTTGAGAGCTGTTGCCCACCAGACGGCTCCGGCTGTGGTCGAGTTTTCATTTGTTGACGCTAAGACAGCATTGTTCCATCTAAGAGCTGCCGAATAGACGAGGCTATGAGGGGCATCCTCGACATTCTCGTCAAAGAGACCGATGAAAATTCGGACGGTCGTGTAGGAGAAGACCGAAGGATCGCATCAGAGCTGCTTGATCTACATCACGTTGGAAAATTATTATAATGCCGATGCCTCCACGTAAATATCGACACAATTATCCATCATCGACTGCACGGACCCCGACATTATCGGATCAGCAATTATCCGATCACTATAACGAAGAAATCGAAAACCAACTCCGTTCGACCGTGTGGGCGTCCTTCGCGCAGAGAGGAAGGGTCAGCTGACGTCAGAGACGACGTATCCGAGAGCACGCGGACGTGAAATTTCACACTTTATATATGCTGATGATGATGATATTTCGAGGGAGAGAGCAAAACAACAAGGAGAGGCCGCTATCGGGAACGGTGATCCTCAAGGCGGAATTCCGAGCATGCGAAAGTAGCGCTGGTCAGTATATTCGCATGATTTGCTCTGTGGAGAATGCGTCTTACCCAAGAAGGAGTCAGCTGGCGACCAAGTCTTGAAGCTCACGGAATATCGGGTCGCATCCCGAGTTGTCTCGTTCCGCGTCATTGATCGCATCTGGGGTTCGTCATCCCCATCGGTGGGTTGAGAGACTTTTCGATTATTTGCGAAGGCGCAGGACTCGGACGAGCGCGTGATCACCTCTTGGACTCGAGAGGCGATCGCTTCGATCAGTCCTTCCGGGAATTGTAATCCAAATACGGGAAAAGAGGGTACATGATAAGTCATGGAAGTTGGAGCTGTGATGGAAGAACTCGTTGGAATCCAAGTGTTTCCGCTTTTCCAGACAATCTGACACCGAGCACACAGAGATTCCGCTGCGTGAGTTTTCTCAAGCACCCCTATTTATAGGAGTACATTCGATAGTTGAATTCCGTATCGATTACCAGTTCTTCCTATGCGCTTCCACCCTTCGCGGACGTGCGGACCAGCACTCATTCTGCTCGTGGTTTACAGGTGATCGATGTGAGCCATGAAATTTCTTTGGCTGTTCGTCTGCTTGGCTGTGGCCCGCGGTCAGGGTACGATCAAACGGGACAAACTCGATCCTTTTTGTCCGGGACCTCCCGAGAAGTTTTTCCAGTGTGACGAGTCACGGTGCCTGAACCGTTTGGTCATTTGCGATGGTAGGAAGGATTGCAGTGACAATTGGGACGAGGAGAATTGCAGCTGTACCAAGAAGAAGGATTGTCCGGCGGGCATCAAATGCCAGAAAGACCGAATTTGGGCGACATCCAAGTGTGTGAATTGCGCCCCCGGTCAACGCTTCACAAAATTCGCGTGTGAAGACATAAACAAATGCATGGAAAACCCGAACGTCTGTAGCGGGAAGGGCGAGTGCGTCGCTCTCGGCGATAGTTTCCAATGTGTTCAGTGTCCCCGAGGTTTCCAAGCTAGTCTTCGAGATTCACGTTTGTACAACAAGAGTCATTCTCTCGACGAAACCGAAACAGCCAGAAGACTTCTCTTATGTGCCGACCGCAACGAATGCGAGGAGAGGAATGCATGCGATGACGGCGTGTGCTTCAACCGGATCGGGGAGTCTTCCTGTCAGTGTCCTCCGAATCACGAGATGCGATCGGATTTCCGAGACAATATTTGTCAAGCCGTCGGAGAGCAGCCTATGATCGCTATCGGCAGCGGAACGTCGATATCTATTTTCGACCTCCGGAGCGCGACGGAAATTCAGCAATTGGAGTGAGTGCATCCGATTGTTTTCCTCGATGTCATGAGATATGTAACACGAGGAATGCGAAAGGAGATATCGCCATATAATCATATAGCAGTTCCTATCCACACAGCAATCTAACGAACACTCGCTAAATTATAAGCGGCTCCTACCCGGTCTCGATGAGAGAAGCGAACTGAATTCAATCATTCCAGGTGGTCTGAATCGATCGTGGACGTCAGCGCGGAGCTCGATAAGGTGATATTCGCGACCCGGCGTCAAATATGGGAGTACAAATACGCGGTGAAATCGACTCTCATGCTAGCAGATTTCGAGAGCGACAGAGATTTCTCAGACGGCGATATAAAGGAAATATCGGTCGATTGGGAGAATCACCGAGTGTATGTACTCACTGGTGACTCGATAGTAGTGGTCGACGCTGAAGGACGCGCCGTTAGAATCATCGAGCACCGAGGAAACGTCTCGAGCATCGCGGTCGATCCTGTCGCCGGCTATGTGTTCTACAGCGAGTCCGGCAACGTTCGTAGATGTCATCTCGACGGATTCGCCGAGTCGACGAGGACTGTTTTCACTGCTTTGCCGGCTGGTGATGATCTCCAAGGCACCGATGCTGTAGCGATCGATCCCAATCTGAAATACGCATACTACATACACAACAGGGTACTCTATGGCTTTGATTACGACGGCCACCGTTCCGCGATAATATCTGCCTCAGCAGATTACACGCATCTCGGACCGTTCGAAGATCTCCTCTATGCAACGAACCGATTGGCGAAAACCGACTCGTTAGTCGTGATGGGTCGCATTGGGTATTCCGTCGGTGCCATCCCAGAGTCCACAGTTCAATCGTTTGGCGAAACTCTGCCGATGTCCTTCGCCATCATACAGAGCGCGAAATTTCCCTTGAGACCGAAAGAAACGAATAGCTGTAACAGCGAACCATGCAGTTCTGAATGGTGTTTCCCCATGCCGCTTTCCGTAACGCCGTCGTATCATTGCGACTGCGGTCTCGAGAAGCCTGGCGATTGTCTGCCGTTGAAAACCCATCGACTGCGCCCCTTCACAAACTATATTAGCCCCAACGAAGAAAAAATCAACGTTTCAGGGGCCTCAGTTCCTATCACTGCCAGGATATCGAATTTCAGCATTATCATTCCTATTGTTCTAGTCCACATTTTTTCGCTAGCCTGTTTCAAGTAAGAAGTGGCATTTACCGTATCACCAATGCGGCTTTGTAACAATGTCGCTAGAATGTACAGATGTGTATAGTATCCAGCTTACGGAAGCCATTTAAATAAAAGATTTATATTTATTGAATTCCCTCGGCGACTCTCTCTTGCCCCGAGACCTACCTTCGGTGTATTCCCCATCCCTCATCCTCATAATTCATGTCATAAGTAAGGTGTTTGATCCGAGCTCATCGTCGGCCACACCCGACGATAGGGAGTCGTGCTCGAAGGGAGGGGCCGGGAAGATCTCAGAGGCAATATCGGAAACACTGCCACGGGTTCGCCATGAATTCCTTTTATTTGACTGTTTTTGCACATCGGAGGAATCTCACCGTTTCCGGTTTACAGATAACTCGTCATTTCACATGAGTCAAGCAAATTTCATACATGACAGTTTTGAATGAGGAGCAGTTTTTGTGTCAGCCGCTGGATGTGAAAAGCGGTGTGACAATTCGGAAACTCTAATGGTCCGAGTTTCGGTATAGAATAGCTTTGGAAGCATGTCAGAGTATCTCGGGATTTTCCACGAGAGGTGTCTAGGCGGTCGGGGTCTCAGCGAAATATTTCATCAAGTCGTCTTCCATGGCCTGGAAGAAGGAGAATATAAGTAACGGGGATCTCTTCATGAATCGATCGAACGGGATCATCTTATTGAGATCGGACATTGGAACTCACAAGAGGATTGGTCGTTGTCGCGTATCTCTGGACCGGCTGGCCATTCTTATCGATGACAAACTTGGTGAAATTCCATTTGATAGCGCTGTTGGAAAACAAGTAATCGATCCGCATCCAATCCCCGTTCAGTCTCATCGAACGAATATTCTGTGTATCCTCGATTTCATCGGCGCAGAATCTCCCGGGTCTGATGGGATTCACCCTTGGGTCACTCACTTGAACATGAAACCAGATTGTTTTTCTTTGAGGTACTTCCACAAGGGATGAGCCTCATTCCCGTTGACGTTGATCTTGGCGAACATGTCGAACTTCACACCGTACTTCTCTGAGAATTCGGAGAGCAAATTGATATGGGATCGGGCATTCGCGTCACGGCCGATTTCAATTCATTTGAATATTTGACTCTGCACAGGCCGGACATCGATTTTCCATTAGAGGTCGAGTCTACTATGCCGCCATTAGGGGAGCGGGCATTAAGGGTCACGCTGCCACGAGCGTGGGACTTTACCTTGCGCGAACTTCTTGATTTCTTCGTTGGTTCCCGGCTCTTGATTCCCGAATTGGTTGCACGGGAATGCAAGAATCCTGAGTCCGTTTTTCTCTGCATGCTTCTCATATAATGCAACTAATTCCCGATAGTTGCGGTCGGTTGCTCCTCATTTAGTGGCCACATTGACGATGATACAGACATGACCTCTGGAATCGGGCAGTGGATGAGTTTCTCAGATGGAGTCGCGCAGAATGAACTCCACACCGCCGGAAAATAAGTAGCAGGCTCTCACCTGTATTTGTCAAGAGTGACATTGTTCCCGTCGATGTCGATGGCATCGAAATCGTAAATGGACTTCGCGTTCATCCAATCTTTCTCCTGCGGGAAGAGCGCCTTCCGTCAGATTCGATGTCTCTATCGCCCCTCATTACCCAATCTCGTTTCCGCATGGCCCATCGATGTGAAGGAGGGGGTTGCACTCCAACCCTTCTATTCCCGAGAACATCTGATCAGTCAGAAAGTGCTGCGAAAATCACTTACCATTTTCAACCCAGAGGCTGAAACGTAGAAAAGAGCGCTTAATACGAGCCCGCCCAGCATCATGATGGCGATCGTTGTGGCCCGCTTTGCACTCAAGCCACAACTAGACCTTTCGCATGCAAGTGTCATCCGAGGATGAGTACTCTCGATGGCCGGGTAAGGATCTCTCAAAGGAAAGGAAATATAGCGCGCAGTTCCAGCGTCGAATCTCTAGAGCGATGAAACCTCGCCATTACACGAAAATTCCTCATACGCGAGGTTCCTCATTCGGAAATTTCTTAAAACGCAGGGTTCCTTGTACGGAAAGTCCCTGATGGGCGGGGTTCCTTATGCAGGAGGCTACTTATGGGCTAGGCTGCTTATCCGGGAAGTTCCCAAGGATTCCACGCGGGGTTCTTCAAACGGGAAGTTCCCTGGACGGTGTACCATTCACACGTGTCCGGGGTTCCTCCTGGACGGGATTTGAGGGTAACTCGGTCACCTTTCTCACAGCAGCTGGAAGCGATTCACGCGGTGCTTTCGCGGCCACAATTCAGGCAGGACGAGTATCGGTGATCGACAGCTCGATCGAAAAAGCCTACGGGATTTACCTTCTAGTATACTGTGTTGAGGATTTTCAACATTTTGGCGTAAAACCCTCTTTCCTGACGCCTACCGTGCTCTCAAAGCTTTACGGACTGCTATCTTAAGGGCGCGTGATTAAGGGAGGAAACACGCAAACCATGCGAACGGTAATTAGGACAGTTTCGAGAGTGGCTCGCAATCAGTCATGAGACAGATCTATCGCGTGGGTATCAAAGATTCAGAGTTAGATCCGTCGTATTACGGGACAAACCTCCACCAAGGAATCCGACGGAGAAACGAAGTATTTTCATACTCTTCTCAAGGAAACCCGATCGCTGCACTATTTGTAAACACATGACGATCACCTGACGCTCGCTTCCGCTCTCTCTCTCACGAGCCTTCCGGAGAGGGATAACACTTCCATTGTTTTCCCTCCAATCATCAGTCGGGCAGCTCTCGGTCCGCTGTCACCGACAAGAAGCATAGACGTATACTTTGATAAATTAGGACGGTGATCAGAAAAGACTCACCAAAATCATCAGAATTCGTTTCGGATTCAGCCTGACTCTCCGGATGCAGGCGTCTGTCGGAACCTGACAACGGGAAAGAGCGAAATTATCACCCGTCAGACTCAGAGCGGCCGAGTCACTGTTCCGATTCTGAATGAACTCTTAGCTCCGTGAGGTTCGGGGATGCTAATTGGCGCATGGCCTTGATGAGTGACGAGCTGCATTAGGACTCGGGATTCGTCGCGAGTAGAACAGCAATCGGGAATTGGTCTCACAGCTCGTAGCAGATATAACGTACTTACATATAAATGGAATCGAGCACATGATCGGGAGCTGGGTGTACGTCGCTGGACGTCGAGGAACGGCGTCGGTAGCAGCGGATCCCTATCTAGGGAACTCACATCTTCACGAGCCGCTTTCGCTATTCAATCCTGTCCGTGAATCTGCGCGGATAGCCATCAACGTCGAAAGGTGCCCTCCCTCAATGCCATGGATCGAAATCAGCTTGGCGGTCGGCCTGCGCTCCAGCCCGAGTATTGAGCGGGGAGCTCAAGTGCGAACTGCATTTCTACGGATGGGTCTAGGCTTTCGCACTGTCACCTCCAAGGTCTGACATGAGCTCTCTTCCGCGGAAACGTACCCAAGCTCGACTCTCGTCCGGGCACTCTTTAAGCTCCCTGGCTCCCTTTGCGAATCTTCTTGGTCTTTTTCGGCTCGGGGAGGAATCTTGTGTAGGATTCGATCGGGAGCCGCTGCGAGAAATCGGAAGCTATACGCTGAGATCCGATACCACTGATTCCGGGGGATCTACCCGCTGGTAACACATGACGAGCTCTGCTTGGATTCAGCAAAAAACATGGCATCAATCATGGATGCATGTTCCCGTTCACTTGTTCGCGTCCTTCCGGGACCATTCCTGCGGAGGTGGCCGTCTTTCAATCTACGGACGTCGTTCCCATGAATCCTTGTGTTCAACAGCCGTCAAGCGGCGTCCTCCGCCCGGTAGACCCGAGAGAACGTTTTTCCATGTCAGACGACCTGCTCAAACGGCTCTCTGGTGCACCGCAGCTAATCTTCCACATCAGACAGGCTTCACTGTAACGTGTGAGTTCCAATCCACAGCCATTGATCGCTGCCATGAGACGCGAGAGTAGTTTCGAGACCTCGAGGTTCCTGACGGGGGAAAAATTGAAATGCTTTAGGAGACTACACATCATTTTCGATTCGCCCGAGAGGTTCCGGAATTGCTTTCTAAGTATTTCATCGATAGATGTGCTTCCTTCCGATATCGTGATTTCCTCTTGATTGAAGCCTCAGCGAGCGTCAGCTTCTCGCCTTGCGCTCCAAAGCAGCCCCGTTGCGTTACACTAGACGTGCGGTTCCTGTGTTGTGGTAAATCCAGCTCAGTCTTCGCCGAGGCGCTAGTTACGGTTGAGAGGACCTCAAAGATGTATTTACCTCCGCCAGGGCCATTGTCTTGGTAGGGTTCAAACCCTGATGATGATGAGCCTCAACGTGGAGCCCGGGTGGATTCAGGTGATACATTCGTTGGTGAAATTGAACTAAACTCTCCTCGGCCTTGGAACCCCGTTTGCTGCCTTTGTGAATCATTCAATCGCCTGGGTATGATACCCTCACACATCTAAACTCACTCTGGGAGACTCTCCGCCCAACCCTAGCCCATGACCGCGCGATAGAAAACTCTGGAACGAGATCGCGGACGTATGCGAACACTAATGTGTAGACGTTGCCTCAGTGACGGGCTGCCGCCCGACTGGTGTTCGAGGGTGCTTCTTTAGCGCGTGGGAGAGATGCGAATACGATCTCCGATGTCCAGGAGCTTCTTCACTAGACGGTTCGGAAGCGATGAAGCTCCGCGACATTTCAGTGACTCGAGACGAGCCGAATGGAGGGAGGTGATCTCGGCCAGTCTCCAATGTTGGATCAAGAAAGAAATATGAATTTATCGTCACAAGGTTGGTCACACGTCCGCAGGCGTGGAGAGACGTGACTTGCTAAGTGCCGGCTGTCTGAGATATCCCTCTCCTCCAATACCAGCCGCCACGGCTACCGTGATTGAGCGCTTGAGGTCGCGCTCATCGAGGCATGAATGCTCGACGTCATTGAGTATACCGAAATGAAGAATCAGAGATCAAAGAATTGATCGAATTGTAAAAATCTCGGTGTCGAATTTGATTCTCCGGGATCTCGGCGCCATCGAGCAGACAATCAGATACTCGTTCAGGTGATGCCATTGTGCCTCGAGCGCAGCCAAAGTATTCCTATTCTCACGTTTAGGCCCGGTGCGATGCTTCTGGCGTCGTGGCGTCTACCTACCCTCGGTCCGCGAATGCACTCCCTGGGCAAAAGCACCGGTGATCGGAACCGGGGTCAGCCGGGAAACTATATATTTCTGAGACCCTCGAGTTAGACCTCGGTGTCTCTCGAAGTTTCTACCAACCAATCATCGCTACGGAAGCTCTGTTTGGAATCATGCTCCATCGGAAGCATGAGACTCCCTCGCTCCCTTCACGCTGCCAGAGTCTCATCGTTGATCGTAGAATGCGGCTCAAGGATCACGAATCCGCCTCTCAAGCTGCATTCGGGTGCTACATGTGTTCCGATTGAGATGAGAAAGCGTGGGGATCACAAATGAGTTCCCTTTGATCCGCTCCAACAGCTCCGTAATATTTATTTCTGTCATTTTCACAATATTTCACAGCAACGAGTTCAAAATACATAGTGCTCAGCTAAATCTGACTACTGTCTCTCATATTCTACATTTCCCGTGGAAGATGAGCGAAAGTTTGAAATTCCTGAAGTCAGGAACGAGAGAGTCTTCTCTGATGCTTAATACTCAGTTTCCTAGGTTCCAAACCATTCACGTCTAGCCGATCAAGCAGTCCTCACAGCAGCAACGTCCCTGGACACAGTTTTGATCGGAGCAATTTTCGCAGCGGAAAGTTCTTCGGTGACCTGTTTGTGGAATTCAGAACGAACCTCCGCTTGCAGCTTGTGTTCGAGGAGCATGTTGTTGTTGGGGGCCAGACCGACACAGGCGCGCAGCACGTTCTCGATGCAACACCTTTGTTTGAACAGAGCGTTGACCACAGGCGTGTTCTTCGGTACCAGAGGGGCCTTGCAGAGATAGCTCAGAAGACTGAGCACAGAGTCGAAGCCGGAGAAGTGGGTCTGGTGCTTCAGCTTCATTTGGATTCGCTGGCAGAGTTCAGCGATGATCACCAAGTCGAAAATGATCGGAGCTGCTAGGAGTGAGTCTTCACAGGTGTTGTGAACCACAATCGTGTTCCTGCCACCCATTGCGAGCTCCGAAGTGTACTCGTCCATGGCACGTTTGCTGTCCCCGACGTAGGGAACGTACTTGATCACGACGCAGTGATCGGGTTTCTCTCCGGCGGCGTAGAGAAGGTCGTTGCTCTCGACCATGTCATCGACGACGTTCGATTTTGAGATCTCCTTCGATCGGAATTGGGCGGGGGCCGAGAGATTGAAACCGTCGTTGTTGCCGAGATGGTTGTAGCTGACGATCGATACCGGTTTGATACCAGCGCCGACCAGGAAGTCAACTAGGACAGACTTCAGTTTCGTCTGACCAGATTTGAAATCGTCGCCAGCAATGTACACCTTCTTCTGCTCGGCGAGCTCAATCAGGCCGGGAACGAATGTGTTCTGTGGTGAGCCGTTGATGTAAGTGATGCCCTCGAGGACACAAGCCACAGCGTACAGAGTCGAGGGAGAGATTTCCGCTTCGTTCCTGTCGATTGCGGCCAGCAGATTGCTGGCGGTATCGTTGAGTCCAGCCTCCAGTGAGCTGAAACGCTCCGTGTTCGCTGTCCAAAGCACGATGACGTTGGCACACTTCTTCTTCATGTCACGCAAATCCTCGCGGATCTTCTCCAGCTCCTCCTTTTTCGTGAGTCCGACATAGACATTATCGGCGCGCGCTTCTTGGTTCGCTGCGATGAAATCAGGATCGTACACGCTTTTGCGGGGCACCATGTTTTTCATCTGCGGGAGGCAAACCAGCCGATTAGTCAAGTCAGTACGTTCCGGTCAAGATCAATATTCCCTGTGAAATCCGTCGCGTCGACGATCCTTGATCTAATGAGGCCGGACGAGCTTACCTGATCGTAGAGCTGACGCTGGACGTCGTATTCCAGGACTTTGGCGCGTTTCATCGCGTCGCCGAGGTTCATCGATGAGATGTCCCATCCATCGAGAACGACGTCGTCCGGGTTGAGCATGGGTACAATGTCCTTCATGGGGACATAAACCTCGTTGCCGAGAACATCAGTTCCCATGCTGACGGTCGCCGCCTGGGTGATGCTCCCCCAATAATTGGCTTTCTTCACGCCCTCCTTCGTGTTCCATTGGAGCTTGGCGCGGTTGGCGAGAACCATCGCGGTCACAGTGGAGCCGTTATTTCCTTGCAATAGAACGCTACGATTAAAATCGGAGTTCCTACGAGGTTCGATATGGAGAGCTGTCATCCCGATTCACGATGACCGTCGCGCGGTCATCATTCTCCAAGGCAGTGGTGGGACGAAGAAATATTCTCGACCGGCTTTCGCGTGTCACTCACCTCCCCACCCTACGAGAGCCATACAAGTTTTCGGCACTTTCCGGGCGGTGCGGAATACGAACTCCTTGGTCACTGGAATGCACTTGACGGTGTCTCCATCTTTCCGGACCTGCGTCGTCTGATACGAATAGTCGGATTCGATGAAGTCTTCCGTGTACTTCACACGGTTGCTGCATACTTCGACAACCATTTTGGCTGCTTCTGACGGCTGGGAAGATTCCTGGTACTTTACAGCTGATGAGCTTTGCTTTGTTAGCTGATGTCTGCGGTTTCGGTGACAAGTCGGCCGGCTTATATACAGCTGAAGCAGAGAAAACTCTCGAACACAGGCATCGAAGGCCCCGATTGGCCACAGAGACCTAGGGAAAGGGCGCTAGAGGAGAGAGCGCTGTACGTGAACTTGACGGATACCGGCGGTTTGAGGTGAATATGCTCCGAGGATATCTGCCCCGGCCTAGAGGAATTCAAAATCCTATTTGAGCCATCAGCTGAGTTGGTATGAGATTCCGGGAGGTGGGAGCCTACGCCGCCGCTTTCCCCCTGAGCTCGTGAGCACCTGTGGGCGCCTCGCGCAGTCGTACAGCGACCAGGTCGCCGTCTGAGCTGTTTGCGGATAAATCCATAGGAATTCCAACATGACCGTTCGAAGACGGCATGGATTATTGTCCCGATCAGATTGCCGACGGGCATCGAAGACAAACGAGAAAGAACAAGTCATCTCAGCTGACGGACACATAGTCCGTTCCGTCTGTAAACTCACTCGATGCCTGGCTCTGAGAGCTTCGAATCTAAAACAGATCAGTAAAGCTCTCTGCGGCATTCTGGTCGATTATTCTCGAGAGAAGATATTCTTTTCGTTTCTCCCTCTTTCGTTGCTTCCTCCCTCTGATCCAGGGACTACGGGAGGTCCTCTCAGCGCTCGAGCTCTGGTTCAAGGTTGCGAAGCTTCGGGAGAGGCTGCTGTATCAGAATATTCCAGAGATTTCCCACCTCAGAAATCGATTCCCGTGAATGAGGGCGGCTGTCGCTTTAAATTCGAAAGTTCCGTTTCGAATATTGCTCGCGAACTCGAGAGAGCTCGAGGATTTTCAGAAGACTCGGTCTGAATGGCGGGAGATGGCTGCGTGGTTTCGTGGGCCCGGGTAAAGCATAGAGATTGAGCATATAGAGCAGATGTGCACAACACGCAGCCCATGGCCTCTTTCTGCAGCCCACCGCCGTCTTCCCGGAGCTCTTACGCGCCTCGATAATTAAAAAAATCCGAATCGATCGGGGCCATGGATCTCATTTCCCGGAAACACTACGATGGCGTGGCTTGCCCAAATGATTCAGAACTCCACTCTACTAGGCAATAATCAGTGCTCGACTAATTTCCATTCTGGAGAAGGACGGTCGAAGCGGAATATACTGCAGCCCGCCAGGGGTTAAGATCCCTGAGGCGGCCCGCCTAGCCCATGACGCTGTGAACCCCGGATGCTTCTGAGGCAAAAGAATCGAGTGTCCTGATCAAGAGCATAGGGTCCGTCACAGCTATCGCTGCGCCAGTGCAATCGTAGAGGGAACTCAATACTTCCCAGATCGAGGAGTCGTGAGCGTCTTGTGCGGCATAGGGTCGTCAATGTGAGTAACTCCTCAGGAAGAACTGTCCTCATACGAGCCCTTTCTGGAGCAAAGTTCCCCCGCAGTCGACAGCTATTAAGCACGGGCCCCGCGGATCACTGTCCAACTGAATATACCTAGATCCACCCGAGAGCAGCTACGTTCATCGCATAGAAATATTCAAGTATCGGGCAGTAATTGATCATCCACATTTCCGCGACACATCTGATGGAGGATAATTTCCTCTGAATTTCAGGGAGTTTATTCTCCGTGACAGCATCTGATGGAGAATTATTCTCTAAAAAAGAGCAGTGTTTTCTCTCGGTAATAGCATCTGATGGGGTGATCTCGCTTCGTTTCTCACGAATTCGTTCATGCTTACATCGTCGCCTTCACGGTTTTCCGTGTTTTCTGGAAAGCCTGTTGAGGAGTTTGGAGTCGACGCAGAGTTCGATATTAGTATCTGGATTTTCCTCACGACGACAATCTTCCATGAGGAATCGATCTCTGGAACGATACCTAGCATTGCGATCGCTGACCAAGGGGTGATCGGGGATCCCGGGTCGGATCCTCGTCTGGATTAGCTCGCCTCGTGGTCATATATTTTGATGCGCTGTCAAAACAAGATAATCTATTTTTGGACAGCCAGAGGAAACCGCTGCGAAACGGAGCAGACTGCAAGTCAGCTCCGTTGTAACACGACCCCTCAGTCGGTCACAGATGCAGGATAAGACCTTGTTTTTCTATCGCAATCCCCCGCACATGTTATGATCTAACTCGAGCTGTCGCGATTGACCTCTGGACTTCCTGAAGCCCATAAGACTAAAGTCGGGTTGCTCCGGCACTCTCTTCTCCTGGGCGTCCAGTCGCACCCGGGCTTCTTTCTGGGTCTGCTCGATCCGGACTCCAGGTCTTGGCCCCTGGGCTCTCGATTCGAGCTGCCATATTCTTGGAGAAATGGCCGACTCTCTGTTATCAAGAGATTAAGCTCCGGGAGCTTTTGAATGTGTACATATCTAGTCTCTCGACAGGACGGTATCGGCTTCTGCCACACCCTCTGTCAAGATTTGGGCTCCTATTCGGTTTAACCACCATGGACTTTCGTCGTTAAATGTTCTCTCCTCGAGTCGTTTCGTGTTCCGTCGTACTTAATCGTGATCCCCAAGCTCGACGCGCTTCCGTGAATGATATGTCCGGTGAGCTCCCAGTAGCGGTCGGCGATACCTCGGAATGCCAGAATCCACCCTGAAAATCAAGGAGCCCAGAGTACAGGCTGCCCCTTTGGGCTGTAGGATTGCGCGCCGATTTTGCGCGAAATCTGACCCAGAAACGGCAACCAGTCCAGATGGCTCCTATGTCGACGTAGAGTCGCTGCGATGTGATATATACGTCCGACCTACATGGGGAACCGAATGTCCCGGCACAGAAGTCTGCGGTTCCCTCGTCAAGTGCGAATGTAGCGAATTTACGTCCTCCCGGGACTCCATCGGTCTCTTCTCAGCCGCCGACAGAGATTTTGGATAACCTGCATACCCGAAGACTTGTCGATGAGGAATCCCGTCGGGAGGCGCGAAAAATTTCTGATATTGCTCTGGAAATAAAGCTTGCTCTCTGAGAGCCTTGAGCGCGTGTTGATGACAATGATTATCTGTCCTGTGATGTGTGCCACGTCGGAAGTCGATTCTAAGACAACAAGAAGAACAGGTTCCTTTCTTCTAAATATGACGTAACTGGACGATCGTGGCAGACTGCTCGACGCCGGACGAGTTATCGGCAGTGTTGTTCTCACCGCCGATAGTCGCACGGCGGCACCGACAGTTCTTTCGAGAACTCCACCGGAACAGCGATGACGTTGTATGACTAGGAACCGGAGTGTGCCAGCTGTCAGCAGAGAAGTCCTATCGAGCGGGCCCGGAGAGAGAGCGACGCTAGTGCCAGAAAATCTCATTCTATTACTTTATTTGGACGTCGTCATCTGATGCTAGAGATAAGGGAGAGACAGCCCTTTCGCTTTCTGTAGGAGTTGACGAAGAAGAATCCCGAAACTTCCATTCCATATCGATCAACGAGCAGTCGCCTGACTACTCCGCTCATATCGAAATTCAGAGCTTATCGGAGCGCCAAGAGTTTTTCGCATGTTCAGCATTCTATCGCATCCGCCGAGAGTCCTTCCTCCGTGGACATCCGGCGAAAACAAAGCTGAGAAGCGCAAACATACGTTTGATTTGATGGAGACGCGCAGGAGAATTTCGAGAGAGCTTCCAACTTCTGAAGGTTGCTTGAATGGGGGAGATGTGAGAAGCAATTCGACGATGGCGAGTTTCAATTCTACGGAATGAATCAACGATTTAGACGTCCGAAGAGAAACCTGGATCGAATAATTCCAGAACAGGATTCGTCGGTTGGATATTCTTCGACTGACCCCATTGGCTGCTTTTTCGACAGCCTCGGCTGGGTTCAAAACCCTCGGAATGCGCTTTCGTACGCTGGAAAGTCTCGGCGGACACCGTAGACCGCTTGGTGCCAATTCTCGTACGTCAGATGCGACGGCCGCATTCTATCCGCTACCAGTTATTATTTTTTTCGACAGCCGAGAACCCTCTCTGACGCTTTTCTCCGTCTAATCTTGGCGATGATGATGCTGCCGCCGAAGCTGCTCTCGATTAACTCCCGTTCGACTGGACGCTGGCTGATCGACGCTGGAAAAATCACGGCTCTCCGGCCGAAGTGGGCTTCTGCGTGGCGGCACGTCGCGCGGCGCCGTCTCGGTCAAGAGTCAACGCGCTCTTATCGACGGAGTCGTTTTCGCCGCCGACATCGGTTTGAGAACAGCTGAGCGATGATGTCGTGGCATTTTTAGGATTGAGTGAGGAAATGAAGCCGAAGGATTCTTAGATTCGATCCATCTCGGGAGTTCTCTTTGATTCTGAGGCCTCTGGCCGGCTTGTCGGCATCTTCTGCTCACAGCGTCAAACGCTATCAAAAGCAAGCGCGTCCGAACTAGAACCTGGACATACTCAGGAATTGCGTTCGCTGAATTATCCGGAACTTGCGGAGCAAGCTCCTCCGAATGCCTGAACGCATCGATCTCGGGGAGTTTCCGTGCTGTGCCCTTTCCACAGTCGTTCCAGTCTGGTGCTCAGACAGCGCTCGACTCTCCGACTGAGCAGGAACTCTCAAGGACAACACCCACCGAACAGCCGCGACTCTTCCAGACTTTTCGACGGTCCGACTGTAATTCGATTCCAACACGAAACCGGCAAGCACCGGAGCTGCCGAGCGGCAGCCGGCGCCATCCAGTTCCACCGATTTCTCGCTAGTCATCGTATTCATCTCGTGCGCTGATGCTCTCACTCTCAATAGAAAAAATCCGATTTCATGCCATCAGACAAACAGCTCTTGAAAACTCGATCTGCCAATCAATTCCATCGATTTTCATCCGCACAGCAGATGCGTCATTTGACTTTTCCCCCACATCCAGGTGTTTCCTTGAAGCCCGCGGGAAAAAGGCGCAAGGTCCTTGCAGCTCTCTCGGTTGGAGATCGGTCCTCACCAAGCTGCGATACTTACTTCGTCTCCGAACGCAGCAGAATCAGAAAAGACATCCCTTTCGGAGGGGGGAAAAACTAGAAGCGGCTCCGGGACGGAAAGATTATGTCCTGATTCTCTCTACACGTAGCGTTTGTTAGCGCGTTTGTCACTTCTCGTGCAAACGTGCATAGCCGCAACGACGCCGCTCGCGCGGGAGGCGGTGTGGGTTCGATCCCTGCTGCCGGAAAAATATGCAGGTACTCGGCCTTGATCCTCCTGGGTACATTTGCTGTATGGATCCGTCCTCGGAAGCAATGTGAATAACAGTACCCGGGACGTTAAACCTTGGCTGTGTGGATCAGCCCGAAAAAGTTTGATTCTCTCTACAATCAATATTCCCCCTACGTATCCTGACAAACACAGTTTTCGATCTCCGATCGAGCCTCGCTTGCCATCGACGCGCACCCACCGAGAGCCAATGGAATCTGGGATCCCTGGGAAAAGAAACATATCGAGGCTGCTGATGTCTCCGGGAGTCGGGGCGCTCCCATTCAAGCCAGAGCACATGAGAGCTTCACCTTCCGTTTCCTACTCCCAATCATGAGACTATCCGGGAACTCAAAGTATCTGACGAGCGATACTAGGGGAATCCCCAAGAGATTGACGAAGAGGCTTGGGTTTTGTCAGAGTAGGCATAGGGGAAAACACCTAGGGACATACACAAAGAGACTCACAGCCATTGGATGGGGTATTGGCTCTGAAAGCAAAGTATCGATCTCAATCCGGACAATTCCGAAATATATATTAAGTAGAACGATGCCGCTGTCGCTTGTCGATCGTTTCAGAAGGGTAGCGGGTTATTGTCGATATAATCTTGCACGCTTCTGAGCGCGAGTGAGCGATAGAGTTGGAGAGGGATCTGAGGCACGACTCGATAAGCCGCCCAAAGCGCGCTACTGAGACCACGAGTCAGGAAACTCAAGCCCGTGAAGGAGATTTTGAAGTCATCGGCACGGTAGAACTCGATTCCGGTGATGAGAACTCGATCATCCGTGCCACCTGGAAATGTAGCCGTGTAGGAGGAGCTTCGTTCCGCGTAAATGGTGGAATTCCTCCGTGGGAATTGTCCAGGGTATCTACCGAAGACAACCTACGCTTCAGCGGCACTTCCAGAGTCGCGATCTGACCGAGAAAGTCGGAGGTAACGATGATCTTCCCGTAGGCGAGGTGTCCCGGCAGAATGTAATCGAAGGCGAAAGCGGCATCCGCTATTTGTATGGGTACCTTAACAATCGCCAAACTCGGCCTCTTCACGTTGTTGCAATTCACTTGTACCTCTCCGTGGAATTGAGCCCGCCATATGCCGTAGGCTCTCGCGTTCTTCAGAACCTGGTCGGAACCGATCGTTCACGAATGCCTGGCCGAATCTTCGAATTTCAAATGCCCCAAATAAGTTGCTGCTCGCTGTAGAATGGAAAACTCACGAAAAGACCGATGTTCTGGGTTGCGTTCCCGAGGCTGTTCGGTTCGTTGATCCGGATCGATTCTCTGTTTCTATCGAGGATCACGGTCACCAATCTGGTGACAAAAGTGTTGCCAATGCACAACAATGATTCATTCGATTGGCTATTTACTGCTCCGTAGAGGAGGCACAGAAGAACCGCTGATATGTTCGATGGCACCTTCATCGCATAGCGGGAGGGAAACTGTCCACTATAGTAGAGTGAGCTCGTGTTCTGTTTGCTCATATTGAGGTGACCTCGATCATCAATTTGCATGGGTAAAGTAGGAAACATGCTCCTTATGGAGAGTTCCCAGAGTTCCGCGATGAAAGACTTCGGAACGACCTGGAGGTGATGCTTAACCCTGTCCCAAGTGTCGAAGGAGCTCGAGCGAAAAAAACTGAGAACCTCCGCAAGAGGCGGGACAGACGAGCATGCTGCTAGGGTTTTACGGCACTACCTATATATGTAGAGCTCCAGAACCCTAGCATAGGAATGCGCAGAATATTTTGAAGTCCGATCACACGCCTTGACCGCAAGAAACGTCAGAGGTAGATGGATTAGGAGCGGAAAAGATCGTGGGGCACGCTGACGGAGTATCTCAAATGGAGGAAAGAGGGCTGGTGTCCGCAGGCCTCGGACTCGGCGTCTCTGCACTCTTTCCTCCATATGCTCCACGATCCGGAGCACTCGGCTATCCGTCGATTCATCCTTGGTCATGATTGATGATTGAGCGCTCCCTGCAGTCCCTCAGTTTGGGTCTTTTTCATAAAGATGATGATCTCCATCTCCACCGTATGACAACATCAGAATGCCGTTCTTCTCGGTTGGGCGGCGTTAAAAGTTCCGCGGCCCTTAGAATATAGTGCTCGGGAAACTGTGTCCCCTCAGTCTTTCCTCAAGCTTCACCGACTCGATCAGAACAACGGTCCGGATATTCGTAACGACTTCCCCGCAGAAAAACAAACACTTCCGCCCATCAGAGCGTTCTTAAAGTTGACGCCTCTCGGGAGCGACGAAAGCGATGAAACTCTAGCATGCATAGCCGACAGATTGGAGCAATTTTCCGGCGACAGCGGGAATGTCTACTGAACTCATCCCACGGAGCCGACCGGTCGTACGGAGATTATTCGGCATGAGAAAGCCCATGAGAAACGCGATACGGATCGAACTTCGATTCTAGTGAGCAAGCAGTGTCATCCCCGACTTCTGTTTACGCTCCGTAAACAGGGGGCTTGACGAATCGTGTTCGCTTAGTCTTTCAATGCCCCTTCTGTAGCCGGGGTCACTTATGCGACGCATCACGGGTGTCGCATGCGCCGAGCTTTCTTTGAAGCTTTTATTCTGAGAGGAGCAGATCCTAGATTGTCACGGCTGTGGAATTCTCATCCCAGAGGATATGCATCATTGTTTTCATTGGACCCATCGTTTTTCGCAGGGACTGTCGCGGATTGTCAGTCATCGGAGGAGCGAAAGTCCCGTCCTGCGCGCCGGTTCGACCGAACCAAGCTCGAACCGAATCGCGTACGCTCGTAGCGCTCCGAAAAGGAGCCGTCATAACGCTGGAGTTGTGGTGAAGCAGCGTCATGCCCGTATTTCCTGAATATGAATAAGATACGCCGGGAGTGCCCCAAGGGAAGTACCGCTCCCTCGGTTGGCTCCCTTCAATACGCCGCAACTGGGCGACTTCGGGTATTATTTTGTAGATTAATCGCTGGGAGCGAGTTTATTCCGATTATAAATGTGTTAGAAGTCGATTAGAACCCAAGATCACATAGAACCTGACTCAGCAGTTCGACTGTTCCATCGCCTTGAGCGTGTCTAATTCGACCTTATTTTTCGTGAGAATCGCCTCCACTTCCGCTACACTTGCTGGGTCAGGGGGCAGTTGACGGAAGCAGACGTTGTAGTTCACTGGAAGCGAGGGGAGTTCAGACCGAGCGTTATGCATTTCCGTAGTACCTTGTCATTAAGGAGTTGAAGCGTGACAGTCCTCTCTCACCTTTCGGACCGAGCACTCCGTAAGCCACTAAATAGTTTTTGTAATCTGAGCCCAGGATCGAAAGCGCCACCTTGTGATCTAAGGAAACGATGGCCCGCTCAGAAGTGTTTCGCAAAGAGTCGGAGTTGCTGCTTATTCGAGTATATATGAGAGAAATTATGGTTAAAATTCACTGAACTGTCTGATTGGAAGAGGAATCGCGCGGGATGACTTCGGTCGTCCACCACGAAGAAGGCTTCCTCGTAAGATTTACCACTGCGACGTGAACATTGAATCATTAGACCTTTCTCGATTGAGCGATTCTTCAGAGGCGGCATGATTGAGCTCAACTCACTGATCGTCCATCCACTGGCCGTCAATCTTGTAGACGTCACCATTTTCATGAATTATGTCAGCTCGGCCGCATCTGCTGGTTGTATCAATCAGACGACCGGTTCGCTTCCAGACGACCCAATGGCCGGCGATCTCGTTGGAAGAAAAATTATCAGTTTTCGGAAGGCATGAAGTTACGAGTGACAGGCGTCGCAATGTTGAAACCTGATGTGCCTTCGGGTAGATACCTTTTCGGGTTCGAAGTTCTCCATGAGGTTAACTTCAGAGGACAGCACGCAGTTCCACAGGTGTGCGGCCAAGATAAGCGCACCGAAACACAACATGATAAGGCGCTATGAATACGGAAATTGAGCGGAAGGTGCGATGCAGATCGGCTCAATATGGAGCTCGAAGTCGAGCTGAACGCAATCTCGTCAACGGATTTGAGTGGTTCTCCGCGTGCTCGAGACCGGGCTTTTCCCTCGATAGAATTGGATGGAATGAATTTTGACACGGACGAATCCAGGATCTCACCTCTGGCACCTTCGATGCCAAAAAGAAGAATCAATGCTCCAACTAAGTCGCTCGGATCCCAGGTACTGTCTCGTTTTGCAATGCCCCGACAGTGAAACCTCTCGAAATGATCCCACTTGAAGCTTTTATAGTTCGCAGCAAACCTCTCTGGATATTCGTTTGACGCTGACCAACGCAACACACATTTCTTTTCTTCTGTTGACATCATTTCCATGAGCTCCGCTGTCGATGCGCGGTCGGATTTTTATTTGCATAGGTACCCGCAGCAGAGAGCCCTACTGCGAATGATCTATAACACTTAAACATCGACATTCACGGAACGGAAAAGATTGATGACAGATCGCGGAACCGGACTGTAATCGGAGATTCATTTATTTATATCCCTCCGATACAACGAGAGTAATATCACAAGATTGTGTTCATAGCCAGGATCAATATTCAACACGGATATCACAAGACATGCCATTCATTTTCACTCGTCAGATAGGGCTCTGCCGACAAGTACATACTTCCAGATAACTTCCTTCGCGAATATTCTCGGATTGTGTGGCCCGAACTCACAGGCGATTTTTCCCGAGTCGACTCCTGTTTGGCGGAGCATCTTCGTCTTCGAGCGAAGAATCTGTGGTGGAGGACTCGGGGGCTGAGGTGGTGCGGTGCTTCTTGCGACGATTGCGTCGACGCCTCGGAGTCGAGCTTGTTGTGGACGACGGCGTCGCCGATGGCGGAGATGTCGTTTCCAGATTTTGGGGGGGCACGGTGAGGGGTTTCTCGGTGGTCTGTTCGCTCACAGACGTCGGAGCTGGGGTGGTTGACCTCCTACGATTCTTACGGCGGCGTTTGTTCTGTGAAAAAAAAACGATTCTGTGCTTCTATCGTCCGCTACCGTAAGCCCGCCGCAGAGAGAGCTCGACGATTCGCAATCAGGATGCGGATTTTTCCGTCGACCACGGAGATGATCATTGCGCAGTTGTCGTGCGTTCTAACCTCACAGAAGGAAGACAAGCTTTCTGGCCACCCGACTGATTCCAAAGAGGCTAGATACATCGACATCCTGCCGCGAACAAAGTCCAATCTCAAATAATTCGGCATCGAATCGCACTCACCTTTGGTCTCGCGGTTTCTGGCTTCTGCTGATCCTCTTCCCGGGCGGGAATACGAATCGGAGTGATAATAGCTGGTCCCGAGACGGGCCGCACAGATCGTCCTTGCTCGGGAACGACTTCGCTGCTCACGATCGGGTTGCGCCTCCTGTTCGCCTGGATTCTCGATTCCCTCGGCTTATCAGTTACTGCAATTTATTCAGCGATATTCAGAGTCGAATCATCGCATCGGGACCATGCTCAACCGGAATCAGCGAGAACAGTGCTCAACGAGTATTCTCAAATACTCACGCGGCCTCAACTCTGGGCCTTCGATTTTCTTCGGATAGGGAAGGTTCTCGAGGACCGGGAACTGAGCATTGTTCGGGCGAGGGGACGGCGGCGGCGATCCCGGTAAGGGCTTGCGAGGGACGGGATATGGATTATTAGGGTCGTATTCAGCTGGAACGCCAGGGGGTAGTTCAACAGATGCCCCTGGAGGGCTGGCGGGGCCTTGTGGAACATTCGGGATGAAGGGAGGTCGAACTACAGTCGCGGTGCTCTGCGCGGGCCCAGATTCCTCGCGATTCGTTATGAGCCGAGACCTGGAATTCGATTGCGGCGCTTCGAGCGACGGGACACCATTTTCTCCGGATGGGCCTTCCACTTGCGAGGCTTTGACTTCTACAGGCGGTCTGTTATCGTGGTGATTTCGAGAATCGGCTCGAATCGCTTGTCTCTGTGGCGCTGCCGGGGTCGAACGTTGTCGAGGAGCTCGGGTGGGCGCCGGACTTGTGGGTGGGGGGGCTGGCTGGCGAGTTCGGTGGGAACGTGTACTCGTAACTCTGGGGGAGACCAATGTTATGTGAGCACCTTCCATGATTATTCCCGATTAGGATGGGGATATCGAATCAATAATAATTAGTTCTTGATATCACAATGTGTACAATAATATAATAGGTTGATTTTTCTTCAATATTTAGTAGATATCTTCCAAAGAATCATCGCCTCATTAGACCTCTTCCCCAGGAGAAGGAATCGATTTGAAATTAAACACTCGATTACCCATCGCTCGGCTCTACGGGCCTCCGTTGGAAATCGATGTTGGAGTTGAATCGAGCGTTCTTCGGCACATCTTCCTCGGGAGTATCGGCTCGGGTTCGCGAAGGACGACGAGACTGTCGGACCGGCTCTGGATCGTTGATTTGCTGGCGCTGAGACTGCCGTGCGGGGCTTGGCTCGTTGATCACTCGCCGGGGCACGTGTCGGGGAGCTTCGATTTCCTCGACCGGCTGTCGCGGGACTTGTCTGCGGGGTTCTGGGTCACTGATGAAGTGTCGAGGTGAATTCCGAGGCGGTCGCTCCGTCTGGGTCAATGGAGGACGACTCACGGTTTCCCGAGCTCTTGGGAAAGCGATTGGCTGGGGTCTTGCAGGTGGCTGGACCGGGGCTCGAGTCGCAGGCTGGGTCTCGAAGAGCTGTCCCGGCTGGAATTGTTGATTGGGACCGGGTCCATCGTGGCCGAAAGGGAATGGCGCAACAGATGCCCCGATCTGATTCCCGATCGGGAGTGATGCTTGTGGAGGGAGCGCGACGGTGTTCAAGGGTTGCCGGATGTTTCCGTACGACTGGCCCGGACTAGCCAGAGAAACCGGAGCTGGAGGCGGGGCTAGAATGATAAACGGCGTGAAATCGGAGTATCCGTGTTTTCCAGGGACCGAGGCGGATGATTGAGGCTCTCGGACATCGAGTCGATCAATTCATACGTACGCCTGGTTGACGGCAATGGTCTGAATTGAGGTGGAGTAGGTCGTGGTGGAGGAGGGGGAGGTGTTGTTAAGGGACGGGGAGGTGCAGTGCGGATCGGGGGAGAGAAATTGGTGTCGGGCTGTGAGAAGAATTCGCGACCCGGAGCATCGCCCTGATTGGGTCTTCCATCCGCAGGACGTCGCGTCGGAACATCTGCATCAGGTCGGATCGGGATACGTTGAGGCAGAGGGTCGACGTCGGGTCGAGGCGGAAGATTCGGTGCCGGTTGGCTCTGAGCCTCGGGCCGGGTCAGGAATTGCGTTTCTCGCGTGGGCGTGACCCCTTCCGGTCGAGGTGGGAATCTCGGGGCCTCTAGCCCATCGGGGCGGGGAGAATACGAGAGGGGAATTTGTGGCGGGAGATCTATGTCGGGCCGGGGAGGGTAATTCTGCTGAGACCCTTGGGTTGTGGGACGGAAATTGGGTTCTTGAATGCTAGGGCGGAAACTCGGCCGCGACTGGTCGATGGGAGAAGAGTAAATCGACTGAATTTGAGGTGAGAATGAGTTGGCCGGGGAAAAGGTTTGCGGCCCATACTGGACATAGTTCTGGTTGGTTTGAGGGGGAGGGGGTGGGGGAGGAGGAGCAGAAGCCGAGAAATGGTTCGGAGGCAGACCAGCTGAGGTGTAGTCGGCTGGCTGATATCGGGAGGGGAACAGCTGAGCTTGAGGGGGCTGCTGGGGGATGGTCGAGGGTCCTGGGAAGAGCACGCTCGACGTTGACGGGTTCTGATATTGACCTTGAGGGGAGAAACTCTGGGGTGGGAATGGGTCATCGATCCTTCTGACCTGACGCGAAGCTGAGGAAGCAGAAAAGAAACACAGGAATGATTCACATCATAGGAAGCTTACCATGCTCTGAAGTATTTGTATGATCTCATGCAAGGGAATTTCAGCGCTCAAAACGTAGAGAATCTCTCTAAAATACCACTTTCGTTTATTCGGGAGGGTATTATTATATACATGTAAGTTCTTCGGAGTACGTGGAAGGCACAATTTTGAGTTGTGCCTCCGTCACGAAGCTCTGCAGTGTACAAGCGAGCTCTGAGTTTCCCTCCCCGCGATCACTCTTCCGACTTTCTTGAACAACCTCGAACGGAGACGCGTGATCCATTAGACGCGCGCGCGCGTGCGTGCTTGCGTCCTTCCTTCCGCGCGCACTGAGACCAGCTCAGACTTTCATCGTCTGTTTAAATATTGGAGTCTCCGACGACCCATGAATTGATGAAGCGAAATGGGCCGAGCACAATCGCTTCGGACGACTCGGAGAGATGACATTGACGAAATACGAGCAACTTTCGTTTCCTTTCCCCTCATCGGATCACTCTTCGGCGAGCATCTTGCTATCGATCACCGTGAAGTGTTCTGTGGCACTCGACATGTGGTCTTGAGACTTGTTCGTTTCCCCACCGCTCGAATGTATTTGCGAAAGGGGTTTGGTGGTTTTCGCATGCGTTTCAGAAGCGGCCGCTCCTAGCAGATGTCGATGCCGACTGAGAGCGTTGTTCAGAGGGGCCGCGAAGTCCTCGAAGCCTTGGAAGCCGAACACCTGATCGTCCGAGTCGTCGTCGCCGAACACATCGAACGGCGACGGGTTCTGGTGCCGCACGTCACGATGATTGTCCGTAAGCACCGTGGCACGATAAGGGTTGTTCGTGTAGTAGTTATTATTGCTCTTCTGTTGGTGATTATGATTGTCGTTAGCGTTCCCTTGACCGAGGTGGTTTGTGGAAATTTCGTCATTATTGAAAATGCCGCCCCGAATTACTTCGAAGTTCCCGCTGCCCAGCTGGTTGTGCGCTTTCTGTTCGGTGAAGTCTTGACCGTTGTCCGAGCGAGCTTCCCGTACTTGCCCGAAACGGGGCTGAGCGCGCTGGGTCGTGTATCTATCGCTCGACTCCTCCTTGTCATCGTCGGTGGCTCGGAAAATATTCGCTAGGTTTGCGAAAGTCCGTAATGTATACGGCGCGTAGTATCCACTTTCATCTTCGCTGTATCTGGGCAATAGACCCGAAGCCGACGGCTGATTGCCAAGTTCAGAAGTCTTTTGTTTTTGTTGCTTTGACCCCAGTTGGTCTTCGGTGCTTCGTCGTCTCCGGACCCTCTTGGCCTTGAGGTCAACCGAATCGGAACGTTTGTTGAGCGGTGGATGTGTCACAATGATTTCGTGTCCGGGTGTGGGACGAAATCTGTGAACGTGGGGAATCGCTTCCAAGGGTACGCTGACGGCACCGTTCACGGCACCGTTTGCGTGATGGACGAGAATCGCTTCGTGGGGAGAGGACTTTGTCCGTCTCGTGAACAGATTTCCGATGCCCCATCCTCCGAGAGGGCTCCACCGGGTCATTGAAGATAGCAGACCCTTCCCGGACCCGCTACCCGCGTCTGAATTGTGGGTTGAGAGAAATATGCCCTGCTGACCGTACGGCGCTCTGACGGCAGCGTACGCGGGCCGAGAGTCCTGACGAACCGAGCCCACATGCTGCACTACGATATTCTCGCTCGGCACCTCACCGCGATCACCGTCGAGACTCAAGCCCAGCTGTGAGAGATTTATGACTTCCGCGGGATCATCCACTTTTATCTGGATCGCTTTCTGATGGCCACTCTGCTGTAATTTATAGGTGCCGTCGTCCTGCGGCAGAGCGTAAACTATGCCCAGAGGTTTCAAGCGTTTGTGGCTTCCGTGCTCGCGTCTCCGGCCCCGATGGGCCGAGGGTTCTGGCATCGAAACAGGAACATCTTCGTGGGGGGACGGAGGTGGGATGGAGGGCGCTCTGGCGGGCAGAGGCAGATCGTAATGGCGCTTGTCTTCGGGATGGAAGTCTTCTCTCTGTTCTCCGCTAAAGTCCTGATGCCTCGACGAGCGAGCGTCGTGCTGACTTGGGTAAACTTGAGACGGTGGCGGCGGAGGACCTCGGTACCGTTCCGCCCGAGGTCGCCTGTTGTCGTAGTTCTCCCGGGACGAGACCTCTCGCGAGTCGTCGCCGTCACCGTCGTTTTCCATCGCGCTATCACGGCCGTCTCCGCTGTCTCTCGGTTGATCTCGTCCGACGGGATTGTAATTCGGATCGTAGCGATCCTCGTAGCCTCGAGCCACGCGGACCGGCCGGTACTCCTCCGAATCGACGTCATTGTCGTCTCGATCGTAGGTTTTGTACGGAGGAGACGCCGATCTCACGGCGAACGCGTCGTGCGCCGGAGGTGGGGGGTCAAACTTTGAGCCGGTCTGATCGTACGGGACGATGACGGGACTGTTGCGCGTTGCAGCGGTTTTTTTCAGTGAGCGGTTTTTCCGCGGAATCAAAGCATCGGGTACTCGCGATGCGATTTCGTCCCGGTCCCTCGCTGAAAAGTGAAGGCAGAATCGAGATTAAACACGGGATGACGATTACCTTTTCGATCGGTATCCCTGGAAGAAGGAATGGGGGACGTTGTGAGGAAGACACTAAGATCGCCCGGATAGCTCGCAGACGTCGCTGGTCTCGAGAAACTGGGAACCGCATAGTTGCCGCGGACATCGGGTGAATGGCCCGAGTTGGCTACATTGCCTTCTGCGTACTCTACTTGTCGGGGGTCTGTAGGAGAGAGAGAGAGCCGTGTCAGTGGTTCAGTTGTGATAGGACGAAAGATTGCGTGATGGACCAGGTTGTGATGGTGTTGTGAGTGGGCATGATGTTAGTCAGGAGGGACAGGGCACAGATGAAGAATAGAAAACGAAAGGGAAAGAGACAGAATTCGGAAAAGAGGAACGAACTGGATTCTTCGAGAATATCGAGCGTAGAGCAAGCAGGAGGCAATGCAGCAGCGTTTCGAGTAGCGATTTATGGCCAAATCGAGAGTTCCAACGATCGACAGGACCCTTGGGTGCGGGGGAAGACGCTCGGCTTGCGAAGCGGGTTCGCCCCACCAGGCTCCCGATGCGGCTTCTGATAATAATCAACAATACATGGTGGTGAAGTTTTCTTCGCCGCTCGGCATTGCTTCCACAGCTCGCACGGCACCGCGCGCTACCGTGGGGGCTGGAGGCGTTCCGAATGAAGACGAGAAAGTTTTCAGCTCGGCCGCGCGACAGCTAGCTGTTCCCAGGCGTGGCCTTCGTCGACGACTAAGGAATTTCATCAAGCCGTCCGAACAACATGACGACCATTACGTCGTCCATCTATCGGTCGCTCTGAGCGTTAGTCTGTCAGCCCGCCCGCGTGCCCGCCTGTTCGCTCGTCCGTCAGTCCGTCCGTCCGTCTGACGGTGTTGAGCGTCTGCCGATGAATCGCTCGGGGCCATTCCGGTGGGGTTTGACATTCGGGAGAGTTGGGTCGTCATTCTCTCAAAAACATCGAACGGGATTGCGATAATACAGATGCGTTTATAGGCGGTCAAGTTGCCGTCGAATCATCTGTTTCTCCTCTGATCGCCTCAGCCTAAGAGAAAACATCCGTTCAGAGCATGACGTATGATGCGCGAGCATTTGCTCAATCGCGCTACGCATCCAATAAAATTCGAAGCCCGTCTTTCTTATATCTCGGGAGTCATTCAAAGAGCGGCGGTGATGGAACGGACCAAGACTCGTTGACGACGGAAAGTTCACTCGAAGATACATATCCTCAGGATTGGTATTCAGTCACGCGGCAGGTGTTCTCCACGGAAAAAAATTCAAGCCGACTCGAACGCTCAGGAAGTTTCAAAGATAACATGAACGGGTTTGAATGCTCGTTATCGTACCTCATGGCAATCAGAGACGGCGGGTCAGCCCTGGTGACTGATCGGGGTCAGATTCAGCGCGATTGTAATAATTACGCGGAATGCCTTTATCAGCAATATTCATTTGGCTAATTAGCTGAAAATGCAGCTTCAACCTGTGCCCGCACACCCGACCACTGGGCCGTCATTTTCTCGCTGGCGAAAGTACCTCGTGCGAACAGTGGCTGCGAGAATTCCACGCAAGCCGTGGCATACCGCTGCCGGCCGCCAAGCAAACCATTGCAGAGCTCTTCCTGTAACGAATCGCGAGCACCGGTGGAGTGTTTTTCTATTTTTTTTCCACCATGGCATAGTTACGGATATCAGACTAATGCTGTTGACACTTCGGTGCTTGAGGTCGTCTATCGAGACAAAGGTTGTGTAATGATGGATAGATACGATGGCAGTGTAAGAAAGTTTCTCTGGTGTTGCACTATTCGGTTTTTGATGGGAATGATTTTTTGGTTCAAATCTGGCTCGGTCTGCTGCCGAACAAACGATTTCAGAGATATAGATTGAGGAGAATATCAACAGGATTGTAAAATCTGGACGCCGCGCGGGAAGTAAACACGCCAATCGATTGTCCGATATGTATCTATCATTTTAAATTCGTAGACCACTGTCGCCGTCCCACATCAAGCAGCAGACAAAGTGCTCAAAGAGCGAACATTTTCCGCACTCTTTGGAACGGGGACCCGAAACCATTCCGACATGGAGACGTGTTCAACACCCGTCGCGTAGCCGAAGGGAAGCTTCGACAGGGTGCGAGCCCTTAGTCTACAAGACTCGTTCTTGTTCCAATCGGCGCAGCAGCGGAGACGACGATGGAAAAAAAAGAATGAGGATATAAGAACAGCTCGTTGTGGACTAACGACCATTTTTTAACGGATTTTTCTCCGGCTCTGTATGTGGTCACTAGGTGTCGTTTCCCCCAATTCTTCCCGTGCACTAGTCTGAGTCGAGAATCGAACAGCGACGATAGTGGTGGCGGTCAGAACAAGCAGGCGCACCGATTCACAAGTATCGGGTGGCACTTTAATCGCCCCCCTTGAACAAAAAATTGAGAATAAGCGTCCTTGTTCCCCTCATCGATGTTTCCGATTCGGCTTCTTCCACGAGGACTCAGAAGCTCCCGATCGCGAAGACTCCGTGAGCGCGGAACAGAAGAGATCTGAGAATCGAGCTTTTCGCTCCGGTGGTCGGATTCGCTCGACAGCTCATTCCTCCCGGTTGAATCCGTTTTGAAACTGACTCTTTCTACCAGTACGAGCGCTCCCTGAGACGAGCTGTCTCAGTGTGGGGAACTCTTACTTGAGAGTTACGGATTCGGGTCGAGCGGCCGGCCAACGAGGATTCGGGGTCTAGATCGAGAAACAAGAGCAGGCTCGGGATTCTCTCGGGAGCCCCGTAATCTCCGGCATCAGATTTCGTCGACGGGAATAACAGCCCGGGAGCGGATCATTCGAACTTCAGGGTCTAGCGAAACACGAAACTCACGCGGCGTTCAGCTCGACTCCCGTGAAAAGCGGGATTCATCATTCCCCAGGGGAAAGCAGCGATGGAGACGAATGCCTCAGCTTCCACTGGCCTTGCGAGTTTGTCCTCACCGACCGACGAAGATTCGGTTGTCTTCATTCGGAATGATTCTGGACGGACATTCGAGTGTCGTCGTGCGTGGAGCGCTCGATGTCACAGCATTGGTTTCGCTTGGGGGAGCCTCGCAGGAAACACGACTGGCTGGACTGAGCGAGGTGACGAGCCCCCGGGGCCAAACACGGCTAACTCGGCAAGGTCGCCGCTCATTCGATGAAAGAGACTTTCAACATGAAGCTCCGGACCTGTGTATTTGCGTCTCTCAAGAAAATGACAGCAGACATCAAAGTCGATGAGAAAATATCTGTCTTGCGCGCCATGCAACACTCCCGGGAGAGATTCGGGTCCCATCATTGAGTCGATGACAGAATCTCTGAATGGCGAATGAAAATTGGACTGGAAATCTGGTTGCATCTATCGCAGCTCGAATGCGGAGCGAGTCATTCACGACCCACCGTTGACGTCAGGCGTGCCGGAGAATCTTTGCCGTCAACAGCGGAATGGCTTCTTTCGAACCATTATCATTTAATCCGAAGCTTCTTTTCGAAGAAAGAGAAAGCTATGCTTCCCCAGATACGGGCGTTCGTAGTCGCGGAAAGCCTCTGCTGGAATGGAGAGTTTCCCTCTCCTCCGACTGAACATCGCACAGTGGGAAAATATCGTTGAGAGTTCAGCGACAAATATCGAGATATCCCGCAGACATGTCCGACGAACGGCAAACAGGCTACTTCCTACGCCCAGCTTAGTCGGATCCATTTCTTCCGCGAAGAAGCGTCTCGTTGTGCTCCTTCTTTCTGTCCCGCAAAGGGAAACCAAGCCAAGGAAGGAAGAGCTCAGAATAAAACGACAAAAGATTTGCTTGGGCTGGTTACTACAGAGCTTCCCAGCTATACTTTGTCAATGAGCACCGTGGAAAACCCATGGAATAAAGAGGATTCTATTTTCTCGGAATTGTCGAAGCCATCATCTGATGTTATGAATACGTAGTACCACCGCTGGCGAATAAAGGATCCTCACGATCCACAATACTTCTGTTCGGTAGGTATATTTGTATCGAGTCCGCCAGTTTGCAAAAGAAGCCCCTGGCGGAGGCTTCTCGCTCACTTTGGACAGAGCCCCACAACCTTGAGGGGCCTCTGACCCACTTTGTGACGATCGAGCAGAGAATCCAATAAATTCTGAGCCGGGCCTCGCGACCCCTTTGACAACGAAGAAAATTCGACTCGGAGGAGCATCGAACAATCGGTCCTTTCTCCAAGATCGGCCCTTTTGCTTGGAATGGAACTCAATTACTTCGCTTCGAGTATCGTTTTTCCTCGACGCGCCCTCATAGAAAAAATGCTCTGAGGCAGCGGACACAACTTTCACGGCGAAATCTTCAGAATATCAGGAGTGATCGATGGGGATCGTCTCGATCCCCTCCTGTGTTCCGGATGGAGGGAGACGCCGATTTCCGAATACCTCTCACAGAGCTAATTGGAGGGCTATATCGATAGAGCCATCAATTTCTCAACGGATGGAGGGTCCGACGAGAACTTGCTTTGTCTCGGAAGATGAGTATTTAATACTCAAATATTTAATCGTGATTCCTTATTTTTCTTAATTATGAAGCACGGGCTCGGAGGAAAACGCTTTACATCCATTATAGATCAGAAGAACTGTTTGTTTACAGACATTATCAGCGCGATCGTGGTCTGAACTTCGGATGGCTTAACATCTGTCCGGTCAGTATTTTCGTCATAAGAGTGCCTTTCTCAATCGGAGTACTCTGCTCGGAGAGATAAGAGATATGGCATTAGATATGCAAGCGTTGCTCCATGAAGAACCAGATTGAGGCAAAGAAAATGCTTTCGAAATCTATTCCCATCTGACGCCGACCCCGTGCACGGATATTTTCTGCTATGTGAAATTTCCAGCTTTTGCTTTTGGTTCTCAGTTCCTACCCGAAATGCATCAGGCAGAGGAAAGCTTCGGGAATTCGAGAGGCAGCAGGGTGCAAGCGACAGCTCTCTCCAACTCTCATGATCGTATCCATATTCTTCGGAAATCGCCATCGCCATCCGGAATTAATTCGATTCCGGATATCGTTATCAGCTGGGGCGCTTTCTCGCTTTCAGTATTGTGTAAATATGCACATACTTCCGCATCTCGAGCAAGTAGTCCTTAATCGGCGGTCGACATCACCGCGAACATCGTAATTATCGTGTCCGTGACCGTCAGATGTCCTGGACATCCTCGAATATGACGGATTTCCATGTACGATGACCCTTCTAGGCGTACGAGGTTAGGTTTGCACCGAAGTCCCGCGGCTTCGACGAAAATTCATCCATCTCAATCATTCTGTCTCGGATCATTAGCGGGCGTTAGATATCCCGTCGGGCGAGCCTTTGCAGACACAATGGAGGCATGAAATTCCCAACATCAGAGTGACACTTTTCCTCAAGTCTGTCTCGTGGAAGGCTTGGTATCAGCACGTGACTTGTCTTCCGCTTAACCCGAAGAGATCTTGTTGATGAGGTCTTGTAGCGCCGCCACATTGACCGCTGAAAAGCGACGAGAACTGATGCGTCCCAACGCTCACCCTAATGGATGAGTAGAAGCGCGAATGAGTGGCCGACGGACCTTTCAAATAAAATCGTGAATATTAACATGAACATCACTGGAGCGAGATAATGCGCCGTCGCAGACAAGGGAAATATCATCAGCTCATCTCAAGATATTCCAATGCAAAGCTTCTCGTACTTGAAATCGTAGCCATCCGCGGGAAACTCTCGAGGAAATCCAGCTTTCCTATCCGAATCGAAATCGACCGCCACCAGCGGGCGTAGGAAAATGCAGGACGTTCATGAACGGATCAGTGTGAGCGAAGACGCATCACATGTCGTAACGAGTGAGCGAATGCGGAGCACGTTTTGGTACAAGTAGCGAAAGTCTGCATTTTCCGGTGATTACCTATGATCACGAACGCGCAGTGCCAAACAGAAGGTCGAGCACAACCGCAGAAATTATAGAAAGCACATGGCATGGACGCGCACACATGGGAATTCGCACACGCACACATTTGCACGAAAATAGACGGACTAGGTGAAGAAAAGTTTTTTAACGCGGATTTAGAACTCGGACCATTCAGCGCTTCACGCTTGACAACATTTCTCCAAGTCGTCAGCCGCAGAGCTACCACCGCGAAACACACCGGAATGCGATGCCATGCGGGTCGCGCCGAAAGCTTTTGCTATATCCAGGTGATCGAGTGAGTATTGATGAGTACTCCAGTTGCCTCGAGGCGAACTACAATCAAGCCGGCTCGGAGCGATACGCTCGATAAATTTCTGATATTTCGCTGAGTGAATGAGACAAGGCGTCACCGCAGGCTCGCAGAAGGGACATGAATAGTCGATGCACAGAAACGGAGGAGCTTATGAATCGTCCAGGCGCAAAAGCTCGGGCGACAGCAGAGTGACAAGCCGATGAGCGATATTTTCCAGGTTGAAGTAATGATTTTTCTATGCATGAATTGAGGCGCCCGGTGGACCATTGCCAGTCGCCACAAGTCAAGACAACGAGCCTCGGTCACCTTTCACCCGCGAAGCGGCAAAAATGAGAGCCGGCGGGGGCAACGGCAGCGAGAAATAAAAACCTGACGGGTTAACCTCTGCTGCCGGTGTCGTTCCATTATTATGATTATCAGTATGAAGAGAATCGGATTTGATTCACTCACTGAGCTGGATAGACGAGCCGCAAGCGACCACTGTGTGAACAATGACCACGATTAATCAACTTCATTTTCACTTCTCCCAGATAAGAGGGAAGAGACACTGCAGCGGTAGCTCGTTCTGTAGAATGAAGCCTGCTGAGCCACGTAGTCGATGACGAATTGATTTCATTGCTCCAGTTTGAGGAAATCCACCAGACTGAAGCTCCGGGAAGGAATTCCCCGAGGAACTTCTCCTCTCGAGTTTTTTTCTCTTTTCCCCCCCCACTCGGTCAATCTTCATGACACGTTTCGGAGGTTCAGGTCATCTGACAATAATCGATGATCGCCTAATGGCCTACGAAGCACTACCATTTACAAACGCCAGGGAACGATCGAAATTTCGACAATCGAATCGGGCAAACCATTAGGATAATCGGTCAAAACCCTATAAAACCCGTGAAGATCTCAAGGTTCCGGCTGCCCTTGGATTATCCGATCCACATTGATTTGGTGGTCTTTGGCAACTTCTCTCATTGTTGCTCGAGTCGCTAAGAGTTTCTGAATGCATGAAAGAAAGAAGACAAATCTGGGAGACAAACCAACAAAAGAACCATAGTGAGAACATGGGACCGCACGCGGATCGATATCACACAAAGTGTCGGGAACAAGGGCATCTACATCGCTTGGTCGACATTTGTGACGTAAGAAGAGAGAAAAATGTCTTATCGCCTATTCATTGTTACGCATGCATTGAAGTCGAACTGACCAAGCGGCGGTGTCGGGGCGGCTCGCATGGTAAACAGTAAGTCAATCAGTCATTCAGTCATTTGCACGTTTCAGGAGAAAGTTCGCCCGACGCGACTACGCGACATTATCTCGCCCGAGAATCACTACGATCCATGCCGTTGAAGCATGAGCCAAAAGAGCTCCTCCCTATCTGCGAGACGCGAAAGTGAAGCCGAGGCGTCCACCGTAACATTCGATACGTTGTATGGCGTAGGTCCGACGTTGCGCTAATCCTGGGCGCTTCACAGATCGAGTCATTGCAATTTTCCTCTTCCATTTAGCCAACGGGACAGCAATTTGATCAGAACGACAACAATCGGTATCGCGAGAATCCACGCCGCCAGTAGTCGTCAGTACTTTGGCGGGATGCGGATGCATTGGTTGCCACACTCAAGTGTCGCTTGCCAGGTGTATCGTCTATGCGAACGCCTGTTGCTTTACCTAATCGCGCGACGTTATTCCGCTCAAAGCAGACAAATCCCTACCCGAACAATATTCCACGGAGAATACCACTCCCAAACAATTGGACAACACTGATACCAGTTCACAGCCACCCGGTGAGCAACCTCGGAGAGGACATCCGATTATTGCGAGGCTCAATGATCGATACTAGGCGTACAGGGAAGGGATCGCAGTCCCGTGATAGCGCAGAGGGCCCATCTCGCAGCAAAGTCATGCTCTCCATATTCACTATCCACACGAAGGTTATCGTAGATACTTCAACATCTCCCTCGATCTGATCGTTGAAGTATTAGAAGGGTAACCCGAGAAGCCAAGCGCGCAAGCGAGAATATCTTGGTGAGTCTTTGTGCCCGAGAATCGGACCGCACGAAAAACAAACGAAGTTGCCAAAGCTCTGGACTTACATCTTTTGAGAGTTCTATCCGCGCACAGCACTCCGTCGAAGCCGGCGGCAACACAGAACACGACGACGAGAAAACTCTTCATGCTTCAAGCAGGTAGGTTCCGCACACAAGCATCGGCGACAACTACCCTGCGAAATTATTCTGCCTGTGAATTCTGAAGATTCCGAACGAACAACTCCGTCCCGAGGTAGATAGGCCGAGAACCGATAGGGCTCGGTCACTTGACAAAGCACACACCAGAGCTGAACGTCGACTCCGGCGCGGATTTCAAGCGCCTGCCGATGTTACAGCGGTTCTGACTACCAACGAATCAACCCACTGCCGCCTGCTCAAAGAGCGCCACAGCTTCTTATACCCCGTAGAGGGTAAGGGGTTCCAAGGTCTGTTGATTGTCTGCAGTACAAGACGCTATTACATTTCAATATATCAATGGATCAGTGAATCCTCCCCGTAGTTTCTCGAGCGCGATGTACAGAGAGCACTCACTCAGTCCGATGTTCGACATAATTCATAATATTTTCCCGAGAGAAAGTTGCGCACACCGGTGCAGCATGAGAAGCGGGCCGGACAGCGCAGCCGGTTTGGTGACTTACGCGTCGAGGTAAGACTGCTCGTGACAGAAGAAATACTTTCGCCGATGCGAATTTCGAACGAGCAGAAGAAGATTTACAGAATCACCCGCTAGATTATTATCGAAACAAACAACGGAGAAAAAATGAGAAGGCTGAGATCTTTTTCGAGTGAATAATACTGCGAAACTGCTAGCTGTCAACGTTTTTTTTTACACCATCAGGATAGTGGCTAGCCTTGTTGTTTTCTCCAACTCAATGGTGCATCTGACCGATACAGGGCCGTAATGTGCATCGAATGCGTCCTATTTCGGTATGCACGTCTTGAGTTCGGCTAGCTTTTCCGTCTCGTGGAGCACTCGATAATACTGTTTGGTCCGATGGGACGAGATGAGCGATGCTTGAGCCGATCCAGAGACGGGACTCTTCGCTGGGAATTCCAAAACATACGAAATGGATGAAATGCCGGGAATGAAGGAAAAGGCAAGCGAAACGGGGAGCCATTTAACCCCTCGCAATTCAGAATTGGGGAAGCTCCGATCCTCAAACATTCGATCTCGGGATTTAGCCGGTTTTTTTGAATCCTTGAGCTAGAGGATCATCTTCCGAAGATTTCTAATAAACTGTATACCTCCCACGCAGGACTTGGGAGTGTTTTTTCGACGTCGACTCAGCAGCCCAGTCTGTGAGTGATAGTAACTTGAATAGAACGAGCCCACCCACCATGTGTCATTGTCGATCCTCCCAGATAGATATGTCGTGTGATCCGATTGAAGCCATATCATTCGGAGTATTATTCACGAGAATTCGCAACGGAAAAGCTCAGCGCCACAGTCTGGGTCCGAGTCCCAGGATTGAGCTTATTTCGCGCAATGACGCGGATTGGAAGAACGACGCAAAGATCGGATGCATTTTCCTGCGGACCCTGGGCGATGGCGATTTTCAAGTCTGAACGGACACAGGGAAGGTGGAAAGCCGTCTAGGACGTCGAAAATTACATAAGAATCTGCATCAACCAATAATTCGTCATCCAACGCCACGGTTCGTCAGATTCCGGTCAAGTTCACTGAAGCCAATGAATACTATGGGCTGACGGGGCTTGTTATACTTCCTGTAGAGCTGAACTAGGATCGCCGACTCGTGGTCGAATACGGCGAAGCTGAAGTCTACGATGGAAGTCCGTGAATGAAAGTTCACGAGCATCTCCGGCCTGACGGGAGTGTGATGACGACGCATCGATTTGTTTCGGGTAGCTTGGCGCTCTTCCCCTGTTTTGGCGGCCGCTAAAATCGTGAACGTTTCGTCGGCTCTAGGGTATTATATGGTTCCAAGATCCATGGCGTGAATCAGATCCTCAGGTCAGGAAATTCACTCGTTGGAGAACGATACAATTTTTTTCAATCGTTCTGCCGAGAAAGTAGCATCAGCATCGAATCGAAAAGGTGTTCTGGCTCATAAAGTCGGGACATCCGGTACGTTAGACGCGACTTGAAAGAATGCTTTTCAGGAGATGACCTGTGTCTTCAAAGCCAGAGCAGCGAGTTTCCCGCCTAGTATTCTGTTTCACAATAATCAAGCTGAATACCATAACTATAGTGATAATGCCAACGAGGAAGACTTTGAGCAATGTCATCTTTGCGCTGGTCCGGCTCCGTGTTGAAGTGGCGCTGGTCAGCATATTGCGACAAGCTCGTTCCAGCTCCCGCAGTTTTGAGAAATCCGAGACTGTCCCCTCCGTTTGCGTGACTCCGGCTCGACATCTGATCGTCAAACCTTAGCGACGATTCCCAGGATTAGCCAATGCGCGATAGGGTCCTCGATGGTACTAGGAATGGGGGTCTCCAAGTCTCTACTCCTCCGAAGCTTGGGACTCGAAAGAATGGGTGACCGAAGACTCGGCGCTTCTTGCTGGTTTCGGACTATAGCGGCTACTTCCATCCGAACAATGATTAGGCTCATTTTCTGTTGTCTTGGGGACCCTCGAAAGCGACTTCTGAAACCTTGTATCAGGAAGCGTTGTTCTTGGACTACCCGAATGCCTCGATACGAATCTATGCATGTAGATATACTTGCTTGCAAAAAATATTCATGATCCATGTACCTACTGACGGAGGATTGTCAAGAATATTTAGGATCGCGAAAATCAAGACAAGCTCCGCATAGGAATCTATCTGATGTCCTTTCCGGGGGAGCATATGCGGCGTGCCGCCCCGCGCGAGTGGGGTCGGCATTGTGACAAACAGACGACCGCGTCAGCAGATTGACTTTTGCGAGTTTTTCCGCCGAAATAACCACGGAGCGGCACTGCGCTGCGCTCACCGAGCGGACACCTCCTAAGAACTCCAACAAAAATGTTCTCAACCCGCATGTGTCGTAGTTGAGCTGTAACAAGGCTTCGCGGTGCGTGGACAGTCAAGCGCTGTCCAAGCGCTCGGCCAGTTTTCTCGCGCGCCTTCACAGTGAGTCCCAGCGCGGCGGCGAGAGCAGCGAGAGCTTTTCTCTGGTCTGACTTCAGACAAACACAATCGGTTGTCGTTGTTCGCAGCTCGGCCTCCCCTCTGACCGTCTGCATATGTCTCCGTGCCCACTGTTCGCTCCGAGGAGATGTCTGATCCACAGTGCAGGGTTCTTTGGTCGGATGAGAGGCTGAGAGCTTACGTAACCTCTCCGTTTTTCTGCCGTCACCCCAATGCATCCAGTCATGCCCGTGACTATCTGGGCGTCCTAGTAGAAATTTTGACGGCAAACTGGTATGTCTTCGCTCACCGTGGGATGAGAAAACGTCGTTTCCATAATTGAGCTACTCATGCTGGTTCTCCTCGTCTATCAACGATAACGATTCAATCACACGAGGGTCAGCTGCGGGCGATCGCGGGTCAATCCTGGCAAAGCTACGAGTAACAGATTTTCCTCTCGTCTAGATCTACGCCGATGACAGTGCTAGGTAAATGCATTTCGTAGGTTCCTTTTCTCGGACGACCCCTGACGAGAAGGTATACTATATCATTCTCTGGGAAATCACTGGAAGCCCTTCGGTTCCACGTAACGGTATCGCTCGTGTGAACAGTAAATCGGAACAGATCTGATTCCGTTTAGCCAGTATCGCGAGTTGCGAAAGCGCAGAATTTCCTCAAGCGGTGTGTCGACGCTGGGAGCCGCTCACAAAAATGCTCCGGCGCAAGTCGCTCAAATAGAAACAATCTATTTTAAAAAAGTGTTTGGAAAGATAAAAGCATTAGCTGAGAACCACTGGACAAAATAGCTTCTCTTCAGAGAAACGAACACTTTTACTGGGAACAGCTGAGCTCTCAAGCCGGAAACTCCTGACACAACGATCACAATGGGAGAAGGTTCTTTTCTGCCCCTGATCCGTAATGAAACAAATCCAAACTTGCGGAACCGTGTAACACTCTCCGATCCTCGGGTTCACTTCGTAATTGCGCTGTGTTCGGGCTTTTACTAAGGATCCGACTGACTGAGACATCTGATCTGAATCCATTAGCTGTCAGAGCGAATCAGACACACCGGCTTCAAAATCGTGACACCACGCGCTCCCCAGAACCGACTTGATTGGCGCTCCGACGCGATGCGAACAAAGGAGCGGATCGATTCCCACTCTGTCATTCGATCAATGATGTAATCTCATCATCCTGGAATAATCTAACGCGCGATTCCAATGTCACGGCTGGCACTCAATGGTATTTGGATCGTCGAGGACTCGTGCCGGGCCTGTTGACTCGTTTGGAGAGCTTCAGTCTTTGATTTCGTAAGCATTGATGAGCTGCAGAAAAAAGTCGCACACGATGAGGACTTGCATAATTCCCTCAGTGATATTGAGGCTTCATCGAAAATTCTCGCTGAATGTGTGGGGGAAGAAATATCCTCTTCAAGGCGACCACAGTCTGCCTCTTCTTCCGCAGAACCGTGAGAAGAAGGCTGCCGATGACGGAGTTCACCTTGGGCATCTATCTCGATCATATATTAAACCGCCTTGCCATTCTAAATGCGGGCCTGATGAACTGATGAATTTGATCGAGAATCTTGCTCATCCTGCTCAAAAGCTCATCCTGTATCGGCTTTCTTCGAACTTCACGTTGGCTTCCACTATCCATGACCAGGAAGCTCCGAAGAGGAGCACGATAGCGTTCGCCCCCAAACGAATCCCGCCTTGATCAGAGCGGAGGAACAATCAGGCCGGTGGTCGGACGAGCGAATCGTCCACCGCATGCGTGATTGACAGAGAATGCGATATTTGCCTTCTTTGGAATTAGCGCGGCGTTTCACTCGTCAGGTGGTTCAGGCCACATACTCCCTCTAGAGTCAAGCATGACTGCGCTCGAGGATTCGATCGAAGGTTTTCGGGGAACGATTCAATCCTCGATTTGCTGTGATGGTTACTTGGTGCATTGGTCGCGAAGAAAATCCAAAACGTTGCCACACCGTTGGGAGTAACACCGTTTGAAGAAGCATGCGTTCGTTGACACTTTTGCATTATTTCGTACGGCGAACAAACTCGCTTACAAGCTGCTGAACAACAAGACACGTTACCAGTAGGCAGGCCGTATGGAAAACGCGGGGGCCGGCGTCTATCGGTGACGACGGACCCACCGAGGGTGTACATTAGCGATGAGAACTGTATTTATAATGGTCTCTCGTGAACGCCTGTGTGGTGGGCGTTCATTATTCTTCCCCAGGACGTCGATACGATTCGCGGCCTTCTCCTCCGAGCGTCAAATTATGTAACTCCTGAGCGCTCCGCTTCCGCTTCGGTCATCGATTGCCTAGCTTCGAGCTTTTTGGAAGTAGCTCGTTCTTTGGTTTAGTGCCCGCTTGAGCGATCAGGCGATTCTATGTCGCCGAGACGAACTCAGAACGTCAGACGTTCGTCGCGTCGTTGTCAAGGTAGTCAGCGAGGACGTTTTTCGGACAAATCCAGCTCCTGCGCAGCTTTCCGGAACCAAGCGGTGACTAGTTCAGCGTATTGTTGGTGTTTCCATTCGTGTGATAACAGGTCAGATATCTGGTGAGCCGTAACTAGTCTTGGTTATAGGGCGAAAACTCCGTGAAAAAACTTCCTGGATCGCAGGAGTCGCAGAAGTACCATAGAAATGGGCGAGGCTAATTCCGGAATCTTCCGCAGATCATTGCGGCCGCAAGACTCACGTTCATAAAAGAGCGAGCGTGATTCCGTCGTTGCTTTTCTGTTGACATGCTCTTCGTTTTCCCAATTCATTCGGGTGCCATTCCCGATTTGCATCGGAGATCAGGTTTCAGTTTTTCAGGTTGTGTACGTATACCCTAGAACCTTGATGTCCGAAATCGACTTTGCATGAGATAATGCCCAAAGAACCCTGACTTCTACGCCTGACACTCCTGCGGTACATAGGTATGATTAAGGAAGCATCGGAGGAACTTTCGCGGCACGGCGGAGAAACTGAACGAAAAGTTCCAAACAGATGTTCCCTCGCCGGTCTGCCCCAAACGGAGCTAGGAGCTCTCGCAAAGCGCTCCGTGTATATTAAACCACAGTGGAGCGAAAATTGCATGTGCCTACTTCCTCCTGAGCTCACACCACTGATCGTTCCTCGATAGCCGGGCAGGAGTTCGCGGATGTATCGTTGAGCTCGCGACAAGAAGATGAATCCATATTATACAGATGTCATTCCGTAGATATTCTGACAGGAGGACTGTCTCCATTGAACGGGCACCTTTGAGGCTTGGAATTCGGGAACCCGAGTCGCGAAGATCTGAACCTCGTCGCCCGTTCGAGTGAGTATGCAATACTCCTTGATTGATTGATTGAATGAAATATACTACTATGAGTGACGTACTCTTCTCCCCCGCCGGTGGACGGATTGAATGGACGGGCGGTCCCGAATAAACGAGCAGCTTTCGGATGGTCGAACGATAGACATGCCCTCCACTTGGAATAATCACGATAAGTTCACATTCGATGTCACGGATCAATGTACGGCAGTATGAGGTATATGAAAAAGTTCGACGATGAGAGAACGAAATATTCCGTTGTAATGGTGTACCGCTCGCAGGCTTTTGTTCTGACCTTGGATAGCTATACCATAGCGATAAAACTACATTTCTTCCCCGGACGAGGTCATCATGCAACATGCTATGACGTTGGCTTTGCAACTTGAGCGCAGGCTGGGAATGTGTTCGATGGAGCTTCTACGGGCGGTTGCTAACTGCACGTGAATCCCCCTCAAGGAGCCCAATACCAATACATCCTTATCACGAGGGTGTGCCCCAGAGAGAGGGAAGACACAGAAACCCTGCTCCGCCTGGGGATTATCTAGCCGCGAGGAGGGGAGATTCCAGAGGAAGAGCTTTAAGAGAGTAGTCCCTGCCTCTGCCTCTACCGAAGCTCTGCATGCAGCTTGGCGATCAGAACGTCGAGCTCAGACGGAGAGAGAGAAGAGGGAGCGTGTTCCTTCATCAGTGTTTTACTTAAGGAAAGATGAACATTCAAACGGAGCATCACCACCGAACCGTTTCGAACGGATGAAAAAACCAACGTGGCGTGAGGAGCTATGAAGCAGAGTTCAAGTGGGCGATAAATCGCTGTATGTAAATGGGTCATGTTGCGTCGTAAAGCAATTCCGATGGCGAAGTCGTCAGCGCACCGAATTCAGATTTCGGTCTTCGTCTCCAATCGTGCAGACTTCTGAGGCGATTTCGCGGATCCATGAGACATAGTGCGAGATTCGACTGTAGATTCCTGGCGTTGCGGGCCTCCCGCACCCGAAGCCCCAGCTGAGGAAATTCGATTGCGTCTGAATCCAAATCGAGTTCGCCTTCTCCGCGTTCGTGTCGCGGTGCAGACTCGTTTTATTCAGAAGGAAAATCTGCGTCTTGTCACCTGACGTACCTGACAACTCCAATTTGGGACCAAACTCTATTGCTTGCGTCATTCTCCATCAGAGGACCTCCCGAGTCTCCCTGACAGGCATCTTTCTGATTCCCGATTGCGCACAGCACCGATGGCGCTCGAACGATTTCAGGACCGAATTTGGATTGACCTGGAACGTGCGGAACAGAGTAATACATAAGATGTTCGACGAGAGCGATCGGGATGACAGCTCGGAGAATACCGGCGAGAGAAAATCTATGTGACGGGCTCCTCACAGTGTATCAAACTGGCTTTGACCAATTTGGCGATTCGTAAGTCGTCGCTTGTGCCGCCATTGCGCTCACTCGTCCTTCCCCAACCGCTAACGAACACTAGGTTCGTTCCCGAAGAGCTGTGATACAAAATAGTTCCAAGCATTTATGCTGATCCGAGAGTCGCGGGACGCTTGATACATTCTCAGAGAATTGGAGGCCGCAAAACTGTCGTTATCAAAGGCAGGCATTGGCTCACTTCGAAAGACAGACGGGTGACACGTGTTCGGAGAGATTGAGGCGCTCTTTCAACTCAAGCAAGGCGATGTCGTTGATTCCCGAGCTTGGAGAAAAATCAGGGTGCATGATACACCGTGCCACTCTCAGCTGAAACGACAGGGGTCGGCTCAACATGGGCGTTTTTAGGCCGTGCCAGAATTCCGAGAGCGTCTGGGTGAAGCTTCTCCCTCACGATAACCAAAGTACCCACTAAGATAATTCTCCAAACGAATACTTGGGCCTTCGGAGTGGATGATGATGATTATTATTACCTTCCTGAGGTGACTATTCACATCTGATTCCTTGATAGAATTGGAGCCGAAGAACGCAGTCAGGTCTTGCGGGTTGCTGCCAGAGCAAACGTGAGCAGCGGTCAACAGATACCTGGAATAGGAGTCACGATGCCATATCTCGAATTCTACCTCAAAAACTTCAGATTTCGTCGACGCACTATGGTCGCCGCTCCCAACATCGCAGCTGATATCAACCCTCCGATAAATCCGGCAGCTCCTCAACGAACGGGTAAGCTGTCCTATTCTGATTTCCTAAAACTGAAGAATGCATATACTCGCCGGAGCCTCGGGGGCGATCCTCCAGAAACATATGGAGGCCTTTCCGGGAGGAAGCACTCGATCATGGGCACGTGGTTGCGAACTCCGAAATTGAACTCTCCGACCAGTCCGGAACTCCACATCACCATGCGACGCCTCCGGCAAACCACACCACGTCGGCGTCTGGTCGTTACTCAGAGAACCCCAGGGTGCGCTCTGAGCCGGAACATCGCCGCGGTGAGTGTCTACGCCAATTATCACTCGTATTACCGACTCACCTATCGTTGAGAACTGTCGCCCCTCCGACAAGTTTGCGATCGGAATCTAGCAGCGCAGACATCCACGGGAATCTCTGATTTCTCGGCAAGACCGTGCCTCCGACAACTCGGCGACTGCGGGACTCGAGTGCTCTGCAATCGCAATCCAGGCTCGCGCGCGGGAGCTCTGCGAAGTCTACGAAATTTCACCGAACTTATTAAATTTATTCATGAGTTGAGGGGGCGTCGAGACGATTGCCCGGCGACAAACATGGGATCGCGGGGCGGGGAGCACCGGTGACAGATAGAGAAAACTGGCGCGGCGCCGCTCAGCGTGGCGTAGAGTAGCGATGACGGAACACATGGAAAGAGCAGCCTACTATGCAATTTTTCTCGTCCGAATCTCTACCAACCGAGAACGACGAGAAAAATAAGAGTCGCCGAGCGGTGCTGCATTCTGGAGCAGGTCTGCTCGGCTTCTGATCCAGAGCGAGTTCATATACCAGCCAAGTTGGGATTTCAGGTGTCGCGTTGTCAAGCTTCCGTATTATTTACGATTCGATTGTGCGAAAAAGTCTCTCAGACGGGCGGAATTCGCACCGTCGAAGCTGGAATCCAGCAATGGAGGGAGCCGGCTTCGAGATTGAATCCTAGTTATGTACCTTGGACCCTCAGATTCACCCAAGTCCATGAATGATTTAAGAACGTGGGGGAAAATATTGATATTTCCCCACCTTCCTCCTTTCCCATGAGATCCACTGGGAGGCGGAACAGGATTCATACTTAAAATTTTCTCCTAGGGTTCGAGCCCGCACGAGTAGTCGGGAGGAGGAATATTGGCGCAGATCTGAGTGAGAAGAAACGGTATCTAATTCTTCTCGTCATTTCCAGCTCCAATATCAGACAATGACGGGAGAATTCCTCACCGGAAAGTTTGAAGCCAGCAGCAGTTCTCGTCTAGTCCCCACAGCCTCTCGAGGCGGGGGGCGAAGGAGAAAGGAAATAAAAGCGATGCCCTCCCCTTCCGCCAGCCGTTAACAGAAGAATTCATTTTAACGCCAGGATGAGCTCTTTCCCCGATGCGGAAACGTCTTACGATGCTGCTCTACACTGTAGGGCGCGGACGGGCGGTCTGGTGGACGGACGGATCGACTTCCTGGCAGGTAGAGAACTTGGATGGGAACTGCTCCCGAGGCTTTATGCGGGTAGGTCGGAAGCCTGACTGCTGGCTCGCTTACCTCAGAGTGGCTGCTACACTACTTGCTCTACAGAGAACACCTGGAAGAGAGGAAGAAGGCTCGAGGGAACCAATATCAGAGTCGGTGGAGTCCCTCATCCGCCCTCGCAGTAGTTGAATTCAGTTCAGCCCAAAGATTCCGAGCCTCCGGTAGGTAATTCGAAAGTTGACGCCCCAAGAGCGCCGGATCGGGAGTCGGGAGCAGGGCGCGATGGGGAAAATTCCGCCTATCGCGACGAACGTTTTGAAAAGCGAGGCTTCTAACAAGCGTCACAGGAATGCACACGCGAGTCTTCTCTCCGTTTTTCCACTCTCTACGCCGACGATAGCGGCGGCGATACCCGTTGCAGAGGCGGTAGCATCGGCATTTGGGAGCAGATGTCGGCTCATACATAGAATCAAGAGCGAAGGAGCGAAGCGTCCACGGCTGGGCCGAATTCGGTCGGTCGGCCGGACGACGAGGAAGACGAGGCATGCTCTGAATATCGTAACCAATTTCCTCTTTCTTTGCCGCCTCTTTTGCCCCTCCTGTTCTTTGTCTGGTGTCGGGTCTCTCGCAGAACCCATCGAGTGAGCTTTCGCCGAGAACGATCGCTGCTCCGACTCGTAGTCGAACCCGAATCAAACAGCGCATCATCTAACAGAGGAGGTGAGCTGTTGGAACTGTCCCGCACATTATTTCAATCGATTTCACATTATTTCCGAGCGTGCTGCTCTAGGAAGATATTTGCCAGAAAGAGCTGCGAAATCGGCAGCGAGAAATTAACACCGAGTCCACCGCACAAAGCGAAGATGCGCCAACCTCAGCTCCTGGCAGCCATCCGATGCCCAGCCGCATCTTACGTGAATTATTAACGACCGTCGCAAAAAAGTTCCAGGGGGGTTTGGCTGTGCCAAACTGTCGAATTCCGTAGAACTACGTCGAATGCTCGTGGTAGAAGTCCTACAGTCAAGATTCGTTGGGTTGTTTATTCGAGAATTGTAAAAATTGCGTTGTGATAGCTGAAATAGGCGATGTGGTTGATTATTATTCGGAGCTGACGGATGCGTCTCGTGAATATGAGATCGGTGCATGCATTGGGATTGGTTGTGGAGGAAGCTGGGTCGGTGATGAGGTCTGTATCGAAGTTTTCTCGCATGAAGGTTGTGATTTGCTCTCTGAATTGGGGATTTTTCATATCCAAGTCGAAACCTCCGCATATGTATGATGAGGGGCTTCTTGTTATGGGATATATGAGAAGGGTCTATGATTTGCGTGTGTCCAACGAATTCTCTGATTTCCATGAAGGTGGAGTTTGGGCTAATATTGTAAGGAGGTGGCACTGATAAGGCTGGACTGATCAGCGATCACAATCAATTAGATTACGAACTGAAATCTACGAAGAGTCTCGGCCGTGAGCGACCGCTCTCGGAGACGTCTGTCTGCGAGAGTGTGCCTTTGCTATGCTGTCTGCGCGGCGAAAACCGGCGGCGAGGGTTCCCTACGTTCCATTCACCGGCAGCCGCTCCTTCACACTGTCAAAATATAAATGCAGAGGAGTGTCGTCCTCGGCTTATTGATCCATACATCCATATCCATCCATTCCATACCATGGATAAAAGCCGCGCGTCTGTCACGTTCGGGTCTGTGGCAGCTACCCGCAGGAGTGGTGCGATCGGTACCTAATTTCGACAGGGCATCCGAGCGCTCTTCATGGCCCCTCACCCCAAATTTGGTTCTGAAGGGTTGCATCTTAGTGCTAGAATTCGCTGTCAGAAACGCGGAACATGACGTCTCCGAATTGCCACAAAGCTGTCGCCGCATGCCGTGATTCAATTTGCGGTTCATTCCTGAGAGCGTTTTCCTTCCCATGCATTCGCCGCCGCGGCCAAAAGCGTCGCTGTTTCAAGCTTCCGCCTTCGCGCACTCAGGGTTAACCGCGGATGATCGCGGGGCATATCGTTCGTACCCCGACACACTCTTTTGTGTATCGTCCGCTCGCCGGGCATCCTCTATTATTTTTTCAGGACATTAGAAGAGCTTCAAAGTTTCAACACGCAGTCAGAGCGTATCGAGGCCTGAATTAAGTCCTAACGGTTAATCGAGCTCTTCCGGCTCCAATGATATTTTTCTGTTCAGTGTGCCCCAAGGTGTCTGTCTTGAGAATATTTTTCTGTTCCGTGTTCCTCGAAAAGTTTGTGTTTCACAATGGATTCAGCGATTGAAGAACCGATCGCCTCGCTCAGATTCATGATCTTTTCCGACGCAGGGAGCATTGAGGCAACGTCAACACAGAGGTACACTTTCAGCGGAGAACCGTGAACGGATTCGCGAAGCTGATCGCATGCAACATCGACAGAGGAGACGTCAACCGACAATCTCACCAGCACCAGACGCATCGACCTTGCGAGAGACCACTCTTTTGACGTGAAAACTTCTTTAAAATGCCTGTAGCCCGCGGTTAAAGAAACTTCGTCCTCCATGCAGCGAAATCTACCCCGCTTTTGCGGGGCTGAATCTCCGCTGGTAGGCATCAGATTATGACGAGGATTGGGTCGAAATATTGCAAATTTACGGGACATTGTGTTGGAATGTGTATGTGGAACCACCGTGAACAAGCGGTGCAGCAGTGTCAATCTCTTCTCTTCGTTATCTTCTCTAGATGGAATAGTATATTGGCGAAGTGCGGCGGGAAGATTCGTAGTGGTGCTGCGCACACCTTCCAACACTCCCCCTTGCGCAAAACCACGAAGATCCTTCGAAGTGGAGCGCGATCTCGAAGGCTCCCCCTCGCTTCAAAACCAGGGAGCTCATTCAAGGTGGATGAGGCACCCTCTGAGAAAATTCAACTTAGGTTCTACTTATCTGAAGTACTCCCATCGCTCGCGAAGTTCTCTGGCATTCCGCAGCACTCCGCGATCCAATTTTGGTCTTGTACATATAATCGACGGGTAGTGACAGCTCGGTGTTCCGCTGACTTTGATCTCTGTCCTGACCCCGGAACGGTCGGATATTTCCAGCTCCCCGAGCCCCCATCCAGTTTTCTCGAATTCCCGACGCTTCCCGAGCAGCCTTTGTCCGCGCTCCGAGCGCCTCTAACGCTCCCAGCATCCTCATCTACGCTCTTAGCGTCCTCAACGCTCCCAGCGTTTCCATCTGCGCTCCCAGCGCTCTCAACGACGCTTCCAGCGTTTCCGTCGGCGTTCCGAAAGAGGCTGGCGGGCAATTGAGCCGTGCCTCAGCCATCGCTCGATACTCCATTCCAACAATGCCTCAAATGGCATTGGTCTCCCATTTCGACCCTTCAGCTGATCTGAACCTGCCACACATGGCACGGGTTCATCATCTCGACCGACCATCTCATCACGACCAGCCAACGTATGGTCTTAGTTCAGTTGCCTCATCTTGACCCGCCACAAATGGCATTGGTCCCTCGACGTCCTTACCCGCCAAACCGAGCATTGGTCCTCCTCCGTCCCGACCCGCCACATTAGGCATTGGTCCTCCGTCGTCCTGACCTGCCACACATGGCATCGGCCCCTCATCCTGACCTGCCACACATGGCATCGGCCCCTCATCCTGACCTGCCACACATGGCATCGGCCCCTCATCCTGACCTGCCTACACATGGCATCGGCCCCTCATCCTGACCTGCCACACATGGCATCGGCCTCTCATCCTGACCCGCCACCCATGGCATTGGTCTCACCCGGACCCGCTACATCAAGCATCGGTCCTCTCAAGCTGTCCACCGGACCCGCTACCTTAAGCCTCGGTCCTCCTTCAGATTCTTGCCAAATGATTGACGAAACCCTGGTGTGCTCATCGAAGACAACATTCAGAGCTTTCTCGATACGAGATCTGTCTTTAGCTGTCATCGAGTCCAGCAGCAACCAACATCGACACGCTGTCTTGAATAGCGTGTCGATCGCTTTCCAGCTAGTCGTGCATTCACGCCACGTTCATTCTCGGGATTCGT